AAAGGAACTCGATACGTCGGTCAAATTCGCTGTACCACATAAAACAACATTTTGTGCGATACTTAGCACCTTACCGAAAAAAGAGGAAGATGCCAGTGACTTTAGCAGTAACCTCATTCGGGAGAAGGGTGTCATTATAACAAAGGCTTCGACCTTCTTTTTTTTTTTAACGCTGAGGATTCCATTTACGTATACCCGGTCGAGAGGGGTAACAGATCGGGTTATGTCGGACTCCGGCGCCTCCAGAGAAGAAGAGGGAGAAGAGGAAGGCCAAAGTCATCTTCTTCCAATTACTACCGGGAGACTACGCCTTGAGAAAGGCTCGCGAGACGCTGCGTGGCGTCTACCACGCAGGACCCGCCCCGCAAAACCGACTACCGACTAAACCCCATCGAGTTCCACCACTCCGACTCCACGAAACCTACGGTACCGCACAATGCGCGCCGAAGGCTCGCCATCGCCGGTACCCGTCCTGACAATAGGACGGGATTCCATCCCCGGGAAGATCCCTCAGGACGTCGTCTCGGGAGATACACCGTGAATGGCGCATAGGAGCCACCTTGCGCCGCCTCACCACGGAACCGACAGCAGAGCACCGGGCGCCCCCGCACCCGGTACCCAACAGTCCCTACGGGAGATTAACGGGAGCATTGTGCCCGCGTCGCCCACCCCGCCTTCTTCGCCGAGGAGCCGAAGAGGGATCCCACTCCCTTTCGCGCTCCTCAGCCTCGCGTAACGCCATGACCATGTCGAAAGACTTCGACCTAATGATTCGAAACGATAAAAACCGTGGCTAGACATAGACCTCTTGCAATACACTTATGGCAGCGGCTTGGCTCTGCCCCTGGCATTGCTGACGTCCATGAGCGACGGTGACCACTTACCATTAGGTAGGCCGTATGCTCGTCAGCCTATAAAGGCAATAAAAAAAAGGCACTACATTCGAAAGCTATTTATAATCGAACAAAATTAGTAAGAACATTCTGTGATCGACTAACATTCTATGTATTCCTTTACAGGCTATTCACAATAATATTCAATCATCTCTAATTAAATATTCGATTTTGTTTGGTAATTCATTACTGGTGATAGGACCTCTTCTGAGTCCGCACGGGTAGGTACCACCACCCTGACTATTTCTGCCGTGAAGCAGTAATGGCGTTTCAGTTTGAAGGGTCGGGCAGCCGTTGTAACTATACTTGAGACCTTAGAACTCGTATCTTAAGGTGAGTGGCGCATTGAAGTTATAGTATGTGAGCTCGTCCACCCTACTAAGCTATAAAAAAAAGAATTAAAAATATTTTTTTGCTCATGACATATCTGACAAAATGCCACTACGATTCAGAATAGAATTTTAGCGTGTGCATAACGACATTATGGTTTTGTCGCAGCGACCTGAGTCGTAAAGAGCGTTTATATGGCGCAAAACACAACCAGTCTAGACTGTACTCACTTAGTACATAGAATATTGTACGTGAAGACATGATATTAAGTTCTTACCTATAAAATTCTCAAATCTCGACGCTCGCAACTTTGAACTCAAGTGTCTGATGTTTTATTTTATTAACTCTGAATTCTTTATTTGTAACTTGCAATGTTTGGATTTGGTTATTAATTTGTTTTCGCAACTTATGACTTTGCTGTCAAATCGTTTTGTGTTCGCGTCTTAGAAAAAGGGATTTTTTTGGTTCCAAGGTTAGCTAGCAAAGATAGTTATAGATCTACTGGTGGTAGGACCACTTGTGAGTCCGCGCGGGTAGGTACCACCGCCCTGCCTATTTCTGCCGTGAAGCAGTAATGCGTTTCGGTTTGAAGGGTGGGGCATCCGTTGTAACTATACTTGAGACCTTAGAACTTAGGGGAAAGTGGGGGATATACGAACACCTAAGGGAAAACTTAAATAAAACAATGGAATTTAATCACAGATTTTTTTTATTATAAAGTTTACTTATCTGTCTAACTTATTCACTAATCATCATTTATATTTTTTTAATAAATTGCAACAATATGAAAGAAAAACAAAACCCTTAGTGTTCGGCTTTGCCCGACATCAGTCGGGTAAATACGAACACCAAGTGATTACGAACTAACATTATTAACGACATAGATCACACCACATTTATTAAAACCCAACGATGTTGACTGTCCCACTGACTGTTGACTGTCGTGAGCCCATCTTTTGCACACATAGCACACAATCTAGTCTTCAACGGGAGGATCAATATATTTATCTCTACAAAAAATACAAAAGTAGTCTTTATTTTCTTTTTCGCCTTTTTCTTTTTTTTTCGTATTTTGACTAGTCACTAAAGTCCTTTTTTATATTGTTCAAATTCTTTAATAATCTTTCATACTTCTTGCTTGAAGGTGTTCTCTCATTACATTTCAGTCTTTTTATTTGGGTTCCTTTTTTGCCATCTTTCCGTTTTCTTCTTGATTTCGTACGTTTCCTGATTGTCTGTAAATAAAGGTTTTTATCCAGACCATGGCTGTATTAACACTTCTTTCATTAGATGGTCAAAATTAGTGGTTTTTGAAACATTGTATGTTTACGCAGGGAGAGTTTTTGGTTTTAACATCGTCTATAGCCTTTTTGAGATCTTCTAAACTATACTTCAGTTCGGTCTTTCTTTTGTAAGTACAAGGCATCTGTAATAATATTTAAAAAAAAGTTGAACGGGGTACCAACAAACGGGAGTGGGGTAACGGCGAATGTTCGAGATTGCCCGACGTGGAGTGTTCGTCTTTACCCCGCGGAATCGAAAATAATTAAAGGTCAAAAAACAATTTTGGTTAAATTTATTTTGCCTACTACATCATTATCATTTAGCTGAGTAATATGTGATTATTCCACTATGTAAAAGCTGAATTATTATTGTAGATAGTAATAAAGTTCCATCAACTTGAATTTACCAAAAAATTACATCTAAAACATACAAAATATTGAAAAATGCATACCTTTTTAAGTACGTGCGTCCGCGTCTCCCGTGTTATTGACTGGTATCAGTGGTGGCGTGATCTCCGAAATGGCGGCAAATAAAATTAGGATATATCTTTCTAACATATTAGAACCATTGAATTCGGCATTACCCAGCGTTCGGGTTTCCCCCACTTTCCCCTATATCTCAAGGTGGGTGGCGCATTTACGTTGTAGATGTCTATGGGCTTCAGTAACCACTAAACACCAAGTGGGCTGTGAGCTCGTCCACCCATCTAAGCAATAAATAAAAAGATCGATTTTCGACCGAAACTTGAGTGAAAGTTGAGTCAAATTAAGGTGCCGGTAGTGAGTGAGTATTAGTGCTAGTTTTGTTCACTACAGCTCCGTAGGACTAGGCGCAGTGCAGATGTGTCCTGTCAACGATTGATTAAGGAAAAGCTCGCAAATTCAACATCCGAAACTTTTCCGGTCGATTACTCTAGTCCACTGTTGCTCCTAACGCACGACGTTCGACACTTATTCCCCGACGACTTTGACGTTACCAAATTTGATTGACCTAGCTTTTCCCCTACCCTAAATTTAGGCAATTACTTGTAAAGGGAATAAATTAAAACCGATGGGCACTCAAAATATTTTTAAAGAATTCATTGCTCCACGTTCTTGAAGTATAGACTTCTGTAAAATAGCGAAAGCGCAATGCTCAATATTTTTGCTGTTGAACAAAAATATTACTACTAATTAAAAAGAATGAACAGTTTTACTTATTAAATGACACATCAACTGTCATAGACAAAACAAAATTGTAAGCTTTCGAACACAAAGATATAATAACTTCGGTTCAGTTAAAAAAAAAATTATTACTGTTTTTTAATACGTTTAATATGTAAACACACTTCTTTCCTAATTTGATAATAGGCATAGATTTTTAATTTGTTACTGGTTTCTGATTTCTTTGAGCCTCCCAGGTGAAGAACTGTATAAAAAGGAAATGCTTGGATAAAGTTAATAGTTGAACTTTGATTGGACAAGTTAGCTTATTTTGTTAGTAGCGCATAATGCAACATTGAAGACATGACAAAATTAAGATCTGTTTATTGTCTTCCACAAGTATACTATCTATTATCTATACAAATAAATAAAATTGATGTGTCTGTGATTAAAAGTTTTTATTTCTTTCAAATGATTTAATTGCACTTCAGAGACATCATAACTCTAACTTTTTTTATGTATTCTTTTTTAGTTTGTTTTGGTTAATTTAAAACTCCTGACTTCTATTGCTACTTCCATGGTTAAAACATTTATCACATAATACCACAGGTTAATCTTTATTCTGTAAATATCTAGAATTCCCGAGTAAAAAAATATAAACGGAAAGTTACAAGTTGTAACAAAATAATTTGATATCTTAGGTAGGTCTTACTTTGGTAATTGAACAAACAAAATTAAACGCGATCCACATCTAGAATAGATAACCGGCTATATTTGTATATTTGTGTAGCAGGTTATCTGTTATATCTTGACACTTACTAACATACAGTGCACAGCTTAATAGTTACTCATATCTATACGAGAGAGCACTAGGAATTTATGTTTGGAAATTCAAATCCGATTTTAAATAGGTTGTGCTTTATTCATAATATATCGGAGTTGATCCCTATTATCACATTAAAATCAAATTAAATTACATAGAAATAGCTATTGTATCAACCAAAAACGTCTGTTTGATTTTTAAATTCTTCAGATTCTAATTTATTTTTATTCATAAAAAACTTTTTAATTTACTAATTATAAAATCACCGCTAAATGAAAAAAAAAAAACTAATGAGTATTAAGTTAGAAATTGAGATGAGCAAATATAATACAATATTCTCAATACTACTAACGGGAGATGAAGTAATGGCAAATCTAACCATACAGTTTTTAATGAAACTATACACTACACCAAATAAAAAATGAGCAATAGTTATTAAACTTTGACAACCAATGACAGCTTTAGGATTATAATGTAATGAATGGATAATATGGAGAGCGTCGTAAATGAATTAATAAAATTATTCAGGCATTAAAATGAAACGGGACGCGTACGGTGACGACGGCCCTGCCCAGAAACGGCACCGGCAGACAGACGATGAAGTCACCTTCCTGATACCTAGCAAGGTACGTACAAACATACAATGCACTTAAAAATACTATTTAAATTTTATTGTTCATGAAACAAGAACTGTTTTCGCATAACCTATTGATGCTCAAGTAATTTAATACCTTAACAGGTGGCTGGGTCGATAATCGGAAAAGGTGGCAGCAATATATCAAAGCTCAGAAGCCAGGTCAGTATGTATAAATAACATTCGTAACCCAAATAATTAATTGACACATAGACGTATATAATTGCAGGTAGATATTCATCAGTGAGTAATTTACATAGCTTTACTAATAAATTATTATTACTTAGCTTACGTGATTCTATATTTATAACATAGCAGTAAAACGAAATTGTACAACATGTGTCGATGAAAAGTAATTGATTTTTTATAATATTATATAATATTTTAGTAACATAGGATAGAATTACAGTTCGTCATTTGCGTGTTAAACTTTAAGATTCTGAATATTGTTGGTTAATCATTTGCCATTTTTACTACAGGTTCGCCCACTACTCTTATACCCTATATAAATGTACAGATTGTATTCGTCTGCATCTTAACGGGGTAACAGACACACTTTTCTTTACATATTAATTCAGAGAAGTTACTTTAAATTCCACAAAGTATTTAGTTGCATTGAATTCGCTCCAGCGGCCAGGCTGTAGGCAGAATAACCCCCCGGCAGCCAGTTACAGGTCTTTTGCGCCCCCGAGACGTCCCCGTGCCCAGTAGCGCATCGTGCTGCGCCTCTCCACTCACTATCCGTGCTCCGACCACATTCAACTCTGAGCAAAATGTGTAGCAAGTAGGAGTTGAGTTGAATTTGGTCCGCGGTGTGAAGTGGCGCAGCACGGCTATAGCGTTTCTTGGTTGCCGGTCCCGCCCCGCTGGTCGCCGCTGCCCCGCACCCGCCGCCCCGCCACGCAGTACAAAGCCTCTATAACAGTCCCAGATTGCCCCGGCCCCGAACGGTAAACTATATCGCCAACATCTACTCTCAAAATCTTAATAAGATCCAAGTCGACTTGTCTCAGCATTACTTGTCAACAGTCAGGAGTCGGATCTTGTTTGAGACTTCATCGCCGTGTTTCACTCTGTACGTTAGAGACCCAGTCCCGCTCACCACATTTCTCTGCGAGATGCACTACGCACTGAATGCCTTCAGACTTCTAGAAGATGGCCCGAAATGTTTCGGCATCTCCTTTCCGTTCTCTATGTGGATTTCTTCTCCGGGACAAATCTTTCACATGTGAACTCTCCCGATTTCGGGAGAAGGCTTCAAATGTTTCATGTCGAGATTAGTTTCATCTCATCACGCTCCATTACAGTTTTCAGTCCTGCAAACAGACCTCCCTGACCGTTGATTTGTTTTAATGGTGAAATAGCTAAAATTCTTGTGGTTGTGATTTTCTTGGTCGGTCGCCTTCGAGTAAAAGTGTTGACTTTATGCACGCTTTCCAGGGTACTCTCCATAACAGCTGAAGATGACGAAACGCTCGTGGAAATCATTAAAGATATCATGCCGTGCCTGGCAGAAGTGAGTACTGAATACACGATGTATAAGTAATTTTTGAACTAAGTAATAATAATAATTATTCTTAAATGAATGTTTTTTTTTTGTTTAGTTTCATAACCAGGGTGGATCCAGGATGGGCGATCAAGAGCTGGACGTAAGGATGCTGATTCATCAGAGCCGAGCCGGGTGCGTCATTGGGAAAGCTGGTTCGAAAATCAAAGAGTTACGTGAGGTGAGTGGAATGGACTAATAACTCATTTTCAAGGGAAAAATGTGTTGTTGATCAACTATTTGTGCTTTCATAACACTTGGTCATTCGTGTGCGTACGTGGCCGGGTCAGGTTATCATCGTGTAAGATCCTATGGCCTATTTCTGTACCGACATTATTGTCGAATTATTCATTCCCTCTCTTGGGTTTAACGCAACAAAATGATAAGATACTTTCGATGGTGATACTATGATAATTGTTTATTTCAAAATCAATTTTATCACGCAGCATTGTAATGTGCAAAACACATTAACATTCCCCAGAAACTTGATTAATTTTTATTAATGACTTGTTAAAACATATTTAATGGAATTGCCGGTGCTTAGGTAACCGAAATGTATTCCATTTTCAATCACAAGTAAAATTATTGATGTGGTCATTTTTCGACTTTAGATTATTCATTGTGTATGTACCGATTTAGATACCAAATGGAATGCTCAAAATAGTTTATTCTAGAGGAAATGAATCTATTTATAATACAATAATAATGAAGGTGTTGAACAGATGCCGCGAGTGAGCGAACACCTTTCTCATCTCTGTTAGGTACAGTTATTTGTAAAGGTTTTTTTACTGGCGTCGTAACTCGCACGGGCCACGCGGACTTAGCGCAGATGTGGAACCAGCTGCCGCTCTGGATATCGGTTTTTATCTCCTCATCAGGCGGATGTTTTTAACTATTCTCCTCCTATATTTGATGATTATTTAAGTGCTGCACACGTGCTTCGGATCGTCTAACGCCAAGCAACACTGCTTAAGCTGCGTAAACTAAATACGCTTTTATTAGCTTCAGACGTATGTACGTTTGTAAAACAGAATCTTTGAACATGATTTTGACCCTCCCCTTCAAAACGTCGGATTAACTCGAAATTTGGTATGCATTAAGGACCGATGACAATTCAATATATAAAAAAAATGATAAAAAAAATTTAAATTCAATTAATAATGAAAAATAAATAATAGTTTAAAAAAAACGAACAAAATACGCTTTTATAGAAAATCCAACTAAAAATAGAAAAGAAATTTTAATAAATTTGAATTAAAAATAGTGTAAGAAAAAATGATTTTATTGTAAAAAAAGCGTGGGGCGCATGGTATATAAATTGGTAGTTATAAATATTTTATGAACAGATATGAGTACAAGGGTTATTTTGATAATATCCTGAAAAAGTACCCCACGCTTTTTTACAATAAAATCATTTTATTTTTTCTTACACTATTTTTAATTCAAATTTATTAAAACTTATTTTCTATTTTTTAGTTGAATTTTCTATAAAAGCGTGTTTTGTTAGTTTTTTAAACTATTATTTATTTTTTCAAGTACACGTAACTTGTACAGCGCAAGGAACGGAATGTCTTAGATAACTAGTTTCAATGTACATACGAATCGAATGTTCGTGCAACTTTGTTGTGGAAGTTTTAAAACGTTTGCTTGGTCGGAGCGTGCCGAGGTAACTTTGCAATTCGGGATGTCACGCCGCTATTAGGTTTCATGATTTTATAATGGCTAGCTAGTTTTATCGTCTAATTTTTTGGTCTGAATTTGATGCAAGAGCCGTCGATTATGATCTACATCAAAATCGTTTTTATAGCTATTGAAGTATTAGATTTTTTACTAAAAATAGAAATAAAGATCTCACGTGTCTTGTCAGCGAAGGTTTAGTTACTCCTCGTCCCGGTCACCGTCCTCGCCGAACCCGTCGCTTGCGACGAAGGGTCGGATCTTGTCAGTGGGTCGCGTTTCCAATCCGGTGGTAGATTCTGCGAAGCACTGCTCTTGCTAGGGCCAGTGTTAGCAACACTCCCGGTTTGAGCACCTACACGTCAAGGAGAAGCTGAAATAGCCTCTCAGGGCTATCAGGATCACAGAACAAATAAATTAAAATAAAACCCCTCGTGTTATCGCGCCGTTAGTGTGCGGGGATGCAGTTTTCTTGAAGGCTTATGTCTTATGCGAGTGTGGTAGGGCGCGTGCGCGGGCGGCAGCTGTCGGGGCAGGTGCGCTCGCAGCCGCCGGAAGGCCGCACAAAAAGCGCGCGCGCACCTGGGCTCGTCCCGGCCCGTCGCTTGCACAATGCCCGACGACAGACTGACGCGAACCTCGAACGCATTCTCCGACATATGGCTCCTCAACATCCGCTATATCTAACCCTCTAAATAAAACCTCTTTCGCGGCAACCTTTTACACGATAGGTACTCTATTGATGACTTGTGGTAGGTCGTTTTATGGGCCCGAACGGGCTGCGACCGCTATTCTGATTGTCGTGAAGCAGTCATTCGGTCCAGTTCGAAGAGTGCGACTCTCGGAGATCAAACTCGCAAACTCTATTAAATTGGACGGCCATGTTCACGTTTGCTTTTCTATGACGTGACTAATCGTTTAGTCAGTCCACTGCCTAAAAGTCTGTCTTGGGAATAAAAACCTCAAATCTACGTAAATCATAAACATTTTAGTAATTCGAGAACAGTAATGACTTGATCAACGTGTCCGGCTTCACGCTTTTGAAAGTTTGAACAATGGTACCCGTTTTCCATTGAAGTGGATTGGTGCGCGCGAGGCGCAGGGTCGGTGTCACGTGTACTCCGGGGTTTCATCCGTCGGAAGCACGGCGACGCGGCTCGGGTTGCGCGCACGTGACGCAGTCTTGAACCTCCACATCCTGAGGAAATGTTTTGATAAAGAATAGTGAGAGAGAGAGAGGGAGAGACAGAGAGAGAGAGAGATAGAGAGAATACACTTTATTGCACACAAAAACACAATTAACATTTTAAAAAAGCCAACAACAGATGTATTTGTACAATAATCGGTCTTATTGCTTTTAGCGATCTCTTCCACGCAACTGTTTAATTTACAGAAATTTTTGGAAAATTAGTCCTCATTCGTCAGTAATCAATTAAAAATAAAACTGCTTTTGAGCAAAAAACAGACTAATCTTATAAAAATGGAAATTCTAGGCTATATATTTAAAAAAAAAAAGATCTATAACCATACAAATTGTCTAGTTCTCTATATCGGACATACGGTGCCATAACGTCATTTATGCAAATTAATTTAATTTTTCAGGAGAAACGTTGGAAAATTCAACATCTTATTATATAATCCTTATATAGTTCTGCTAGGTTATAGAAATAAAATGTTAATATTTAAACTCAATCAGTAAAAGCAAATATCTCTCTCGTCTCACTGATAACTATTAAAAAATGTATTTTCTCATACTCGGTTCAGCGTTAACAAAAATTGCATATATGACTTTATAGCACCGTATATGCGCGATATTTTAGGTAAATAACTGTAATTAGAGATGGTCGGAACATGTGCCGTCCATATAGTGTAATTAGTGTGGTCGGCGCGTACCGAGTGTCGCGGGACTGTGGTGACACCGACAATTACCTCGGGAGCCGCACGCGAGCCGCTTCCGTTTCCGATCGAAGCTGACCGCCCTCGGTAAGGATTCCTCGCTACCGCCTTCCGCCCGTCACATTCACCCCCCGAATATTCCCTCTGCACTTAACGTATTAATTGATTAGAAACTATCTATATACTAATTATTTATTTATTTATTTATTTATTAGGCTCACAATACACATCACAAGCTAAAAAGATACATAAAAAACACAAGTAAAAAGAAACAAAATCTAGCTTGCAACATAAGTTATGTGCGCACGACAAAACAAGACAAAGCGCTGAATTTGTACACAACGTTCCTTACAATTATACGACAAAACAACTCTATAACAAAAACTAATCTAACTTATAATGTACGGAAATAATTTTATCCATAATATACAATTAAACAATTACACTACTAACCTACAATGTTCCATTATAACTGCTGAACTATGCATCCGATTGACTTGAAACTTGGTATCCATGTAGAAAATACACGTACCTAATGGATAGGCTAATATTTATACGAGTGTTGGACTCTCTAATAATAATGACCATAAATAAAAATGTTAATTTTAAATGCCCAGCGAAGCGGGCGAGTACGACTAGTCAAGTTATAAATCGAGATATTCTACTCGTAACTCGTATAAGCAAACCTTAATGCAATTTTGATTTCGGTAAACAAAGAGAGCACTCAATCGGAATTCCCAATGGGAAGGCAATATGATTGAAACTTGGGTAGAGGTAAGGTAATATATTTTCCCCTTGTAGCTCTTATTGAGTTACCGCTTTGTATCAAAATGGCGTTTCATTGAGAAATCTTGATACATTTAATCTTTGCTATTTGAGTTTATTTTTACCACCAAAACAAAAATGCTATAATGAAGTTTCACACTTATTAAACACGTGAGATCCCCTTATCTGGAATATGAGACCCAAGTCAAATGAACTTCCAGACCTCAAAGTTACTATTCGTTCGTTCTGTATGAAATAAAACGTAAAAGCCTTTGAAATAGTTTTTATACAAAAACATAGATCATAGCACAATACATGTCACGACATATGACAGTCATGTCGGAATTTATGTATTGACAATAAAAATAATGAATAAAAAACATTAAATTATACGGTAAAATTAGTTTTAATTATGTCCACGGCTCGTTATAACCAAAGAAAATGTTCACCTAAATCAATTTAGTACAATATCTTTCCTATTTTTGTATACCTATTAATAGAATATTAAAGTCAACATTCACTAACGAAATCACTTTGTGATCTCCTCGTGTTTCTCGGAAATCGAAAGTCGGAAAATCTTTACAATCTTGGACCCATTTAACTTGTTTTCCCAAGACGTGCAGAGTGGGGGGAGAGGGAGCGATGTCGTAGCAAAAGTAGGTTCTATCGTTTACGTATGGGAGGCGTGGCGCGCTACCGTGTCGGAGCCTTACAAGTGCAGGAGGGGGGAACAGCGGGCAGGTGGTGCACGTTCACAGCGAGCGAGCTCATTCCACCACCGACCGCTCCCGATGGAGGGTCGCGTACCGCGTGCGTCCCCGACTTTGACAATTCTCTCGTACTTTGATCTATTCGAATTTTACCGCGCGCCCTTTGAACCGATCAACACGGAGTTCGAAATTTGAATTCGGTTTTAAAGTTTTAAAGCAGGTTGTATGCTCATTAACTCTATTGCGGGAATTACGTATCTTCTCCCGTGGGAGAGTTCGAGTTCTTTGTCGGTTGAAATGTCGGAACGTGCTAGCGTCTTCGGTTGTTGTGCCTAGGGGTGCTATTTGTGCGTGAGGCCCACGTGCGCCGGTCGATGGCTCCGAGCATGCGCACTTTGTCCTGTCAAACGTCACTCGGGGCAAACCGTCTGACGGATTACCATACACGCTGAAAAGGAATTGTTTTATGTGCCGGAAATCATATGAAATTTTGTAATTCTTTAAAAAGGTTTGTCATCGGTTAGTTTTTTTTTTTTTTACTTTTTCCTGTTCCATTCTTTTGATGTTCATTAATATTTAAATATAGTGACGTGTTGTCATGTTACCTAACACCGGTAAGCATTGAAAAAGATTTCTGTAACATACTACTAAAATATAAACTGGTGTCTGTTTCGGTGATTTAAGATTTTCAAATATAAATTATCGTAAGTCACGTATAAGCAATGGAAGTGATTTAATTAATTATGCATTTTTTTAAATCGTGATAGTGTCAACAAAGGGGTTTTTGATTTATAATTGGATATATGCGTTTAGTATACGTTGGTACAACAAAACTTTTGTTCTTTATTGTGGAAGAGAACGAAAAAGAAACTAAACACATTAATTAATATTGATTTTTAATTCAGGAACAGCTTTGTGAAGCTTAATTTGAAACGAATGTTTTCAGAAAACCGGTGCGCGCCTGAAGATATTTTCGAACTCCGCGCCCCAGAGTTCGGAGCGCATCGTTCAGCTGATCGGGAAACCGGACTCGATCGTGTCCGGAGTGCGCGAGGTTCTGGACCTCGTCAGGCAGGTGAGGCCGCTGAGGAATTATTAGCCAATATTGTTTCGGAATTATAGTTATAATGATATTGGGTACTCCAGATTAAACCTATATATGGACCGTTTATTTTGAAAGTGGTGTCAGTCCATTTTTGAGAAAAATGAGCTATCACGTAATTCATGCTTAATTTAATGTAAATTTTTTATATATAACTAGTCCGTGTTTAATTTCTCAAAAAAATCCCATGTTTTGTACAACTTAAATCGGTCGATAAATGAAATTGCATAATCATAGATTATGAAAGTGGTGTAAGTCCAATTGACAGAGGTAGGTGGCATAGCCAGACCTCATATTACGATTTGCCTGTATTTTTAAATCAACAAATTTAGTAACCTTTAATTTTCTCGAAACAAAAGAAAATGGACTTACACCACTTTCAAAATAAACGGTCCATATATGAGTCGACTATTATCAAAGCCGGCAATGTGACTTTTGGACAATGATTGGTAAATCAGAAAAACGAATTATTGACTTTGTATTCCATTGGCAGTCACAAAACTCTTCTGAACGACATCTTAGATAAATAACAGGTTAAGTATTAACCTTTATTTAATGCAGGTTTTGAACCGTATTCTTTGAAGGAGACTATTATATTCAAATCAATCTGTATTGACATATCAATAACATTTTTTTGTCCAAATGCACAGATTGCCACCTTTGATAATAGACGACTCATATAAAGGAAAGTCGTGTTAGTTACACTATTTAAAACTCAAGAAGGGCTGAACTTATTAGGTTGAAAATTGGTGGGCAGGTAGCTTAGAACTAGGAGAAGGACATAGGATACTTTTTAGGACGTTCCCGTGGGACGTGACATAAAACGTGGTATAACAAAACGCAACTGATATCGAATATGAAAACGCAACTGACAGCTAAACGTAATGTAGTCTATGGTTAATTAAAGAAGAATTTTGAAGTTGACAGGTTCATGTGTTTGTTTCGAGTTTCTATTAGCTTATTGTGCCGAGATAAGTAATCGTTGAGAACGCCATGCCGGGCCCAACACGATCAAATCTTTTCCGACCGTAATGCAACTAGGATTCGAAACATTGCGATTGAAAGGATTGAAGAAGGACAAGATATAAAAATATAATATTAATAATAATAACAACTAAAATACATGGCCAATAAAGAAATCATTGAAATACTTGCTTTTTTAAATTACATTAATTATCCAAATAAAAAATTGATCTTGATAAAATCAAAAGTCTGCTAATTTAATGTCTCTAAGGCGGAACAAAGTTCGCCGGGTCAGCTAGTAAATAATAAAAGACCTAATTGCGTTTTCTATTATCTTATCTTATCTTATACCTTTAATTGCAATTCTTGTATATATATAATCTGAATCTCGGAAACGGCTCCAACGATTTTCATAAAATTTAGTATACAGGGGATTACGGGGGCAATAAATCGATCTAGCTACGATTTATTTTCAGAAGATGTTGTTTTATTCGTATTTTCAATAATCAACTCCTTCCGACATCTATTGGCGAATAATAATACTATTTTTCTTAATTGAGGGCAACTAACCATGATGGCGTTGTCAAAAAAAAAACCGAGCAAAGCTGGGTCATCGTCTAGTATGTATAATGAGAAAACAAAACATTTGAAGCCCTCAATCTAATAAAATTTATATTCTTAACCAAACTGAACTTTCTTTTTACTGAATTTCAAACTTCACTGTATGAAATATAAGAAAAATCCTTTTTATAAAAATAGAGAGTTTTAGACTATGAAGGTTTTTCTTTACATAGTATTAAGGACATGCAGCCATTTTAAAACTTAAATTTTAAGCATTACAAATTATTAGTTCGAATATTAAAGGTTCATTTATTTATTTAGGTTCCAATAAAGGGTCCTATCCAAGCTTACGACCCTCACAACTATGATGATTTCTATGCGGAAGAGTATGGTGGCTTCGGAAATGGTCAAGGAAGCGGACCTTCTCGTAGCGGCAACGGAGGAATGCGAGGTCCGCCGCGTGGTCCGCCCCGCGGCATCCCCCCCATGGGTCCCGCAGGACGGGGGCCTCCACCTCGCGGACCTCCTATGGGTCGGAGTGGACCCCCCGGTCCACGAGGCGGGTACAATGACTTCTCCGGTCCGGGTCCCCGTGGAAATTTCAACGGTCCTCCACGTGGTGGCTTCAGCGGGGGGAATTTTGGGGGTAACTTCACCGGAGGTGGTCGAGGATCCGGTTCAGGAGGTGGAAACTTCAACAATAACGGGGGTAACCAACAGGATACTTCGACGCAAGTTACCATACCTAAAGATGTAAGTGGTTTTTAATTATTCAAGTTTATATTTTGATATGTATTATAACCAGTGTCGGCCCCATGATTCACAACCGACCATGGTCAGTGATTACTGACACCTCAAGAATTAGATTTATTTTATGTATTAATTTATTAGATTCTAATTTAACGTTTTGGAAAAAAAAGTCCAAATTATTATTAATTACGCTAACAGCTATTAAAATTCATCTTTTTATGAAATCCATTATATGTACATCGATCTATCAACATAATAAGTTTTATCAATTTTAAGACGTCCTATTAATTTTGATAACGCACACCATACCAAGAACTGAAGGCAATACAATAATTATATAATGTAAAATTGGTCTCATACTTTGACCAGCAGCAAGAACCTGGACCAAGAATATATTTTAATTTTTTTTTACTCTGTTTGCTAGTTGAAGTTTTTGTTTTGTTTTTAAACTGTATTTATCGACTTCATATATTTTATTTCTTGGATGGGTGGTCGAGCTTATCGCCCATCTGGTGTTAAGTGGTTACCGGGACCCATAGACGTCAACAACACGCCCTACCACCCGCAGTCGTATGCTTTTAATACAATATTAGGAAGGATAGAAACTAATATTGCAATCTATTTATTAAATTTTTAGATTCGCGTATATTGATTTAATCATATGTTTAAATAATCAAACATTTAACTAGTACAGCAAATAAAAAAAATCCCTCTTTCCATTACACACGTTTTTTTAACTCATTGATTAGATGGGTGGACTTGCTCACAGCCTACCTGGTATTTAGTGGTTACTGAAGCCCATAGACATCTACAACGTAAATGCGCCACCCGCCTTGAGATATAAGTTCTATGGTCTCAGTATATTTACAACGGCTGCCCTTCGAACCGAAACGCATTACTGCTTCACGGCAGAAATAGGCGGGGTGGTGGTACCTACCCACGCGGTCTCACTAGAGGTCCTACCACCAGTAAAAACGTCCACACGACATAACGTTATTTATTACCGTTTTACAGTTGGCAGGCGCGATAATTGGTAAAGCTGGTTCCCGCATCCGCAAGATCCGAGCCGAGAGCGGCGCCGGGATAGAGATAGCCGAGCCGCTGCCGGGGTCCAATGACAGGATCATTACCATCACGGGCTCGCCCGGACGCATCCAGATGGCGCAGTACTTGTTACAGCAGAGGTATTATATATTGTTACTATATAGGATCTTAGTGTCAAGAATGACACAGATGTCTTGTTGAGTGCCCTGACGCGTTGTCAATGAAAATGTCTGCGAACCGATGAAGTCTTCTAGTTTAGAAGACTTGGTAGAACACGTAGTAAGCAGGTGGAATCTCCCTGCGTGTTCTACCAAGTTATCTAGGTTGGAAATGCCTCGACAGAACAAGCTCATTACATAGCTTAGGTGACCTGTAGGTAGAACACGCAAGCTGTTTTTAATTATAAAATTTTGTTATATCTATTATTATAATTAATTAAGAGCATGGTACACATACTGTTTATGATAAAAATATAGCGTCTACATTTCAACATTAACCATCGCATGAAGCTAGCTTTCTCTGTGCTTACTGTTTGTCCAGCGTTATCATAAAAACTTTCGTATTGGCATGCAAATGTTGACACTAGTTAGGTTGTAGTCATTAAAAAGATTAAAAAGATTTTGTACATTATCTACACATTGAATTTCGTTACTTGTTTTCACAAACAAATTACTCCTTTTGTAAACATGACAAATTATATTCTCGTCAAAGACAATACATTAATTTGTAAAATTAAATTACTAACAGATTTTATTTGACAATAGAATGTTTGAAGAATTTCCTGCACTTTGTCTGCAAAAAGACAAAACTAAGTTGACCATGTAACGGATAGTATGAAGTATGTAAGAACAGACAGGTAAAAACTATAACATTGTTTGTAGATTGTCTTTGGGGTTAAATATATTTTTATGTAAATTGATTGTGTGTTCGAAGACAAAAATTAAGGGAAGTTACTGCATCAACCATTTCACATTTTCAAGAGCTTTATTTTAAGGAAATTAATTTATTGTATTGTAGATTTGTATTCAATGAATAATTAATATGTAAACAAACAGGATAATGTTTATGATAAACCAATTATGTTCATATAGGGATATTACATGTGCGTGCTGGAATGAAACTCTCTATCTCCTTTGTAACACTTTAAATGTGACTAACAGAAATGTTTTGAAAATAACAATCTTTTTTAGGATTTCTTTCAACTAACAGGTGACATCATATCGCTTCGTGTTGTATGGAAGACTAGTGATTTTGTTGTTTTTGTTGACTAACAAGAAATCACTAATCTGCCTACAAAGCGACAGCATAATCTTCAGCGGAAGATCACATTCACACCTCATCGGGTTGCTTTGTATGATGACGCTAACACGTTTATAAACTAACTGTGTGGAATTATTAGTGTTGCTTTTGTGATGACTAACAAAGATGATAATCTTGTTTTTATTACATGATGGTTTCATTTTATGGTCCATATCACTGAAAATTGTTTTTTTTATGTTTTGACAGTGTGCACGAGAGCAATCCGAACCTTGGACGCGGAAACTTCTGATTCCGGCAGTTGGAAGAAGACAGGCAAATTTGTGGAGATTAAAAAAACCCCTCTTATCAGGTTTAATTTTGTACAGTAAATTTCAGGANATAATCTTGTTTTTATTACATGATGGTTTCATTTTATGGTCCATATCACTGAAAATTGTTTTTTTTATGTTTTGACAGTGTGCACGAGAGCAATCCGAACCTTGGACGCGGAAACTTCTGATTCCGGCAGTTGGAAGAAGACAGGCAAATTTGTGGAGATTAAAAAAACCCCTCTTATCAGGTTTAATTTTGTACAGTAAATTTCAGGAGGCTCATATACCTAGTTGAACTGTTGTTCTTTATTATGGTCTAACCAGAAGAACTGCAATATTAAAATGTAATAATGTAACGAACGCGACTAATAATTGTACGAGATTACAATTACATAGTATTTATGTATCACTAAGCTAGGTTTTGTTTTAAATGTATTTTTTCTGGAAAGGCAATAAATACTTCGAAGCATTTATCATAAACAGTTGTAAGAGAGAATAAAGATTGTGTCAATATTTTTCTTTTGTTATTCTGATCTATTTTATTCGGTGATAGATGAATAGAATGAAATAAATATTATTTTATAACATAAATTGTGTTTTCATTGAAGAACATTATTTGTCATATATTGTGATGACCCAAATAAATATGAGGTTAGAATAAATACGAAGGCTCAACCCCCTAATTTAAAACCATAACGTTCGTGGTATTATCACACGAAAACGAAGAAAATATAGGACTTAGGTTATAAAATTTATTAAAATTTTTAATTTATACAATGTACTGTGGTAAAAATGATATATCACACCTTAAAGCTTCTCAGCTAGATCACAAGACATTCAGTCATCAAGTACTATGCAAGGGTGGTAGGTCATCCATTTCATCGTGTTCCTGGTCTAAATAAAACAATATATACACTATTGGTATCACCACAACTAGTAATAGCATGAAGCATACTAAATGAAACCATTTCAGTCCAAAATCAGCACCATGTGATGTCAATTCTTTCACAACTATAGCTTCTACGGGAATCTTTTCTTTGTTTGGCAACAATTGCGTGTCCTCTGTGACTTGTTCTGCTGGTTCTACGTCCGAATAAGGAGAAACAGAAGACGCTAAAGTGCTGTTCATAATAACAGCATTGCAGTCAATGGCATAGTCTTTCTCCTCTTTTTGCGGTGAACTGCTTTGATGTAACTGCGGTATGCCATTGCTTTGTAAGAGTTGTTGTATCGATTTTGGCGTTTGTTTCGAGGTTGAAGGTGTCGGCTCTGGTTGCTCTGATGGTATTAACTCTGTTAAGACAGAGTAAGGTGTAACCGGGACTTTAATTGTTCTCCTTGCAAAAATCTCGTTGTCTTTGTGGATTTGGTTGATTCTTTTCAATTCTGCAATCTGTGAATTAGGTGGATGATCTTTTTTTACTATCATTTACTATATTTTAATTGTCACTATTAAAGTAATTAAGTATTTTGTTAAATTAATTATGTCTCATTATTTCTGAGTTCTCGAATTATTATACTATAGATGATTTAACCATAATTAAACCTTAAGGGTAGTTTTCATTATGTCTACAACCCTCTTAAGCTGAAGAAAATACTATTAATTAAACCATAGAAATATATTTCTTTTGCGCATCGATTATGGTTATTTATGTACAAATCAGTTATAGTCACTTAGTCACGTTTGCCTTTCAAGTGTCGATCTAATGTTACAGCACAAAAAAGATTTTCCTCATTTGCTTGAAAGAATTGAATTATTATTAACACCTGCAAAGCATCAATTGTAAATTTTGATAATGACTGACATAGCAATGAACTTAACACATTAACAACACTTATCTTTTGTTATCGAAAATTGAATTACATTACATGATAAGAGTAATAAAAAAATGAATTAAGATAAATAAAAAATAATAATTAGGGAAAAAAATTACTGCATAGTTGGGTTAGCAAGTTCACAACTGATGTGTATGTTCGTAATGTATGTATGTAAAGTAAATTCGACCACCCAGCTTGGGATATTCTTATACCTTTAAATGAGCAATCAGTATATATTCTGAATCTCGGAAACGGCTGCAACGATTTTCATAAAATTTAGTATACAGGGGATTTAGGGGGCGATAAATCGATCTAGCTACGATTTATTTTCAGAAAATGTTGTTTTATTCGTGTTTTCAATAATCAACTCTTCCCGACATCTATTGGCGAATAATATGTACTATTTTTCTTAATTGAGGGCAACTAACCACTTTAAAGACACAAGATGGCGTTATAAAAAAAAACCGAACAAAACGGTCATCCTCTAGTATGAAGTAAAATTGTATAGTGTAACAGATGTCCTACCCTCAAACCAGAATACAATATCATGATCGCAGGATGGTTTTACTTATCCAGTAATTAGATAAATAGTTAAATTTTACAATTTGATTTTTATTACACAGTATTATTCTTATGTTATGGAAGTTATTTATGAACATGTGTTAAGTATGAAACTCCCCAGAAAAATTGTACCTATCTGTAATATTTAACACCAGTATAATATAGATTATGTGAGTCCACTGGGGTCTTGCTCTTTAAAGCATGTCTTCAAAATGAATTTAAACAACTTTATTCTTATGACCAGTATAGTGTTTTTTTTATTTTTTTATTGCCCTTGTAGGCAGACGAGCGTATGGCCCCCCTGATGGTAAGTGGTCACCGTCGCCCATGGACTTCAGCAATGCCAGGAGCAGAGCCAAGCCGCTGCCTACCACATAGTAATCCCCTTTATAACATAATTCTCTTATAGTGCATTTATTTTTATATTATTTATTTAGCATTAATTATTATTCATATAGCACAGACATCAGGAGAATATTGAATAATATGGAATTTCACATGTTATATTTCGATACTGTGAAATTTATAATGTTTTGTACAGTTCATTATTAATTCCATGTACATTTGCACGTTGTTTCAATTGTGTTGTATTTATTATATTTATACATATTGTGTTATATGGGGTCATACAAGCATATTATGGGAGAACACTCCTTCAACGCAGAACCAATGTACTGTGTAATAAGGGGAGGATTACTGAATATTTTCTTCATTGAATTTCTTGTTAATTGTGTAAAATGATGTAAAAACATGATATTTTCAGTGAATTGAGTAGTTTTTAATAACACTATTTTTAACAACAACTTTTACATTTTTTATTGAGAGCAAAGTTATGCATTTGATGCAATTAAATATTGTTTTTTGCACATTTGTATAGTTTAAATCACAGGAAAGATAGAGTTTTGACATTGTGTAAATGAGGAAACTGGTTTTACAATTAGATGCAAATAAGGCAAATGGTTTGTACACAAATGGTTTTCACAAAAAATCAGGTTACAAAACTGTATTTATTAAACTGAATTATTCAGTTATACAAGAGAGTATGCAAATTCTAAATACTTACGGAACAGTAAAACCTCAGGGCAATTGCTTGTAGCGTATCTCCTTCCTGAACTTGCGCCTCAATAAAATGTTCTTGTGGCTTAATTTTGTATAATTGTATGTCACTGCGGCCGTTGTCGTCGTTTTTTTTATTGTTCATCACGTCATACGATATTAAATCGTCTCCACTATGCATGACGCGAGTTCTGCGGGGTGTAAACATTCTTTGTAACACGTAAACAAGCAGTATCTTCTTGGATTTTTTCTACTTTTCTTACCTTTGTTTCATGGTGAAAAACGGTACTTTTACTGACAATGTCTAACATGACCCCAAATATTATTGAATGCACATCGATTTAAACATCTAAAACGTGTTAAATTTATTTTAATTTCATTTATAAATCAAAGGGATTATCCTGTGAACAGCTGCTATTTCAACTATTTTGACGGAATATCAATGTTTTTGACAATCAAACATTTGACATTGATTGGTGGCAGGACGGTACGATTTCTTGATGACGTCCACAAATAAAAACAGAAAACCACTTTATTACCAAGGCATTGTATTTGCACTGTAATTATTACCAATGCATTTTATTAGCAATGCTAATGAAATTGCTCTGAGATAGCTGATATGTAAATTATGAAATTTCCAATTAAAATTAGAATAGCAGTAAAAAAAATTGCATAATCCTCATTCCTCAAAGATCAATCTACTGATTTTATTTTAGAAACTTCTTAATTATTGTAATATACAAATTGTATGAAAATTTGTGGCTATTGAAGACTTGCTCAGCAAAGTGTCCAAGGTAAGGACGCACATACCCGTCTGCTACTGCTACACATAATAATTTAAAAAAATTCGTCCGTGACTGCGTTCCAAACATTAAAACATTAATCATAATAATTTATTGCCACACACACAACACCATTGCAAACTTTTACGCGCCCGCAAAAAATGCAGGTTCTACGAAGTTCTAAAAATAAAAAGCTTAAATAACAAGCAAATTTTTTAAAAATAAATTGCTTGAAATCGCGCTAGGTAAAAGGTCATATTTCTATTATTTGACAGCTTCCATGGAGTCTGATGGTCACTGGAAAAGTAGAGGAAAAACGTCCTAGAGGCCAGAGCCCAAACGTTGGTCCGACCAGATATCCGGGCAAACCAGCGGACCACTTAGCGCTGCACTACACCAGGCAACTGATCGGAACCTATGGAGGCTGGCAGTCGACAAGCTGAAACGGAGTCACGATCATCAGCAATGAGGGAGCGATGGAGAAGAAGAAGAAGAAGAAAAGATCATATAGGAAAATGTTTAATTAAAACAATTCATAAATTATTTTCAATTAAGTTTATAAATTTATTGGTTGAATATAATACACAGCAGTTAATCATATAGAACATAAATACCTTTGGTATTACGTCGTACTGGTGGTAATAATTGCACATAATTTTCGCTTTAGCTACATTTTATACAGAAAATACATTATTAAAAATTCTACTTATTTCATTACTAAGGGTAACTTCATTTGCAGTTTACGCTTTAATTTCATTCGAATATTCAGTAGTTGGTTTCCTCATTAATACAAATGTTCTGCGTATTAGGGAACGTACCCATACTACGTGACTCCTTTAGGGGGGGGAGCGGAGTCTTTAAAATACTACGGTCAGTCACAGGAGCGGGGGGNAAAATACATTATTAAAAATTCTACTTATTTCATTACTAAGGGTAACTTCATTTGCAGTTTACGCTTTAATTTCATTCGAATATTCAGTAGTTGGTTTCCTCATTAATACAAATGTTCTGCGTATTAGGGAACGTACCCATACTACGTGACTCCTTTAGGGGGGGGAGCGGAGTCTTTAAAATACTACGGTCAGTCACAGGAGCGGGGGGTGGCTCAGGTTTTTATCACGTAGTCGATTTTAGGGAGAGAAATCTCGTATTTTTTCGACTTATATTCGAATATAGCGCGCAGTGTTTAGCGCTTTGTAAAATCACACTACATAATTCACTAGTAATTTAAGTGTGCATGCAGTCTTATGAAATAAAGACGAGTATGAACCAAAAAATTTTTTTTTTTTCAATTTTTGCCTGTGAAATTATTGAAAATCATAATTATGAATTACTACGTGAAAACTAAAGGGGGAGAGGGGGGGTCTTGGCATATACTACGAGTGATCACCGAGGGGAGGGAGAGGTCGAAAAAACAAAAAAAATAGGTCACGTAGTATGGGTACGTTCCCTTACATGGTTTCAACCATTGGCAGTTTTAAAAGTTAACTTAATTACTTATTAATACCTTTTTGGTTGTCTGTTATGCGTCGACATGCCTGATCTAGGTGTTGTTTGGTTTTAGTTTTAACAACTTATTATATCGTTTCATGATACAAGGCATCATTCTCGGGGCACTACTACTGACCGATTACTTAACTTACAAACTTAACAAACGAAAATTGTTTTAAGTTAAAATAGTAGGTGTATATTACAAGTTGGACTTCAGGAATAATTTCCTAACTGTACACTGTTTATAAGTTGTATATTTTAAGAGTTATTACTAACTAGAAAATTAAATATAACAGACAAAAAGTATAACTTCATCTATTTTAATTTTCTTTCATAGTCACTTATTAAGATTGAAGATAAACTTCGTATCCTAATACGTAATTATTTTTAGAGTCAGATCAATAACGCCCATAAATGCTTTATTAAATTTAGTGAGTATTTTGACAAATAAAATAATAGAATTTTTGTATTTCAATAATATGAATAACTGTGGGCTGTGAACTCGTCCACCCAACTATGCATTTTTTTTAAACTGAAAAATGATACACAGTGAATGTAATTATGTAGTTGGTATAAATAAAAACTAGGGAAAACAAAATGCTTTTTTTATGAGTGTCCCAGAAAAATTAACAATCGATATGAAAGGTGTTTATTTATAGAACTATGTGAATCACAATAACTTTAGAAAAATTATGTGTTATGTGATAAACTCTGTTAATATAGTAGAATGACAAATGTTGTTGTATGGCTACCACATCAACCATTGTTAGCATAGCGCTTTATATCAACATATTATTTTACTGCATTGAGGTAGAGCTCTCAGCAAACACGCTTGTAAGTAGCTAATATACCGAAGCCTATAGCCGTATTTATTAACTTCTTTTTTCACATTGATTATATCAGTTGAAATGAAAACTATCTAGTTTTTTCTTGACTTTCCCGGTCATATTTCCAGGACATTCGAAACACTCAAATAAAATGCAACACTGTTTTATTTACCTAATCCACTGGAGAAATGTTTACGTTAATAAATGAATAACAATTGATTTTATAAATAAAACTAAAAAGAACACCCTTTGTAGCTTGTGTTCAAACACAACTTTGTACCCACCCTTTAGGTTCAACATCAAAACGACTCGATGGTACTTATATATTTGTTTTCCGATGGCAAATTATATATAATAGTTTCTAATCGATACATTCCCTTTAAATCCGTTTCAAAACTTATTCTAGTTACAAGTGGCTTCTAAAAGTTCTATAATGAACCTTAATTGAACTCAATGATGCAAGAGAATTTATTTATTAATTGTTTATCGAATAAAGACGGACAGTCCCGAGTCAGTCTTCACAATTACTACAGTTCCGAAAAGCATTTCATCTAAAAAAATATAACGTGCATAATCCAAAACATTTATCATTATTATTTACATTAAAAAACACAATATATTTACATATTTCTACGAATACAATCGAATTAAAATAGTTTTGTGCCCGAAAATCACGATTTTGCGATAATTAGATTGAATAATATCGTGTTGAAATGTCTTTTTTTTTGGTTGGACGCACAGACTAAATACGACGTTAATTCATTTTTATTAGGTGATTTTATTATGAAATTACATTTATTTCAAAATTAACATACCCATTAAATCAATTAGGTACGTTTATATGTTTTTAATGGAATTTCTGTCGATTTCAATTTTATTTTGATGAAAACATATTTCTTAGTATTCAAATAGGTAAAAAAAATCATTAAACAAAATGAAGCCAAACAGTAACATAGTACAAGCGTAGTGTACAATATGCTGGTATTGAATTTTAATAAAATAAAAAAAAGCGCTAATGAAATTAAGAAAGCTGTTCAAAGCGCGCCTTATCCATATCACAGGTTGAATAACATACTAAAATACTAAGTCTAAAGACTAAGGATTCGACTTAAAAAATAATCGAACAATTTTCGAAAATTTTCGCTTCGAATAATTCTCCCATTTTAATAAAGAACTAGCTTCATTGTAACTCTGAAGCATGCTCCTGAAAACTTATCCAAAAATTTAAACATTTTACATTTGCAAATATTTTTAAAATGTTAATTCATGTTTACATTTAGAACATGTTATGTCTTAATTCACACAAACTTTTTAAATGAGTCAACATTTAACTTGAAATTGCAAAAGTATATTGTATACAAAACTTCAGTGCACACTGTCGGATGAAGAATATGTATTTGGATTTTTAATAGGATTTCAGTAATTTTTAATCAGTTTCGGATAAACCTAATTTATTGTTATAGAAATTTTGGATTGACTCTCAGTTTGAAAACAAAAAGGGATAATAAATATTGCATTTAATTGTTGACTAAAGCAATTTCTGTCCACATAATTTTAAGCCGGAGACATGACAAAGTTTGGAATATGGGTACTATATACACGGGATATCTTGTTAAATATACACTTTGTCTAGTAGGTACACAACAGCAAAACGTTTGAATAAAAACTGTTATAGCTACCTAATATATACTTATTTTAAAACATTCATCAATACATTTATAAAACACGAAGTTAATTTGATTGAAATATATCAAAATGTTATCAGGTAATTTTAATAGTTATGATTTGTTTTGAGAAACAAAATAAAAAATAATAATATAAATGTAAGTAGTATTAAAAATAGTATAGTATACGTAAATGAGATCGAAACAAGAAATATAAATATGGCAAGACACATTTAAAACGAGGAAGCGTCTTAATAACGGAAAAGATAACACAACTCCGATAACATCCAATATCAAATCAGCAGTTCTAAGGCGACCAATTTCACTTCATGAATCTATCATAATTTATCTAGTTCTAGTTTTAGGATTCACGCGTTATCAAAACCTTGGAAGTCTCCGGGCCAGTTCTCCCTTCGGGCCACTCGATCGGAGCCCGTGCACGCGAAGAACGCATCGCCTTCGAAGGGGTCCGAGTCTCGAGTGAATATGTTAATCGATTCCGATTTCCTGATGTCTTTGTGCGGGGGAGGTCTCGCGCGGAGGGGGGGGACGTCGTTCTCGTCCTCCTCGGCTATAGAGGCGGCGCGGCCCCGCGGCGTCGACACGGCCGTGAAGTCGTCCTCGAACATCGAGCGAGGTGAGATCGAGTCGGAATCGAATCGGAATCGAGTCGTGGACGAGTCGCCGTCGCGGACCCGCGCGCTGCTGCCCGACGCGGGGGACGCCGTCACGTCTTCTGATTCAAATACGAATCTGAAATTCAATGGTGCCACATCTGTGAGACCTGTTATCGTTTTTTTTTTTAATAGCTTAAGTGTGCGGACGTGCTCACGGCTTATCGGAGCATATAGACATCTACAATGTAAATGCCGCCACTCACCTTGAGATATGAGTTCTAAGGTCTCAGTATAATGTAACTACATTATAATTTATACTATACACAATTCAATCGTCCTCACGTATGACGTAATAGTATATACGTAGTGTGTACGGGTTCCGGTGAATACTGAACTCTATACAGAATTCGTCTACTCATCTATAGTAGAATTATTTTGTCCGTGGAGTTTGGGTCATAAATCATAGCCCGGCTAGGGCGGTGAGCATATTGCGCGGGCGCAACGCCATTATCGATAAAAACAAATGAGTCATCGAAGGCAGGTACACGGCGGCGGGGTGGTATACGAAGGGTGGTGAAACATTGTTTTATGAGTTATTTGTTGTACTTGCCTGCAAATTATAGTACATATGTCGAAGAGAAATGTGTTTTTATGCATTCGCTCTGTGAATGTCTTTAGTGACACAATGGCTACTCCTTTGTTTTGTACCAAAACGGCAGAATTTATTCAAAATAATATTTGCACGTGTGTTATCAAAAATATGTTAAAAATTTTCACTGAAATGAAAATAGATCCCGAAAAGTTACAAAGTGTTAATTTCTACCGTTCTCGTTAACTTGCTGCAACGATATGTGGTGTAAGTGTTCGATTAGTGATTTTTACTTTCATTTTTATCACTAATGCGGGATTTACATTACGAAATTAGTGTCATGCATGTTGAGCTCAGTTTCACGAAAGTAGTTTCAATATATGCGAAAGTAATTTCGTAAAAAAATTAGTGTCGCGAAATCCACAGTATCGCAGTAACCATGGCGCCTTCAGCATCAATGTTATAATTTGCTATATTCAATGTAGCTAAAGAAATGCTTATATACCTATAAACTTAAAAAAAGACTAAAAAAAAAAGTTGGTAGATTCGAGGATGGTCAACAAGAAGGTATTTAGGTGCGATGAAGTTAGTCTCTGAATTAGCAGATGAAGATCCTGAGAGTTATAAAAACTATTTTCGAATGAGTGAAGATAATTTTGATTTTTTACTGTAGGTGTTTCGAGTCCCAGAGACACCCTTGTCGCTGATATTCATTAAGATCTATATTTTTTTCTGTACTCCATCGTTGGTTTGCCATTTTCAACGCTTGAAGCGCGTCCGAACAACAATACACACGTCCACACAGCGCAGGCCCTTTCGCGACATTAGTTTCACGTCGCGTCTACACTATGAAATTAGTTGCATGACACTAATTTCACCAAAAAATCGCGCAGGGCACGAAACTAATTTGCATGCATGAAATTAATGCATGCATTACGAAAATATTAAATTACACGTGAAACTGATGGTAAAACTAATGTCACGAAACTAATTTCATGCCACTAATTTTGTAATGTAAATTCGCCTTAACCCACAAAATGACAAAACTAAATACACTATCGATAACGCTTATCGAAAACAATAATGCGCATCACTATGCCCGTCCATAAGGTCCGTGAGTGGAAGAGAGAGCGAAATACTCGCTTCATCGCTTCGATTATTTATGACCCAAACTGCACGGAGAAAATAATTCTACTATAGGTAGATTATTAACCCATAGACTACACAAAAAAAAATCTGAACTTTTTCTTTCAAAAATCCATAGACAACTTTATATGTTGAATATTTTACCTCGTCCCTTCCAGGCTGGCGTAAGGCGCCCGTTTCTTGGTCGTCGGAGTCGGCGTTTCCTGGAAGTCGTTATCGAAGGGCGAGTCCCGGTCCCGGGGCGAGAAATCATTCGAGAATCGATAGTCTCTGGGCCGCGCCCGGGGCTCGTCCCTGCGGGGTCGCCGACGCGACTCTCTGGACTCCCGGGAGTCTCGTGACTCGCGCGAATCCCTGGACTCTCGGCTGGTCTCCCGCTCGCGTTCGCGGTCGCTGTCCCGCCTCGCGTTCGTGGACCGACGTCCGGGCCACCCGAGTGTTGAGCCGTATCTTAAACAATTACACTTAAATTTGTAATCCAGTAAGAGCCAACTATGTAAAATTTCTTCGGGATAAAGAGTTATTTGGATCACTTTCTAATCCATAGCTATCAGTCGATTTATTGGTACGTAAAATCACGGAGCAGCGAACATACTACTGTACTGATACTACATAGACTACTACTACTACTACTGGCTACAGTTGTACCCAGCGTCACCCGGGAACAGATTATTTATTAGTGACGAACATGCAAACATGAAACCAAAGCGCATGAGAGCTGTGATGAATAAAACACCGAAGTAACCACCCGAGCGCACCGTGCGCCCCCAACTCGTGAAGTGGGGGGGGGGGGCTGTAACTAAGCTGTGTGGGTTTAAATGACCTGATTTAAAAGCTGACAAAACTCTAGTTCTTGATCGTTTCTGGTTAACTTTTTGAAGGGTAGGGCAGCCGTTGGACTATTAATACTGAGACTTAGAACTTATGTCTGGAGGTGGGTGGCGGCATTTACGTTGTAGGTGTTTATGGGCTCCGGTAACCGCTTAACGCCAGGTGGACCGTGAGCTCCACCCACCCACCTAAGCAATAAAAATAAAAAATAAAACTAGATTTGTTATTAAAGCTCCTAGAAGCACGGTGCCCTTGACAATGACCGAACGAAAGTTTTACCTCTGACTATACTTATTGCTAAAATAATTTTGTTTTTTTATTATATTTTTATTGTCCCTGTTGGCAGACGGTTATATGGTCCACCTGATGGTGAGTGGCTACCGTCGCCCATGGCCCACAGCAATGCCGCTAGCTAACGTAATGTAACGTTTAAATCAACGTAAAGGACTTTACCTCCTGTCATTATCTTCGGTTTGCCTCATTTCAGCTCGACGTCTCGTCTCGCGCCATCCAAGTGAACCATAGTTTCTTTCTGCGAACCAACATTCATTATTGATCCGATTCCTCACTCTTAACTTAAACAGACCATAACAGGTTAAAGGGCCCATTTTGAACTTTTGCATTGAAAATTGCATGTATCATCTTATTGCTTTTGCATATTTGACTTCATGACTTTTCTTAACAATTAATCTACGGTTATTATACATTTTTAGTTTTGTTTTGTCTATTTTGAATAATACTTGTATTTTTTTACGCGTGTTAGCCGGAGTGTTGCTAACACTGGCCCTAGCAAGAGCAGTGCTTCGCAGAATCTGCCACCGGATCGGAAACGCGACCCACTGAGAAGATCCGGCGAGAAACTCAGTGGGCTGTGTCTGTGGGTTAATTTACTCGTCGAGCCCTTCGTCGCAAGCGACGGGTTCGACGGGAATGATGACCGGTGTTTGAGGTACCTAAATTACCTAACCTCACTCTTAAAAGGTGCGGCTCGCCGGTGACAGGGCTTGATGGCGGTATTATCGCGAGGACGTGCTTGGAGGCGGTCACGAACTTCGATAATAAGGAATAAGACAAACTAAAAAGAATGTGCGGCAGATCTCAAGCGCCTTCATAGTTCACTAGATTTCTGTTTTTATCACCAGATGATGTCTTTAATGTATGCATACACCACCAATATTAAAGCTTACAAATGTTATCGAATGTCAGGAGTAGATAAATATTAATTATTAAACCCAATGCCACCAACCAAAAAATGACGTTAAGACGTTTAATTAGTTATTAACGTAATTTAAGGGGAATTACCGTCTCTCCTCCACCTCTGGTCGGGCCAGCGTTCTCTGGGCGACGATCTGCCGGAACCGCACCCGTCACTGTAACTGTGGGTCAGATATGCATTTTTTTTTATTTATTGCTTAGATGGTTGGACGAGCTCAAAGCCCACCTGGTGTTAAGTGGTTACTGGAGCCCATAGACATCCACAACGTAAATGCGCCACCCACCTTGAGATACAAGCTCTAAGGTCTCAAGTATAGTTACAACGGCTGCCCCACCCTTCAAACCGAAACGCATTACTGCTTCACGGCAGAAATAGGCAGGATGGTGGTACCTACCCACCCGCGCGTACTCACAAGAGGTCCTACCACCAGTAATTGTTAATATGCCTGCACAAAACAATGTTCTTTCAGCTTGATGGTTACTTTTTTTATACAGCCGTACTAACTCTGCGCAGCCAAATTTTATTTGCAATAAAATATGAAAATTAAAAAAGAGTTTAAAAAAAACTAACAAAATACGCTTTTATAGAAAATCCAACAAAAAAATTGAAAATAAATTTTAATAAATTTGAATTAAAAATAGTGTAAGAAAAAAAAAATTAAAAAAAAAGCGTGGGGTCCTTTTCAGGATATTATCAAAATAACCCTTCTACTTCTATCTGTTCATAAAATATTTATAACTACTGATACCAGGCACTATTAAGCACCACACTAGAGATCCCATTCCACGACGCCCTTCATGCGGCCAATGATCGGAGGCGCTGGCGGGACATCACAAGGAGTAAAATCATGTCGAATTATAATGGTCACGACCCTCAGCAGTGAGGAAACGACGCGAGGAGGATACCAGGCACTATTAAGCGTATTAAAACGTGGACGAGCCCGCTTGGTGCCAAGCGGTTACAGCAGATGGTGAACAGAAAACCATGAACCACTCGCCTTGAGGCATGAGGTCGAATTCTTCGTAATATTGTATAAGAGCTATCCCACCCTTCAAAGCGGAAAGTTTGTGCGGGCGTGTGGGCTTATACTGCTACCAATAGATTTCACTGCAACGATTTTTGGTCGAGGATACCGTTACTCTTCCGATAAAAAAATAATAATTGAGAAGTACAACGCCATCTATCGCCGAATAGTCGAACGAATATCGAAGGTACTAGTAAAATCGAGAAGTACAACGCCATCTATTGTCAGATAGCAGAAATGCACATTAATGCTACTCGACTTGTCCAGAATGTACTCCATAAATCTAGGGATGTCGTATCAACTATAAAAGCGTTAGATGGCGATACTCTTATCAGCGTGATAGTGCGAATCGAATTCAATTGCGAAATAAAGCGAACTTACTCATCTTCTTCGTCATAAGAATGTCGTTGTCTCCTATGCCTGTCTCTATCCTTCTCCCTGTAATCTTTAGTCGGTCTCTCTCTGCTACGAGAGTCTCTATAATCTCGACTATAATTTCTATCTCTGTCCCAAGAGTCGTTTTCTCTTTCTCTGCTCCTCCTGTCTCTCCTCTCCCTGTGGTCTCGATCTTTGCTGATGTCACGCCTGTCTCTCCCGCTGCCTGAATCCCTTCGATCTCTTGCGGAATCTCTTCCATCTCGTTCTCGTTCGCGCATGTCTCTCTTATCTCTTATTTTTTCCTTTTCCCGTCCGCTACCAGAGTCTAAGCATTCCCTCGAACCGGATGAGTTGTGTCTAGATTACATAAAAGTTTTCTATTAATTCCAGTTCTAATGAATTAAGGCAGTGTGAACATTACGATATAAAGGTAGACTCAGGTATCTTAATAATTTGTTTGGCTGTTGAACACAAGTTACAGTTAGCAGAACATTTATTTTTATTGCATTGATGTGTGGACGAGCTCACAGCCCACCTGGTGTTAAGTGGTTATTGGAGCCCATAGACATCTACGACGTAAATGCCGTCCCACCTTGAGATATAAGTTCGAAGGTCTCTGTATATAAATAAACGGATGCCCCACCCTTCAAACCAAAACGCATTACTGCTTCACGGCAGAAATAGGCGGGGTGGTAGCACTCACCCGTGCGGACTCACAAGAAGTCCTACCACCAGAACTATCGCAGTACTACTATTATTAGTATATACTATCCCGTTTTTCTTTCATTTAATGGTAGGACATCACAATGATTATTGGTACAGTACTAATACTAATGCAATAAAGCTGAGCACTCTTCTGTCCAGATTATCACAATCACAAAAAATGGGGGGTATTTTAATGTAGATACCTCGAATCTCGGTCTCGATGGTGTGAAGGTGGTCTAGGCAGTCTGGTCACCGGAGGCAAGTCTTCATCCCAGGGCGACACGTCTCTTGACGACGACGAAGTTTGTACTACAAACCAAATTATGATTGACATACGAGCACACGTCCCAACTAATGCGCCGAAGCTAGTACATCAGTAGGGTCAAGGACCATAGTTAAGCCGTATTTCCAGCCCATAACAGCCCACTGAGTTTCTCGCCGGATCTTCTCAGTGGGTCGCGTTTCCGATCTGGCTAGTGTTAGCAAAGTCGTCATGTCAGAGCCGCGTGAGCTCATCTCCTTACGCTGACATAGCCTCTCAAGGCTACCAGGTTAGGTAAAAAAACCATTATTCTTAGAAGAGAACAAGTCTATATAATATGTGTTTTGCAATTGACAACGAACATAAGTGTGTAAGTTTTAGACACTTGACATCAATTTTTTTTTTGTTTTTTTTTTGTACGTATTATATCTTTATTTTTCACTTCGACATCAAATTGTCATCTTATGTCTTTAGGTGTTCTTAGGTCTTTAGGTTATATATAAGATGTAGATGTGTGTGTATGTGCGTGTGTGCGTGGGGGTGTGTGTGTGTGTGCGGGTGTGTGTGCGTGTGCGTGTGTATGCGTGTGGGTGTGTGTGCGTGTACGTACCAACGACAGTCCTGGTGGCGGCGGGGCTGTGTCGCGGGCGGTGCGAGCGACGCACGCGCGGCTCGGACTCCCGCGAGTCGGAGGACGCGCCGGAGCCCCCCGCCCCCCGCAGCACGGCCCACCGCCCCGCGCCCCCCACGCACTTCTCTGATCACCCACACAAANTGCGTGTGCGTGTGTATGCGTGTGGGTGTGTGTGCGTGTACGTACCAACGACAGTCCTGGTGGCGGCGGGGCTGTGTCGCGGGCGGTGCGAGCGACGCACGCGCGGCTCGGACTCCCGCGAGTCGGAGGACGCGCCGGAGCCCCCCGCCCCCCGCAGCACGGCCCACCGCCCCGCGCCCCCCACGCACTTCTCTGATCACCCACACAAACATCATATCGACATTGTATTTGAGAAAAAATGATTCGATTCACGCAAACTTCCAAAATTAATTCTCGATGCAGATCTCAAACATGAAAACATCTATACTTATATATAAATCTACAGTGGTTTTTTCGGATGTTCCGTTATAACTACTGAACCATGCATCCGATTGACTTGAAACTTGGTATCCATGTAGAAAATACATGTACTTAATGGATAGGCTAATATTTATATAATTGTTGGACTCCCTAAGCCAGTTGCGGGGGCGTTAATGATGAGAATCTTTGTGGGGGTGAGAAATAATAATGTTAATTTTAAATGCCCAGCGATGTGGCCGGGTACAGCTAGTAAATGTAAATAATGAAAATTTGACATCAAATATTGTCAAGATAGTCAAGATGATTAACTTAATTGAGACCACTGTTATGCTTTAATCCCGCGTTTTTTTACTATCATTATATTGTATTAACTACCGTATATTTTCTTATAAAAATATTCCTAGACTTTCACTAGACTTGGGCTTGAGTGACCAACGCCAAAGTGATTTTTACCTATAATAAGTTCAAAACGTTCGAAAATGTCTGAACACTATGTTCTTCAAATATACAACTTTACCACACCCTTTCTATTAGTTTTAACGGACAGCGGTCACGAGTCATTTGGTCAAAGCTCGGGCTGCAATCGAATCACGACTCTATCATCCTTCAGATAGGTACCATCAACTATAAGTCGGATACGTCCATTACCATATTAAGGCGGCCACTCACACACCTGTTTGGATCGCACTGAAGGAAATTTCTTCTACTCGCCGATGTTATTCACAATTATTAAGGCCTATTTGGCCTATCTGGTATGGGCCTACCAGATAGGCCTATTTGGCCTTTCTGGTATGGGCCTACCAGATTTCCTTGGGGCAGGTTTTGTTTATTTATGTTTATTGCATAGATTGGTACACGAACTCACAGCCCACCTGGTGTTAAATGGTTACCGGAGCCCATAGACATCTACAACGTAAATGCCGCCACCCACCTTGAGATATGAGTTACAACGGCTGCTCGCCCTTCAAACCGAAACGCATTACTGCTTCACGGTGGTGGGCTGTGAGCTCGTCCACCCTTCTAAGTAGTAAAAAAAACATTCGTACCTTTTGTATCGGGTGAAGATCCGCTAACAACGTCGCTAATGGAGCCGGTCGAGACCCTCTCCGGAGGCCTCAGTTCCCGCACCGGAGTCAACTCGACAGCTACGTCCTTCTTATCCTCATTTCTCTTTTCCTCTTCCCTCTCTTTCACGCTCGGGCTCTTCCTGAACGCGTCTTCAACGTGCGTGAACGAGAGAGAACTATTATCGATGCAGTCGAAGAAGTCGGAGTTATCGAAGCCGTCCGATTTTTCATCGGACTTCTTTCGTTCCTTTGGTATTTCTGGAGGGAGGGACTCAAACTCGTCGGGGGGCTCGGTTATAGTTATTTCGCGTAAAGCAGCGTATCTGAAATAGCAATATTACGATCATTCAAAACAGTTTTTTTTATATCATCACTACATAGTATAAAACAAAGTCGCTTTCTCTACCCCTATGTATGTTTAAATCTTTAAAACGACGCAACTGATTTTGATGCGGTTTTTTTAAATAGATAGAGTGATTCAAGAGGAAGGTTTATATGTATAATAACATCCATTAAATAGTGGAGAAATCAATAATAAATTACAGTTTCCGAAGCGAAGCGAGGGCGGGTTGCTAGTATCCCTATATTTAAATTCAAATTTTAAGCTAGTGGTAGGGCCTTTTGTGAGTCCGCACGGGTAGGTACCACCACCCCGCGTATTTCTGCCGTGAAGCAGTAATGCGTTTCGGTTTGAAGGGTGAGGCCGTTGTAACTATAATGAGACCTTAGAACTCATATCTCAAGGTGGGTGGCGGTATTTACGTCGTAGATGTCTATAGGCTCCAGTAACCACTTAACACCAGGTGGACTGTGAGCACGTCCATCTAACTAAGCAATAAAAAAAAAGTTCAAGCTCACATCGAGGGATGAATGGCTATTTGCTTTAAGCGATATTGCGCTGAATACGCGACATTTATCTTTGTAATTAAAGGTGCTTCTTATTTAGTATTAGCATCAACAGTTCGATGTTTTCAATTGAACTTCAATTAAGTTTACTCGATTGAAATACTTGAAAAAGTTTTTTTGTTGTGACATTTTTTTCAAATTTTAAATTTTTAATGGCTTTCCTGTAAAGTTGCAAAAATGTTGCTTAAACCAAAATATAACCTATCACCCGTCGATATGATAAATGTCATAAACATTTTAACCTGTCACTGGAATCTTCTAGTTTGATTTCGACGGTTCCATTACTGTCACGTGGCGAAACACTGCCCCTCGTCTTGTCGATCTGCAGACTCTTCATCACCGATTTTATGTCCTCGATTTTCGCGTCAATCTGCGAAGGTTTCGGGCTGACCGACTTCCTGAACATATTAAACGAGTCCAAGGTCAGCTCGTCCAAGCTCTTCAAAGGACTTTTGGACAGTTCCTTCGTTTCGTCACGATCTTGCTTCGATTTGATGAGGTCGTTGATCGCAGTCAACTCTTTGCAGTCCGAGTCGGTCTTGTTATCGATTTCGCCGTCGCTCGGATCCAAAATCGATTTCGCCTTCAGTTCTTGCTCTTGTATCTCTCTGAAAACCGCGTATCGATCGAACGAAGGGTTCGCCTTTTTATCGAAATCATCGAAGTTCGCAACGAAGGTTCCGTTCGTTTCGGTCGTGGGAGCGAAGTCGTCTTCGAACTGCGGCTTGAAATCTGTAGACGCTTCCGGCGCTGACGGAATAGTGCTGTCCAATTTACGCGATATTATCGATATCGATGTCTCCTTTTCGGTCTTCGTGGAAGGCTCTACGTGTATGTGCTGCCATATGAAAAAAAAAACCATGGTGTTATAAAAAAAAATGGTGCGCTTACAACTTAGTGTATGTGATAGAAGTGAAACTTCTCCTGCGGTGTGTAGTATTGTGGTTCTCTTCATTTTTCATCTTTAGATAAAATTTCTCTTGTATTAGGAAATGCTATGTATAAGAGAAACGACCTAGCTAACTTTGTCCTTTCCTTCTCATCACGGTCAAATGGTTCGCGAGACGATTCATCTATTTTCTCACTCTCGCTCTTCCTAAATTGTATCTTTTCTCTCTAGCCGTAACGAATCTGTCACGAGTTCAGTTTTACTCTCAACGCTCCTAAAGAAGTTTCACTTCAATAATAAACAGCATAGTAACAGTTGGAAGAGTACTATGTACATACCGCACGGTCGTTGTCAGCCGCCAAGTACGACCTCAAATATTCAGTGAGTTGAGGCAGAGTCATGGACGATAGCGTCGCGGCCGGCACTCGTAATCTGCACACACATAAATGTGTCTGTAATGCACTGTCGTGGTCCAGCAGCAGATATGATGAGTACCACAAATATATATGTAAAATATTACAGAACATAACAACTACTGGTGGTAGGACGTCTTGTGAGTCCGCGCGGGTAGGTACCACCGCCTTACCTATTTCTGCCGTGAAGCAGTAATGCGTTTCGGTCTGAAGGGTAGGGCAGCCGTTGTAACTATACTGAGATCTTAGAACTTATATCTCAAGGTGGGTGGCGCATTTACGTTGTAGATAGATGTCTATGGGCTCCAGTAACCACTTAGCACCAGGTGGGTTGTGAGCTCGTCCACCCATCTAAACAATAAAAAATAAAAATAAAAAAAACATCTCGGCGTCATAGCGCGCCCTCAGTTTAGCGTTCTAACGCACGCTAAGTACGCGTTCTGTTTGACGAAGCCTTGAAGGCTAAGCCTAAAGGAATTAGAATTAGATTCACATCTGAATCACTCGACATCTTAATACTTTAAAATTTTCACACTGCTATCGAAAGGCACTATGATTTAGCGAATGCGTTGCGTCAGGGAGCGTTGGACTCATCTAGTCAATTTATGTGACATGAAAAGAGCGCGACGTTAAACCGCAGCGCTAAGTACGCGTTCTGTTTGACAGTTTATTACCATAATAGTATAACACATCTCAGCGTCCAAGCGCCGTCAGTTTAGCGTTCTGACGTGCGCAATTTTTTATTTTTATTGCTTAGTTGGGTGGACGAGCTCACAGACCACCTGGTGTTAAGTGGTTACTGGAGCCCATAGACATCTACAACGTAAATGCGCCACCTACCTTGAGATACGAATTCGAAGGTCTCAAGTACAGTTACAAAGGTTGCCCCACCCTTCAAACCGAAACGCATTACTGCTTCACGGCAGAAATAGGCGGGGTGGTGGTACCTACCCGCGCGGACTCACAAGAGGTCCTACCACCAGTAAAGGGATGTGGGGGACCTGAGCGCGAGTTCGTCCATGGAGCAGGTGAGGAGCTGCGCGAGCGTGATGTCGAAGCGGCGCGCGGCGGGGAGCGGGGGGGGCGCCGGCGTCAGGTACTCGTCCTCGCTGCTGTTGGTGCCGGCGGACGACAGCCGCGGCTTCGTCTTGCGATCCGCCTGCGTCGAACAACCACTGGTTACACCTCAACGGGACTACAGTTGAATATGCAATTTCGAAAAGGGCACATGTCGCATATTTTGACAAATACGTTTTTTCATATACATGTAATTTTGAGGCTTACCTACACCCATTTTATAATAATTCCAGTTATTTTCAATTGCTAATTAACATTAAAATATATCTCAAAAGTTTATATTTTAAAATTTTACACTGCTTTAGAAAATAATCAGTTTTTTTTATTCTCTAAGCAGAGGACTGCGTTTTTATTATTAGCAGGACTGTACATGGTGGCGAGATTTTGGTGTAGGCCTATGACCAGCGGTAGACGATTGTGGGCTCATGATTATGATGGTTTTTCTTGTTTGTTTAGGTACCTTTGATTTATCCTTTAAAAGTTAAATCAATGCAAACTTTTTAAGTATCAAGTCTTTATAGAATATTTCAGAACCGTCATACTTCCGTTGCCAATTGCTTTCGTTTTATTGGAGCAACTTACAGTCTAAATGTGTGTATATTAGTATTCACCCGGTTGTCGAAATTTTACTATAATTAATTGAAATTATATGTTTGAACATTAAGGGTCTGTTATCAAAGACTATCATCGCCAAGGCTACACACACTATAGTTAAATAATATTGAAGGCAAAACAATATTAATCTATTCTCAATTTGAATACAGACTGGTTATGGACGTGTGTGTGTGTCAAATGGATGATAATGTTTATCACATTTTTTTATTATTCATTTAATTTATTTTTTATGCATAATTTAAAAAAAAAGAATAGCATCTGCGCTCCTTCTCTATATAAACTATGAGTGTGGAACATTTCATATTCCTCCGCCAGCGTAATTTTCGTAAAAAGGAGTACAAAGTTTTTGCTTCACGTATAAATAGGGAAAAAAAAGATGTTTTCCATAGTTTGCAAACTGTGGAAAACAGCGGTCAAGGCTTTAATAAGCAAGAATTCCTGACTTTTGATAGAGTGGTCGTGGTCATGCATCAGTCGCTCTCGCGATGCGACGCCATGTGGCACGGTGTTTCGCAGAGTGAGAGCATTCGTTTATGTTGGAGTGAGTTACAGATTTTATGAGATCGGGCTATTTTCCAAAAAAATAACTTGGCTTAAAAGTCGCGTTACTACAAAATCCACACAAAAAAATGGCAGCAAAAAAGGCGCTTACTATAGGCTCCTTCTTCCTGGCAGGCTTAGGTAATGGCGGTCCGACGTCAGAGTCTTCGTGTTCAGTATCGTGCGGCGGTCGAGGGGGAGGTCGCACTGCCAGCACTTCGCCTGTCTTCTTGGGAGGGAGGGGAGGAGGAGGAGAAGCATTCTCCTGGCTCATTTTAGAACTAGGCTGTGGACGTTGTCTTATTGTACTCGTGTCTGTGCCCTACAGAAAAAAAAAACGTGACAAATTCTGTTTGGTATAACGAAATGTATTTTTGCTATTTTAGACGAACCTGTCTTTGGAGTCTTGGCGATTTAGGAGCGGGTTCCGGCGGCAACGACACCTGCAGGGGCCCGTTGAAGACATTCCTCGCACCCTCCAAGCTCGGTTCCAATTTCTCTAGCGCCGAATCTTTCGGCACGGTCTTCGGTTCGTCGGCTCTCGGCGCGCTAGATTTGGGGAACTCCTGCATACTCGTGAACGGATCATCTTTGAACGAATCGGAAAACGGATCCGCGTTATCGAACGGATCGGTTTCCGCGAACGGATCAGACGCGAAAAAGCCCCCCCCGAACATTGCGTTCTGCGGCTTGGCGATGGCGACCGACCCGCCCGAGTGACGCGACAGTGACGTCATCGTCGTCGCCCGACCGTAGTCGGCCTTGCACTCGTTGGCAACCGGCGTAGCATCGCTAATCAGACTCTGCGCGACCGGCACCAGGTCTTTGAGTACTTTCTTTGGGGGATTTTTGAGATCCTGAAAGAAAAACTTTTTGTCAACGTAAGGTTTACTCCGGCCGGTGCCGAGGGGGTCTAGTTCCGTGAATACGTCGTAACCGAGAGTCTGAGCCGCGCCCGTGCCCGCCTGGCTCACCTGCAAACACAGGCACACGTAAGACTTGCATGTAGACGTGACATCAAAACTTATTAAAACTACAAACATTCAAGTTTTATCTCTAACGGATAATTTTATACGTGCATTGTAATTCTCGCGTTTTTTTTTAAATTCGCGTAATCAAAAACACGTGTGATCGTGGAAGCGTGCATATAAAGCAGCGATCGGGGAACTTTTTTAATTATTACCCCAAAATATTTTTGTGTAAGTTGATATTACCCCATAGCGGAGAACAAAAAAAAAACCAAATCGCTTCTTTTTAGCATCTTTCATATTATAGCCCCCATGATAATTTTGAAAAGAAAACAATAACTAAAAATTTAAAGATTCTAAAGAAGTTTCACTTCAATATATACTTTTTACTCAAAAAAGTTTCATTGTTACCCCCCACAATTTCATTTTACCCCATTTCGGGGTAATTTACCCCGGTTCCCCGACCGCTGATATAAAGGGTCACACACACACAAGGCGGGCTCCGGGTGGGCTCATGCTCGGTACTACAAGTGTCACGAATACATAACTACCGCTTAAGTCTTACAAGTCGTTTCTCTTCTGTGAATTTGCAACGTTCATAGATAGCCAGACGTAACACGTGACTCAAGGAGACAGTACATTACAGTACTTTGCGAAATATCAATTTATTCTCTTAAAATACCTACAGTTCTTTGATTTATAATATAAATATGCAGAGTGTGAAAGCTCTTTATTCGCTGGATATACATTCTCTGAATATAGAAAAGCGCGTTTACAAAAGATATTCGGTTGGATACCTACATATTTGAATTATTTTTATCAATGTGTTTGTACCGATGTACCGATTAGATCCGCGAATAAAATTTTTAGCCATTAATAAAGAAATTGGGGCGCATTTTTTAAATCCGCGAATAGTGAAAACGCGAATAAATAGATTTTACTTTAAAAATCGTGCAAATTTTACTTTTTTGTGTATTAGTAAATCATGCAATATTTTTTCGTTAAATACCATTCAAACAATTCTTTTGCAAAGATAAATGTTCATGTCACTTGTCAGAGAACTTCACGTGAATATACATACAGATTATTAAGATATTATTCTGATGATATGTATAGTAAGCATTTAAATATTTATTAAAACAATGATTAGTTATTGTTAGAATACAATATTATTATTTACATTTATTAATTAATAATAAGAATTATTTATATATTTATTAGGATTAAGTCGCTATAAGCAAATATTATTATTTATCATGCGAACAGCTCAATAGCACAAAATTATCTTTAAACATGCAAAAGTACTTGCCAAATAAAGATAGGTCAGACGAAAATGAACTTTATATGAAACAGTTTAGATTGATACTCACTGGTTGCTCACAAACACTGTCCACTATTGGTGCCGGTGTTGTTTCCAAGTCCGAAGGAGCCGGTACTATGTCGAATGGGAGGGTGGTCGGCGCTGTCTTGCTAGGGCTAAACGTGGAGCGCTGGGTGGCAGGGGTGCTTCGCCCTCGAGTGGAAGCCCCCGATGGCGGTGGGGGAAGCAGTCCTTTCTGTAAAATAAGCATACACGCTTGTTACATGAGATATTTTATAACTTTAAACGAACAATTCTTGTATATCTGAATCTCGGAAACGGCTCCAACGATTTTCATAAAATTTAATATAAAGGGGATTTCGGGGCGATAAATAGATCTATCAGAAAATGTTGTTTTATTCGTGTTTTCAATAATCAAGTCTTCCCGACATCTATTGGCGAATAATAATACTATTTTTCTTAATTGAGGGCAACTAACCCAGATGGCGTTATCAAAAAAAAAACCATCATCTAGTGAGATATTAATCGAAATTCCTTTTTTTTCTCCTACCTAAGCTGATAGTCTTGAGAGGCTATTTCAGAGGAAATTGCATTGAAACAACTGATGCAGTTGAAATAGGTAAGACAATTAGGAAGCTCGAAAGTTTTTTAAGCTTTTTTATTGATCACGCATGAATCAGCTATCGGCTTAGCTTAATTAGGACACAAGATCGCATCGATACAGAAAAAGGCAATATAGTGATACATAATATCCATGCGAGCTTAAAACGCCCCTACCAATGGCAATTATTTAAATTCACACATGTTTGCGGGGTTTTTGTTACTGCTTAAACGGATGATCGAGCTCACGGCCCGCTTGGTGTCTGAGGTGGTTACTGGAGCCCATAGACATCAACAACGTAAATGTCGCCAGCCATATTGGGATATAACCCGAAATTCTCCGTTCTATAGTACGACTGACCCGCTCATCAAAGCGTAACAACGCATTACCGTTTCGCGGCTGAAATAGGCAAGGTACCTAGTCGTGCGGCCTTTTTCTTTTTCCTACCTAAGCTGATAGCCTTGAGAGTCTATTTCAGCGTAACCTCAACTAGTAGGTGAGCTCACGGAGCTCAAGCCTGACGATGTTGCTTACACGAACCCTAGCAAGAGCCGTGCTTCGCAGAATCTACCGCCGGATCGGAAACGCGACCCACTGAGAAGATCCGGCGAGAAACTCAGTGGGCTGTGTCTGTGGGTTTATTTATTCGTCGAGCCCTTCGTCGCAAGCGACGGATTCGACGAGAACGATGACGGGCGTGTGGTCTACCAATAATTACGGTAATTATATTTTTTGCAAAACTTCATTTTTATAATCACAACGTTATTCCTACATCGTGGAAGTCATTCGTAAAAGCTTGTTATGTACGTATTTCATTAGAAAAATTGGTAGCTGCCTGTGGGATATTCGAACACCGACTCATTGGCTGCCAGACGCCCGCTGCGTCTAGAACGCAGCGGGCGTCTATTATTTTCCCCCAAATACGCATTTTACAATAAAATCGCTCTACCGATATTCTAGTAACACTTAAACGGATTTAGGGAAATAGTTGGTCAGTAAATATAGGCGAGGGCATAAATCTACAGCTAGAATATGTTATGGTCTTCCGCTCTTATTATCGGAGAGAAATTTGGTTATTTGTTATCACTACATAGTATAAAACAAGTCGCTTTCTCTGTCCCTATATTCCTGTGTGCTTAAATCTTTAAACCTACGCAACGGATTTTGAAGCGGTTTTTTTTAATAGATAGAGTGATTGAAGAGGAAAGTTTATATGTATAACAACATCCATTAAATAGTGGAGAAATCAATAATAAATTCGCTAGTTTCTTATATAATTCAGTTTCTGTCATAGTACCATCAACGTACAACAGATGGCGCGAGTATAGGAACGCTGTACAGTATATACAGCGAGGGTTGCGCATCCATCAGGTGGAACACCAGCTCATGAAGCACCCCGAGCATCGCAGTTGTCATCCTTTGATCTGACTTTGGCCAATAGTTAATAGACAAGTAATAGTTATTTATCTACCACAATTTATAATAAAAAATAAAAAAAACTATATTAATTATTATTATCGTATTATTTTCTTTAACTCGTGAAAATGTAGAACCGGTTACGGATTTGCAATTTTTAAAATTGAGTCTCTGATGTTGGCTTTTTATTGCAACTAAATCGTCTTTCAGGGTTGATTTACGCGGGGAGATTTCCTCGAATACAAAGCCGTATTTACTTTGAGATCAAGTTTGCTGTTGCAATATATTTAATCGCCTTCAACTGTTCACATTATGTACAGCCATTCGGAGACCAACAAGACGGACTATAAGGCGGAGCTCTGAACTTTTGCTAGACTATAGTTTTTATTTTTTTATTATCGCCTGTTGTGTTCGAGAAACTTCCCCCGTGTACATTAGTCCCCAGTCTCACTTGCGAGGTTACTATGAAGGAATCTCCGAACGGGTCAGTGGACGGCGTTAGGCCTTCTACTTGTGTTAGACCTCTTCTCAACGAACTCAGTTCTTGTTCTAAGTCCACTAGTTCAGCGACACCACCTTCGGCACCTGATTCGGTTGTCTTCGAACCGGTCGTGTTGGCATCTCCCGATGAATTCGTCTGGAAATGCAATTTGACCAAAATGAAGCTATAAAATGTTTGAAACAACGTAAAAAAAAATATGGAAATTTGAAATTTTATTTAAGATTTGTTTGTTTGTTCATTTTCCATATTTTCGCGAATCGTTCATCAGTTTGGGTTATTTTAGTGCTTCCTTATTGCTGTGTCGACAGACAAGCTCATGATTCAATGGTTACCGAAGTCCTATAGACACCACAGTGAATGCGATCAATCTTGAGACACAAGGGAGACGTCTCAAATGTATGATAGCTCTCTCAGACTAGGACACATTATTGTTTGATGGAACTCGAACCTCATATCTTAAGGTGTGTGGCGAAGTTCACGTTTGTATAGACTCCGGTAAGCACTAAAAACCAAGTGAATCGCGTGCTCTTCCGCCAATCTACACAGAATAAGGCTACAAAAAACTAGGTCTTTTTGACAGTCATCTTATAAACCTCCGATATTACTCATTATGAATAAGACCGTAAGTGTTTACACATATCTGGTACGTTATTGTTTTCCTTTTATAGGAACGATTCTTTCACGCTCTGTATAACGTATAACCTATTGTATTATTATAAACTGCCCAAGATTAAAAAAAAAACGTGATTTGTAATGTTGTGTCCTTAGCGAACCACAGAATAAATAAAACGATCCACAGATATACAAATTAATATTAAACAGCAATAAAATGATAACTGCTATCATTGAACACAAGCTCATTATGGAAATCAAAATGCGAAATGACTCTGTCGTACACTGGCACTGACCCAAATAGCTGTGGACTTTATACGAACAAATACATATAATTTTCTTATTCTCTAAATATTCTGTATTTCTGAGTAGGTTTTAGCCCTATACCTAATCAGTTTTATGTAGAGAATAAAAAGAGCGTTTCCATTCTGTTGAACGTCGGTATGAACAAAATATTCTCTTAAATTCAAACTACCCGCATTTACGACTAATCCCAGAAGTAGTTAGGTATTTCTTAGGAATTAAACAAAATTTGCAATAGGTAGTGTAAGTGACGACATAATTTCGTATTTATGAATTATAATTGTCGAAATAAAATTATAATTTTCGTTTTCTAAGTCGCTGTGTTTCATTTCATAAAAATGATCGAGATGTGTCTTTCGCCGATCTAGGTTACGCGATTCTACAATTTCATAGATAATTATAATCACCGTTTTAAGAGTCAGATCAAAGGTGTACTGCTTTTATTTTATGGGCACAAATGAGTAGATCGGCTACTGAACCTGCAGCGATTACCCGGGTCCATGCATTATGGCTGCAACCATTCATTACAAGAATACTTCTTTCCGGAATACATATGATAGGTTTACGGCAGAAATAAGACCGTTGGATTGACTTCGAGCCCCCCGAGTTGACAGAAATACCGAAAAAGGGACTTAGGGCAAGATTTTTGGGAAAATAAAATAAGCTGCATTGCGGGAAAGTGGCAAAGTATAAGTGGTACTTCCAAGTGGCCGAGTCGCTCTTATCCATATTAATCAACCCACTGAGTTTCACGCTAGATCTTCTCAGCGGATTGCTATTCCGATCCGGTGGTAGATTAAGCCAAGCATTGCGCTTGCTGGGGCTAGTGTTAGCAAGTCCACCCAGATTGAAACTCGCTAGCTAGCTTACCAAGCTCTTTGTGTTGGTATAGCCCCTTAGGCTGCCAACGATTAGGTAAGAAAAAAACCTTATGATTAACGGCCGAGAAACTTCCTATGCCTCCAATGATCATCATCATATGATACTCTGGCACCTAAGCTGGTCATTCAGTTGTTTTAATATCGATAGAGCGGACACTTCAATTATGGAGATTTTATAAAATATTCTATAATGATCATGCGCAGCTACGAGTGAAATTGAACGATTCGCATTCAATTTGTTGCGATGCAAGTGGCCCTATAGAACTTAATAAGTTTCTTTTCAAATTAACATCTGTTCCTCATTGTTCATGGTTGCCAAATGATACACCGCCGGCTAGTCTATTAGGAAAAGCCTTAATCCACCGCTGTCTCGTTGTGAATTGGAAATTAGGCTTATGAGCGCCGCTGAAACAAGGACTAATTAGGTTACTCACTTTTGTAAGTTTCTCCGAAGCTGACGTACTCGTGTGCCTCGAAAGACTGCTGATGATCGTCTTAACTTCCAATTGCTGTTTTGCCATTTCGACTTCCTTCTTCTTCAGTTCGAACACTACTTGAAATAAATCCCTCATGGCTATCACAACCTGTGATCGGAGGTGATTTTACTGACTTTTATTATTATTTCGTATTTGTATATCATGCTTGTTTACAAAAAAAATGTTTGATTTAAGATAATAAATTTAAAAAACGTTGACAGAAACGATATTTTTTAAGTAATCCGAAACTTTTCGTTCGAAGGTATTTTTGAATCAATGACTTCTATTAATATGTTTTGAGGTTGGTCTAAAATGGAGGGGCAAAAATAAATCCCTGGTTTATATTCGAGAATTTGTTGATTGTTGTGGTGGTAGGACGTATTGTGAGTCCGCACGGGTAGGTACCACCACCCTGCCTATTTCTGCCGTGAAACAGTAATGCGTTTCGGTTTGAAGGGTGGGGCAGCCGTTTTACTGTAAAAACTGAGACCTAAGAACTTATACCTCAAGGTAGGTGGCGGCTTTTACCGACATTTACGTTGTGGATGTCTACGGGCTCCGGTAACTACTTAACACCAGGTTTGCCGTGAGTTCCTCCACCAACCTAAGCAATAAAAAAATAAAAAAAAACTTACTTGACTAGCAGCTTTATCAGTCTTGATCCCGAAAAATCTATGTCCCGTGTCCGGTGAACCGAATATGTATCCAAACGCCCTTGAATCTGTCATGTCCTGAGCGATAAAGGATATCTTGTGCACTGGATGATGGTACAGAGAGTCCTGTAGAGAAAATTAAGATTCAATGGAAGTTTTTGTTTAAGACCCGTGTGTAGCTATTGTCAAATTTGGATCAATGAAGGTAATATATACAAGAGTAACATTATACAGTAGATTGGGAGGAATCGGGACGCTTTTAGGGTAATACCAATAAAATTGAGATTAAAATGGTTCCGGAGGTTTAAATTTTCATATACGATGCATTATTAGACATAGTTCATTGAAATATATACACAAAACTTAAAAAACTAGCTTGACTTGATTCACGTTGGCTTTTGGGGTGAATCGGGTCACGTATAAGGGACAATAGTTTTTTTCGATAGGGGTGGCACTATTTAGTTGTTAGGTAGGTACTTACCTTTAAGTAAATAACTTTTCAATATCTTTAATCAGTTACAAAACTGATGACTAAATTAATCTATTTAATATTCTTAAGCACTAAATAAAAGTCATTTTCTATTCAACAAATTTAAATCTCACAAAAGCGTTGTGACAACCAAGATTTGTCCCTATTCTACCCCTAGTACCTATTCCCCCTAAAACTACGGTATTGTTGGTGTTAGAGATAATACTCAGTCGCAACAAGTCCCATCTGTTCAATTTTGCGGTTAGTCGGTTTGAGTATTATTATATCCCAACGCAGTATGAGTCAATGATAATGTCTAGAGTTGCAGCAAGAGCTCATGTCAAACGGGCCACTATATATTTCAGTTCCGGTATTTAAGAAGAAATCTTTTCACTAACCTAATATTGACTGATTTTGTATACAAAGAAGAAACAAGATCCTACGGGACATTAAGTCCGTAAGTTGTATTTGTTAAAAACTCGCAAGACCGATGCTGCGAACAAAGCCTTCTTAAATAAAACAGCGATTACATTTAAAAAAAAAAGTTGTATTTCATCTCTGTTAATAATCAATCTATCAATATAATCTAGACGATTTGGTAGAAGGAGATTATTGTGGTGAACTATTGAATGATTCCACAAGACATTTCTGTGTGTTGTCCATCGATTTGACGGGAATCCCTACATACAAATTTCACGATTTTAACTGTTTTAAATGAAATTGTCCGTTCATCGCATTACAATGTCGCTATATTTATTATTAAAACTATCAGCGTCTAAAGACCTACAGCTACGGCCTACAGGCCTTGGCCTAATATAGTATAATAATATCTTATCGAGAGAGATTTACGGTTGACTCTCGCCATTCATTTCTTGGTGCCAATGATTCTGTGCTTTTCTACAATGCCATTTAGTATTCACACTATCCTTAGGGATCATCTTCACTCGTCTGCGACTACGGAGGGTTTAATGTTTCAGTTACTAGCTTTCTGTACTAAAGTAAATACATATATCATAATTATAGACCACTTGCGAACTATGACCCAATTAGGCCCTAAAATTGTTGTCCATTACAAACGAATTTTAGTATCGCATTGCATTAATATGATAACAGCCGGATTCTTCCTATACTTATAATATATATACGTGAAGCAAAAACTTTGTAGCCCTTTTTGACGAAAATTGCGCGAACGGAGAAGTATGAAATTTCCCACACTTATAGAGAATATAGAGAAGGAGTGCAGAATCCTAATATATTTTAAATTATGCATTAATAATACATTAAATCAATAAAAAAAACATTACACACACTACCATGTATTTGACACACACTGTTGTTTAAACATTGTTTATCTTTAATATTATTTGTCTATGGTGTGGGTGTTGGCGAAATCTGTAACTAGAACCATCATAATGTTCAAACTTATAATTACAATTAATTATAGTCGAATTTCGACTACTCCGGGACAGCTAGTCATTACAAATTTACTGGTGGTAGGACCTCTTGTGAGTCCGCACGGGTAGTTACCACCACCCCGCCTNTGTTGTTTAAACATTGTTTATCTTTAATATTATTTGTCTATGGTGTGGGTGTTGGCGAAATCTGTAACTAGAACCATCATAATGTTCAAACTTATAATTACAATTAATTATAGTCGAATTTCGACTACTCCGGGACAGCTAGTCATTACAAATTTACTGGTGGTAGGACCTCTTGTGAGTCCGCACGGGTAGTTACCACCACCCCGCCTATTTCTGCCGTGAAGCAGTAATGCGTTTCGGTTTGAAGGGTGGGGCAGCCGTTGTAACTATACTGAGACCTTAGAACTTATAACTCAAGGTGTATGGTGCATTTACGTTGTAGATGTCTATGGGTTCCAGTAACCACTTAACACCAGGTGGGCTGTGAGCTCGTCCACACACCTAGGCAATAAAAAAATAAAAAAAATACAAATTTAAGATCAGTCACATCATTACAAATGTAAGGTCGTTATCCGTCGTGGGAATGGTTAATTTAACTTACGCCGGTTTTGTCGTCACGCAGGCGCAGTCCGTCTATGGCCACGTGAACTTGTATCCTCTGCTTGTGCTCGCCGGCGGCTCGGATCGCCATCTTTAGATCCGCCAACGCTTCCTGGCACATCCTGTCGCCGCGGGCCTCAGGTACCTCCAGAACCCCGATGAGCTTCGCACGAAACGATACCCCCTCGCCGAGGAACCGGCCGGGATCGTTCTTGTCTGTCGGAATTAAGAAAACATTTTACTGGTGGTAGGACCTCGAGTCCGCGCGGGTAGGTACCACCATCCTGCTTATTTCTGCCGTGAAGCAGTAATGCATTTCGGTTTGAAGGGTGGGACAGCCGTTGTAACTATACCTGAGACCTTAGAACTTAAGTCTCAAGGTGGGTGGCGCATTTACGTTGTAGATGTCTATGGGCTCCAGTAACCACTTAACACCAGGTGGGCTGTGAGCTCGTCCACCCATCACTGTAATAAAAAAATATCTATCATCACCGACCTTGGCGCTACTGTCAAAGTCAGATGTTTTGCCCGGCAGGAACGGTTCTCGTTATTGATAATAATACACGTTGCTAAACTATAAACGCGCCCAGTTAATTGATTATTTTGATTACGTTTCACAGTCACAAGCAATGATTTCAGCAAACTGTAAATTCACTCTTCTTTTTTTTTGAACACACACACACACACAGACACTTTTATTGGCCGCCAAATAAATTTATTTACCTTTATTCAAAAGAGTCTTTAGGTCTGTCTTCATTGATGATAGCGAGGGCATTCTTTTTTTTTCACATACAAACGCGACGCAAGTCGGTGCAAAACAAAAGCGGGCAACGTTGTCCTATTTTGGTCCCTACTTACCGTGTATCATTGCGACATTAATTGAACATCCTGTTTTTTTTTTATCAGGATTATTTGCGGCACAGAGCGCTAACTTCTATCCACGTTTGAACAATCGAATATGTTTTCCGTGGAGACGCTTTCAAGTTTAAGATATTTGAGGAATGCTGTTTTGAGTCATAGTTAGTCAGTTTACAATCATATCTGAGTTATTTACGAAAGAAACATGCTTTGTTAGAGATGTCAGTTGTTAGTTAACATACTCGGCTTTTATGCTACAGTTACTTCGAGTACTATAACAATCTCGAATTCTTTACTTCTTACGTATCTACCATACAAATTTATTTTCATATGAGAATCACTCAGGTTATGAGACAAATTATCTTTTCAATCATTACGTAATTATTTATTGTACTAACAAGGAAGCTCCTCGTCTGTCGCTAGCCTGTTCAACTTATTATTTCAGCGCATTATGTGTGTTCATATAGCAGTAGTGTTGCATCATGCCCTATAAATAAAAATAATAGATAAAGCGGTCACAAGACATAATGATAATCGTCGAACGGTAGTGTGGATGCACATGCTATGAAATATAGACGACAGATCTGTGTGAATACTCACCGAACTGACGCAGGAGGTGCTGGAAATGACACACCTGCATTATTTCCCCGGACAAAACCACAAATAATAAATTATGGTGTTACTGTTCCCCGATGCATCACCGCTCCGCATCCGGCGCGGCCCTTCAACACACCCTCTGTCCAAAATACCAGGGGTCACTAGTTATGACAGTGAGTGAAACTAGCACGATAGTAAGCTCGGGTGTTGCTACGTCGCTAGGATAGTTAGTCAGGCGAGCCTAGCAGCCGATCCATGCATGTTACCATGTACGTGACGCAAAATATAACAAAGCTAGGTAAATACGATGCGATAACGTGACTCAATTCTTAATTAGCGCTATCAAACGATATTATTTTTTTGCATTAACGTAAATTAGAGTATTGAATTCGTAAACGAAAAAGCCGTAACGGTGTATAGTGTACACGTTTTTTAAGACTCACATTTGCACGGGCTGGTTTTCTTACGGAGGGTTTGCATTGGAAAGTCGGTCGGTAACTTGTGATTGAACATCGGAAGCTTTTGCTTATCACTGAAACGGAAATACACTATTGGAGTCCGCTNATTTTTTTGCATTAACGTAAATTAGAGTATTGAATTCGTAAACGAAAAAGCCGTAACGGTGTATAGTGTACACGTTTTTTAAGACTCACATTTGCACGGGCTGGTTTTCTTACGGAGGGTTTGCATTGGAAAGTCGGTCGGTAACTTGTGATTGAACATCGGAAGCTTTTGCTTATCACTGAAACGGAAATACACTATTGGAGTCCGCTTCACTTCTACAGCTACATGTCGACGAAATGCAAGTTGAACTACGTGGTTTATTGATTTTTTTCGTCGCCGTTGGCGGTACCTATGTATTTGTAATCGCGTTTCGGCTCGACGGCGGTGTCGTTCACATGACGATGATGCGATAATTCGGCTCGGGCTGAGCCAGGAATTAATAAAATAACAGAATATAATACTGCAGTGTACGGGACAGAATGTCCCCCGATCGGCAGACCACCACGCACTCACATAACGGCGCGCTGCGCCTGTGTGAGTAGCAAGGGGTGCGCGACGTGCACACATGCGCAACTCACAACCCCTAATCAATATTCGCTACCAGACTCTTGTTTCTTGCAACTTTTATATTGTAATTCCTTAATGACGTCTCAAGTGTTTGCTACAGCAATATTGAAGTTCCTAAATTACGTTAATTTGATACCCGCTGTGCAACTTTTACAATATCAGTTTTCCTTGTAATATTGAAATATTTATTTATAGGTATATATTCTTGGACCTACATCAAAGATGCGTAGCCGCACACCATTGATGGTACATCAAACAGACATCAAACAGAAAGAAGCAAAACGCGCGATTTCAAATAGCCGATATTTGTAATAAAAATCGATTATTTTTATATATTTACATTTATCCGTTTAATTATCATAAAATGTTTTTTTTTTATTGTTTTATTATGTTAACAACTTTGACAGTATGAAGTTGGCAAATTAGTTATTTTTATTCATCAACATTAACTTGTACATTGAAATGCGCTGTAGATCATTATGATAATATGAGTTTTTTTTATCAAAGGCGAATTACGTTACGTTTTTTTTTAATGCCCCTTGGGTGGACGAGCTTACTGTCCTGCTGGTGTTATCTGGTTGCCGGAGCCCATATACATCGACCTCGTAAATACCATCACCCACCTTGATACATGAGTTCTAAGTCTTGGTTTTATATTACATCGACTGCTCCACCCTTCAGACCGAAACGGGTTACTGCTTCACGTCAGAAATAGGAGGGGCGGTGGTAGTTACAAGGGCTGGCCCCTACCACTGCCACGAGTACCATAATGTCACATAAATATTAGTGAAGACGTATATATGTACATATATCCAAAAAAATTTACAATAAATTTTTTTCTGTTATGCTGCTGACGGTACCTAATGGTAATGGTGATTCGAAAATTAATTTGCATTTATTGCTCCGATAATGAGACGTTGTTTATTTATTATTATATTATATTTAACCATTTATCTGAAGGTGCCTCGGAGATTTTGTTTCATTATGTGACGTTATGTGATGGTTCCAAAATAAATTTGTCCAAAATCAACAAATCAAACTTGTCATTTCGAGAAGCTGATTCGAGATGTGAACGGTGTCTTATCTCGGCCTATCTCGTTCTCTAGGCTATCGTGAAAACTAAGATTGTTTAGATTTCATAACGTCGTCACGACACAATCCTACACAATTCCCTAACGATTTTTATAAATAGTAATATAACGGACAGAATGTGTAATAATATAATAATATTTAACATCAATTCAACAATAAGTAGTATATTTTATCATCTATAAATAAAAGATAGATTTATTTAAAGATAAATAAAACATACAAGATACATTAAACGGCCGTCTGGTGTAGTGGTAAGTGACATGGTCACTACACAAGGGGGTCGCGGGTTCGAATCCCGCCAAGGGAAGATATTTGTATGATAAATATAAATGTATTTTCCAGGGTTATGGATGTCTATTAAATATATGTATGTGTATAATAAAAATCTTACATTTATATCCGTTATCTGGTACCTGTAACACAAGTTCTTTANACAAGGGGGTCGCGGGTTCGAATCCCGCCAAGGGAAGATATTTGTATGATAAATATAAATGTATTTTCCAGGGTTATGGATGTCTATTAAATATATGTATGTGTATAATAAAAATCTTACATTTATATCCGTTATCTGGTACCTGTAACACAAGTTCTTTACGAACTTATCACGGGACCAGTTAACGTGGCGTGATTGTTAGTAAAAATTTATTTATTTATTAAAAATATGCTTGCATAGGAGAACGGTTTTTACTTGTGACACTTTAATACAGTAATGCATGAGTAAACACACAAAATATACAGACGTAGGTATTCAGTCGTTGTTTGTTAGCGATTTTACTCTAGATCAGTGATTCTCAACCATTGTTCTGTGGCACTTTTGTGTGCCGCCAAATTTCAAAGGTGTGCCGCCAAATTTTGCGAATATATAATAATGTTAATATTATGAAATTATATCATTTTAAAAGAAAAATATTTTAAACATGAATATATATGTAAATCCACAAAAAAAAAATTATAGTATATTTTAGTTTATTACGTATATTAAAATTTTTTGATAAACTATTTATGCATTGTGTTGTAGTAAGTAAATAATTTTTATCTTTTTTTTTTTGTGTGCCGCCAAATTTTGAAATCGTTAAATATGTGCCGCAACAAAAAAAAAGGTTGAGAATCACTGCTCTAGATTATGTGGAATGGAAACATACCGAATTGTAGTCTAAAATTAAAATATGATTTAATTTGTTTTGTTCTTTATTACCTGCAAGCTGATTCTCGCGATGTTACCCGCGGTTATTGTCGTACCGCTAGTGACACCGCGGTGCGAAGCTAGTTTAAAAAAAGTAGCCTAAGTTACTCCTTATGTCATCACCTATCATTGAAAGTCCCGTCAAAATCGGTCCAGCCGTTCCAGAGATTAGCCGGAAAACAGACAGACAAAATTAGAAAAAAAATGTTATTTTGGTTTATGTACTGTGTATACATATTTACGCATTTAGTAGTAGTTAGACTTGAAGTCGTCGTGGCCTAACGGATAAGACCTCCGATGCATTCGTGCTGAGCGATGCACCGGTGTTCGAATCTCAGGCGGGTACTAATTTTTCTAATGAAATACGTACTCAACAAATGTTCACGATTGACTTCCACGGTGAAGGAATAACATCGTGTAATAAAAATCAAACCCGCAAAATTATAATTTGCGTAATTACTGGTGGTAGGACCTCTGGTGAGTCCGCGCGGGTGGGTACCACCGCTCTGCCTATTTCTGCCGTGAAGTAGTAATGCGTTTCGGTTTGAAGGGTGGGGTAGCCGTTGTAACTAAAACATGAGACCTTAGAACTTATATCTCAAGGTGGGTGGCGCATTTACGTTGTAGATGTCTATGGGCTCCAGTAACCACTTAACACCAGGTGGGCTGTGAGCTCATCCACACACCTAAGCAATAAAAAAAAAAATAGTAAAAAGTGGTTATTTTATTATTAGAAACACACACTTCAATTTTATTTATTTGTATAGATACCGTTATTATTTTAAAGAATCAACAAATGTGACATTACTACAATTCTTTATCGTTTTTATAGAAAATAGAGAAAACGAAGAAAGTAGTGACCGAATATATTTGCCATTTCTACACGCAACGACCAAGCTTTGCTTGCCTTATTTAATTTTAGAAACAAAATTCTTATTTGCGATTAAAAATTAATGACATGCTATAATTGCTTGACCGATCTAAATAACGGGCATAATGAACTTAATAAGTTCTAATCTCGTAATCACAAACAAACTCTTCGAATTTAGTTTGTTTGTAATAATGGATTTAATTATTATATTTTTCATCTTTTTTTTTATTACTAGCGTAGACGGACAGACGGTGCGACCCACGCGATGTTGAGCGTCACCGTGTATCCAAAGACATAAAATGAATGATATGAAACGTCGGCGCCTACGTCTAAACCTAAGGTCGAAATTACAATCACTTCAGCCATTACGGCCAATGTCTTCTTCTTCTTCTTAAAAAAAAAGTAGAACGGTGGGAGCAACTCGTGCTGACAGGTGTGCCACAGGAAAAGCAACATAGTAGATACATCAAGAATTATAACAGTTGAGGTTGCCAATTTGTGGAACAAAATTTTTGAGTGACATATTACATACTTAATAGATTGGGGTAAAAGTTTCTTCGCATTTTTTTAAGAAAATTCGCAATATTTTTTTAATATAGTTTATTTACATTTAACTAAAGTATGTAGGTTCCATTTTGTTCGATAACTTTTGCCATCTTGTAGGCAGGGACATGATCCCATTGCTATAGAAATTTTGGCGCTTCTGATCAAAATACCGCGACAATTGGTTTTGGCAGTCCTCTCGTGATGTTAACCTGACACTGCCTAAAGAATTCTGAAGAGACCGAAACAGGAGAAAAACCTGAAGGTGCAAAGTCAGGACTATACGGCGGATGCATTAAGACCACCCAGCCAAGTTCTCTTAATTTTTGCTGAGTGGCTAAACATGTGTGAGGTCTAGCGTTATCATGATGAAAAACCGCACCCCTTCTGTTGATTAATTCCGGCCGCTTTCTCTCAACTTCTTGCTTTAATCTCATCAGTTGTTCACAGTGGAACCAGAATCGATGGTCCTGCCTGGTGGTAACAGCTCATAATGATAACGCTTCCAATCCCACCACACACACAGCATCACCTTGTTGTGAGTTAACCCGTCTTCGCCACAGTCTGTGAAGCCTGACCGGCCTTTGACCACGACCTCTTTCGCACGTTCTTGTCGTACGTGATCCACTTTTCATCCCCAGTTATCAGCTTCTTCAAAAATGGTTCGGTTTCATTACGTCGTAATAAAGAATCACATATGAGTACACGGTTCATTAGGTTTCTTTCAAGGAGCTTGTGAGGTACATAAATATCGAGCTTTTTTGTGTACCCATTTTTTTTCAAATGTGCCAAAACTGTTTTGAGGTCAATTCCCAGTTCTTCAGCTACGTCGTACCTATTGATAAGCCGATCTTGCTCCACTTTTTCAAAAATGGCAATTTATTATAGCAACATGGCGACCAGAGCGACGTGCATCTTTGACATCAAAATTTCCGGATTGAAATCGCTTAAGTCAAATTTGTGCTACTCTCACAGACACTGCACTAGGCCCATAAACATCGCAAATTTTTTTCGCGGCTTTCGTTGCATTTTTACCTTTTTTGTAGTAAAATTTTAAAATGTATTGAATTTCTTCATTAGATTCACTCATCTTGACAGTACGAAAAATAAATAAAAATCACACATTTTCCCGTTATGAATTTGGAATTATCTTCTTTAAAATTTAAACTTTTAATGATACTAAAACCAGCCAGATACAAATAGTATAGCCAATGAGATTTTATTACAAGTTCATATATACTATAATGTGAAAAGACTTTTTCCCCAAAATTATTATAATAGTTCTAGAAGGTAGGTAGTATAAGATAGTAAATGTCTGTGTGACCTATGTAGAATCTATATCTAATCTAATTATTCATCTTTTTAGTTATTTTCCTTAATGTTTGTTTTGGTTTCTTACATTCAGTGACATCAGTTCTATTATAAACATAACAGTTGTTATATCCCATAACAGCTGAGAAATTAGTAATAGTATAATGTAATGTTTTCATTAGTTTAAAGAAATAATTATGTTAATAAAATTTAGTTTTAAGTTCCTATATTTAGTTTAATATGACTGTATGATAGTTATCAGCGTGAAATGAATATATTTGTTTAAAAGCCTCCATTCTACCTGTATCTGCAACAAAGTAGACATATTCAACCTGGAAGAGCAGGCTAATGAATGCAATTCTCAAGGTGTGAGGAAACATTCAGGTTCTAATGTTTATGAGATTTTGCAACACTTTTTACTGTCTACTGTGTTGTTCATCCTTCTACACAATAAAAATACAATCCATAACATTCTGCTTTATAGATTTGGGTCGCTTTAATAATTTCTTTTCAGTTAGTTAACACACAAAGATATTGTTTGCTTTCTAGTGAAGCTAAAATAAGCAGAAGAGGCCTTATAAAATTTATTAAAAATGTGTTAGAGAGATAGTAGATAAGCAGATAAATCTACATGACTGTTATCAAATAGGAAAAGAAACTTATTCAAATCTTTAGATAAATTAGTATTTTATTGTTTTTGAGAAGAGCAAATAAACATGACCGATAAATATAGACAGAGATTTTAAACAGTATGGTCTTTTGTATAATTAGTTTAAAATGTATGGTATGGTAGTCACCCTACTATTAAAATAAAAAGCATGAAAGTTTTTCTGCAGAACTTAGCAATAATATTATAGAACCTATCTGTACAATAATTAGAAGTCACAAAAAAATGTAGTTTGCGGGTTTTAGTGAAATTAACAGAATTACCTTTACTCCAAATGGGAAACAAACAGCAGTACAATAAGACAAACAAGTTGTATTAAAAAAATCCGTAATCATAGAATGCAATGTAAATTTTTAGGCAATGTAAGTTTAAAAAAAAACGACATTTGGGTATTAAATAAATATTGAAAATTTCTATTACGTGGCTTAAAAAAAATTTATCAGCGCTTCTTTTTGTTTCGAAATAATTATTTCAGCTGTGTCATGTTTAACATCTGGCATCCTTGACTTCTCTAAGTTCAATAATAAAACCGGTTTTACATCTACAACCTAATTTAATGTGTAAACAAATACAATTCATAATTATTATAAACAAATCAATTTTTTTTGAGGAATAAGTTTGTTTTACATTCGATATTGAAAACTTACCTCTATTTACAGACATTTATACAGGTTTCTGAACTAAATACACCATAAAGATTCTTTTTGACAATCAAAACAAACACATCTTCGAGTTTTTTGAATTATAATTGTTTCTTCTAACACAGATGAAGAGAAATTAATGAAGTTTTTAATGCATTCTATAGATTTAAATTATCGCAGTTACATTTCGTTCCTAGGCAATGGTACACATGTGTAGATTTAATAGATTATGAACTTTTATCAAGATGAACTTTTAGAAAGATTTAAGATTTTTTGGTCTGTCAATTGCTGTCAATGTCATTTCCAGTGCTTGATTCTTTTTTTTAAAAGAAAAATATAAGAATTTGTCGTGGCTCAAAGAATAAGACAGCCGGTGTACTCATATCAAGGGATGCGACTATATTCAAATCTCTCGAGCTCTTATTGCTTTATCTCAAGAAATAAATACTTGTTATGTGTCAACTACCCCAGGATCCGTTCATAATACGCAATTACATGATATAATCTCTATAGGCTGCAATAAATAACTCAACTTCTACACACCTGTGTACAATAATACGAGGCTAACGATTATACCAAACACTCTAAGCTAGTAAAAAATATGACCGACGTCATGGAGCGAAAATATTTGATAAATTAACTTTATGAAAAAACTAAATAGGCGTGGCTAGTGATTTAGTTCAAATTTTCCACATTCGTACACTTTAGCAGATGTGATTAAAGTTTTATTAGCCTCGTTTAAATCTACAGAAAGTGAAATATTTTAGGTACCTACCTCAAGCACCACTCACAGCTCTCGTCGAAACCGTCGCTTTTTCTTAATGTAACTTCGTGGGATCCTCCAAAAAGTCTCAGTAAATGACCACCATTTTATTGAGATTATATTTCAACCCATATAATCTCATCTCATTTTATTTCATTTCGTTTTCATTTCATTTCATAATATCATTTTTCATATAAAAAAGTTTTCATTAAAATTAAAATAAGACTTGACCTAAAGGTCTTAGTCTACTAGGTCATAAAATCCCATAAAAAAAGGGAATGTGTATGGAGCATAGATTAGACACATTACAAAATTAAAAAGAAAATTGAGTGTAAATTAAACGTGCGCTAATCATGTTCGGAACTGGATTGAACATGACATCGTTCTTTTGAGTGTCGGAACTAGTTCCAGTAAACATGTTCGCGGAACTGTTTAGTTCCACGAACATGTTAAGTCTAGTAGCTGTTTGTAGTTTGTAGTTGTTTAGTTCCGCGGACATATTAAGTCTAGTAGCTGTTTGAAGCTGTTTAGTTCCGCGGACATGTTAAGTCTAGTAGCTGTTTGTAGTGTAGCGAATCACGTATTAAGTTATTATTAATTACAATATTTTTCAAAAAAGGTATTAAAAGTACAATTTTTTAAAAGCACTATATAAAAATAGATTGCCGCTTATGGCAATTATTATTGTAATTATTATTTTGTAAGGTTTTTAGTTTTAGGTTAATTGTTACAGCTGGTTGCATAATTTATTAATGTACTCTAATTACTTTGTCATAATTTCAACTACTCTACTACTTTCATTATTTTTCAATGTATTGTACGATGCACCGGAAACTATAACCTATCAGTTATTAATTAAAATACCACGTTATTCTGATATACAACCTAAATTGAGCTCGTTGTAGCCTTACAACCTTTTTCCCATAACCGAGATACCGAATAGCGAAAGTGGTGAATGTTTTAAAATTCTCTAATTTTGAATTATGATTTTCTAAGAAATGGTCTACAAACACTTAAGGTTAAGTGCTCGTAGGAATGATGCATGGTCAAGGTCAAAATCCATAGCAAAACATTTTAATTTATTCNCTATCTTCCTCCCTCTATGATCTCCTTCCTCCTGATATTCCTCGCCCCATTGATCTCAAATCTCTTCTTTCCCTTGTCAACTCTCCTTTCGTTTATATTCTTAGTTCATTCATTAACCAAAATAACATTAAGCTGTAGTTTGTCTGTCTTTTATCGAACTAACCCCTGTATATATATTGTGTGCGTCTTATTTGTTTTAGGTAAATCAATAGAGATCCTGTCATCAAACATTCTTAGCTACTCACATAATTCTTAGTGAATATCTGTGACCTTGCTCGTTCACGAAGCCCGTTATAGAAAGCAGAGTATTATATACACTTGACATTGGCGAAATCTAAAAGGAAACGCCATAAACCTAAGAGATAGATAGATAGATAGTTTTTTTAAAGAAAAACATAAGAATTTGTCGTGGCTCAAAGAATAAGACAGCCGGTGTACTCATATCAAGGGATGCGACTATATTCAAATCTCTCGAGCTCTTATTGCTTTATCTCAAGAAATAAATTCTTGTTATGTGTCAACTACTCCAGGATCCGTTCATACGCAATTACATGATATAATCTCTATAGGCTGCAATAAATAACTCAACTTCTACACACCTGTGTACAATAATACGAGGCTAACGATTATACCAAACAGTCTAAACTATGTAGTAAAAAATATGACCGACGTCATGGAGCGAAAATATTTGATAAATTAACTTTATGAAAAAACTAAATAGGCGTGGCTAGTGATTTAGTTCAAATTTTCCACATTCGTACACTTTAGCAGATGTGATTTAAGTTTTATTAGCCTCGTTTAAATCTACAGAAAGTGAAATATTTTAGGTACCTACCTCAAGCACCACTCACAGCTCTCGTCGAAACCGTCGCTTCTTCTTAATGTAACTTCGCGGGATCCTCCAAAAAGTCTCAGTAAATGACCACCATTTTATTGAGATTATATTTCATCCCATATCATCATCTCATTTTATTTCATTTCGTTTTCATTTCATTTCATAATATCATTTTTCATATAAAAAAGTTTTCATTAAAATTAAAATAACTTGACCTAAAGGTCTTAGTCTACTAGGTCATAAAATCCCATAAAAAAAGGGAATGTGTATGGAGCATAGATTAGACATTACAAAAATAAAAAGAAAATTGAGTGTAAATACCTCTTAATAAGAAACGCATTTTTTGAATTGTGTATCAAATAAAAGAAGAAAAATAATGAGTTTAGTAATTAAACAAGGAAACTGTTGTTTAATAGATCACTGGGAATTTATAGCTAAATTATATAAGGATGTTTTATTTGAAGAAAATTACCAATCGTATACGTTATCAGCCAAACTCTTTTCGATTACTTCTGAAGTTCGTACTAGGAAACGAAAAAAAGTTTACGAGGAATTAAGTATAGAGGTAACTAAAATGTTATTAACTCAATTAATGTTTTTCCAATGATGATTTTACTTAAAAAAAATCTGTTTATTATATTGGTTTATACAGACTGCCCGATGTAAATGGAAAAATTTGATTTGAGCTCTACACCCCAGCAGAGGGTAATAGGAAGGAATGATGGAATGATGATGATGATATTGGTTTATAAATATAATTACTCTTGTTTTTATGTAACAAATTTAGCTGTTCAAAGTAGTTATTGCTATTCGTTAAACATATTTACCAGATTTTAGTAATTCGTTTCCGTAAATGATAATATATGACTTAGGGGCATTTTACTATTGGTAAATTATTATCCTGTAAAGGGAAATACAACCAGCCTGTCTATTTCTATTGTGGAGCAGTAATGCTTTTCTTTTGATGGGATTGATAGCCTTTAAGCAGTGATTGAAACTGACACCATGTCTCAAGATTGGCTGAGTTAAGTACTTATTAGAATCCATAGATATCACAGTGTCAATTTTGTCTTGGTAACAACAGTCGGGCTTTGGACTTGTTCATTTAATATCCATGCAACAAATTGAATAAGGAAGATATAGTATAATAGTTTAGGTGGATTGGGAAGTTTATGTTTGGAAATCATGTGCCCCCATGAGCAAAATATATTCTGTTTGAGATGCTTTGAATGAGATGTTATTTTAATGTAATAGGTAGCTTAGCTCACGCTCCTTAACTGATATTAGCACTTTTAAAGAAAATGTCAATCAGTTGCTTCCGTTTGATGTGAAAGAAGGACAAACAAACACTTGTATAATATTAGTACATTTATAATATTAGCATAGACATCCATCCCAAAGACATGAAAGACTAGGGGCATATTAGCACCACCATGGTGATTATTTTTTAAAAATATATGTTACTTGGATAAAAGAAAGAAGGTATCGTTTTGCTTAACATCTAACAAGGATAATCCCAGTACTCTCAAAGCTATACTCACAAAGTGAGTAAATAACTTATACTATATAATTCAGTATCTCGTTCTGATGATGTCCAATTTAAAATAATAATATAATCATTTCAGACTTCCAAGATTAAAAGAATGTATGAAGAATTTATAGCAAAAGTGCCAAATTCAATAAAAGAGAGAATTTCACAAAAATACAATATTTTGGATACATCGTCAGTAAGAGACTTTTCGGCATCATTATTTCAGTCAACAATTTTTGATCATCACAGTATAAACGGTGGTAGCACGTCCGACATACCGTTAAAATGTAAAATACAAAATGAATACTTTCTGATACCACCAAATTCAAGGTTGTATGGTTTGTATTTTCAAATAATATAATTTATTTTATTTAACTCATTCTCAATACGCTAGTAGTTTAAGAATGCCACTTTGCCACGAAACAAAATATATTAATTACTTATATAACTTACAGCTATAATCTTTATTATAATAAATTCTTTTATTTTCTAAATGTTTATAAAACTGTATCAAATTTGGATACATGGACAAGGATTAAGCAGTCAGTAAATATATACATATTATATAAATACATTTTAATATAACTTTTTGAATAGTCATTTATCTACTCATTATCTCATTAAGAAATGGTGTCAATGACATCTACAATGGAGCTTAAATTTAAATGGAGGTATTTTTAAAACACAAATCCACAGTAAAATATAAGATTTTTTTTTGGAATTTGAGATAGCTTTAACGAAACATTTTCCTAATATTGAAAAGGGGTAAGAATCAATGTCGCTGTCTACTATGATGATTAAGAAGACTCCATTCGCGATGATGCGTAGGTGATGCAACCATTACAGAAGATGGGCTCTCTGTTCTTAAGCAATAATTCACTCACAATCTGCTGTATAGGTTGTAAAAGCCCAAATCTCATTATTGATAAAAATATCTGACTGAAGTCGTTGACCACCTTGGAAACCATCCTTTACAGAAGCATCCTCAATTTTTGTGAGCACTTACTGTCTACACTATGATACTGTCATCGTCTAGTTTAAATTAACTTGTGAAAAGACACATATTCATATATAAACTTTATCACTCAAATAAAGTAATTTTTTTTTTTTTACATTTAAGGTTTTATTATGGCTCTGTAAATGAAGAATGTCATAAACTTGACAATGGTATATTTGATCTTGTGATCGCTGATCCTCCATGGTGGAATAGATATATCAGAAGATTGAAAAATGCCAATGAACAGCTAAGGTGTAGTATCGTTCTATTGTATGATACCTAACCGACAAGCACATGTTGACGATGATGATAATTAAATAAAAAAACACTTTTTGATATCTCAACGAAATAAGTTTTAAAAAAATGTAAAACAAATTAAATCGACAATAAATAATGTCACTTTTTTATACGGTAACTGCGGACGTTCTACGACCTACCCTTTGAATAGTTTCTGCAGCCCATAGATGTGCGGATTTATGTGGATCACCTTAAAATGTGATGTCCAATCCTTACATTACGGTTGCCCAAACCTTCAAATTGGAACATTTCGGTTTTCTACTATCTTAACCACTATCAAATAAGCCAATTTTCTATTTGCATTTGTGAATTTGATTGTGTTTCATGGCCATGGCTCTATATGAGAAGAGTATTGTAGAGAATAGAGTTGTTGATTTATTAATACTAATTCTTTAATAGTAATATAAAATGATAATATTAAACTTATTACTATGTACTACTGCTAAAGTCTTAATAATAATAATAATAACAATAACGGCTCAGAGCCATTGTTAATTTTACATAGTATTGTTATTGTTTTTGTTAATAGTAATTGCAGTTTAATACCTCTGACGCCTAAGTATAATTTACAATTGAATTGTATAATCCGAATTTTGATATGATTTTGATTAAATAATGTTTAGCCAATATTTTTTGATACAGACTTCCTTGTTGTTTAGTGTAAAGTATAACGGGTTTGAAATAATGTTAAAATAATCTTTATTGTTTTTTTTTTGTAAACCTTAGTAGCCATTATTGGTCTATACTAAGAGTAATCCTAAGAGCTTTTTCGAAATAATTTTACTCAGCGAACCAACGCCCATCTGGTGTAGTGGTAAGTGACATGGTCACTACACAAGGGGGTCGCGGGTTCGAATCCCGCCAAGGGAGGATATTTGTATGATATATATAAAAATGTCTTTTCAGGGTTATGGATGTATATTAAATATATGTATGTGTATAATAAAAATATTACATTTATTTCCGTTATCTGGTACCTGTAACACAAGTTCTTTACGAACTTACAACGGAAACAGTTAACGTGGTGTGTTTAAAAAAAAAATCTTTTCAGTTACGAGATGATGTACAATGAGGACATAGCAGCGATACCGTTGTCAAATCTTTTATCATCGAATTGTCTCGTGGCCGTCTGGTGTACGAATTCCCCTGCAAACATACAGGCGGTCAAGAACTTGATATTCCGCAACTGGGGCGTGCGGTACGTCGCCTCGTGGCACTGGTTGAAGGTGGCGGTGGACCTGTCGCCAATCTGCCCCTTCGGAACGGGCTCCACGAAACAGCCCTACGAAATGCTGATCATAGGTAAAGTCGGTAGCGTTGCACCCATACCGGACGGTCAGTTAATAGTCAGCATTCCGAGCGCCCTGCATTCTCACAAACCTCCTTTGTTGGGTGAGTATATATACCAATCAGCCTTAATTAGCTTTTGGCATATTATTATATACTAGAGGTCCCGCAGTAGTCGAAATTCGACTTTAATTAATTGGAATTTTAAGTTTGTACACTATTATGATTGTATTTTAAACGTCAAGACATCTACAACGTAAATGCGCCACCCACCTTGAGATATAAGTTCTAAGGTCTCAGTATAGTTACAACGGCTGCCCCACCCTTCAAACCGAAACGCATTACTGCTTCACGGCAGAAATAGGCGGGGCGGTGGTACCTACCCGCGCGGACTCACAAGAGGTCCTACCACCAGCAATTACGCAAATTATAATTTGCGCGTTTGATTTTTATTACACGATGTTATTCCTTCACCGTGGAAGTCAATCATGAACATTTGTTAAGTACGTATTTCTTTAGAAAAATTGGTACCCGCCTGCGGGTTTCGAACACCGGTGCATCGCTATATACGATTGCACCGGACGTCTTATCCTTTAGGCCACGACGACGATGACTAACTAATAATGATTTAATAACGCGTTCGTCTTGCCTTTCGTAATGTCTCGTACATTTCCAGATCTGCTCAAGCCGTACATAAACAAGGAGCAGCCGCGGATATTAGAATTATTCGCGCGATACTTGTTACCCGACACGACGAGCGTCGGTTACGAGCCGTTGAAATGGCAACACATATCCTTGTACGAGACGGTGGACATGTAAATGTATTTATATTCACAATGTTATTATATTATTGGTTTAATAATTTATTTTTTATAATTATTGATATCTAGTTAATCCCTTAAATGTAAAAAAAAAATACATCGACATCATAACCGTATTAAATGGGATGTATTTTTTCAGAAATCACTTTCACACAGACTGATCGATATTTTTGCGTATTTCCCTGTCGTCTCCTATATTTTTAGATTTTTTTTATTGCTTATTATATGGGTAGATTCACGGCCCACCTGGTGTTAAGAGGTCACTAGAGCCCAATGACGTCAATAACGTAAATGCCGCCATCCAGCTTGAGAGATGAATTTTGTCTCATTTTTACGTCTTATTTTTTTAGTACAATTAGCTGCCTATAATCAACCTTTAAAGCAGTATTTCCCAAAGTGGGCGATCACGCCCCCTTGTGGTCGCTGCAGGCCTAAAGGGGGCGGTAAGAGACCCAGAAAAAAAGGGGGCGTTGTGTTGAGGCATGGGAGGCGTTTTGTAATTTCATCTAGGAGGACTCTTAGACACAGACTAAGCTCTCGCTATAGTGTGGTTAAAAATTATTTATTCTCAAAGTGGGCAGTAGACAAAATAAGTTTGGGAATCCCTGCTTTAAACCGATTACTACTCCACGACAGAAATAGGCAAGATAGTGGTACCTACCCGTGCGGGCTCACAATCCACCCTACCACCAGCTATTAGAGATTTTATCGAGAAAATTGTCGCATTTAAATAGTACTTTTGTATAAAATGTAATTTTAGAGTTGCAATACAGAACATACATAAATATGTTTTGCGTCTAATGTCGAGATAATAATATATCTATTTTAAATTTAAAATAGAGCGACAACCATATGCAATTCCATTTGCCTTTACTGTATGTAATATTCTATTAAGTACGTAATTATTTTAGTCGTCAACCAAATGTTTTTGATGAAAGATTTAATCGACTTGAATGTTTCGATGTTCCTACATTTTTTTTAATACTTGTAGCTCGGAGTGAAGGAGAGATGGAAAGAGTTTGGAGGAATCGACGAAAGAGAAGATATTTGAAGAAAGAGAAGAAAGAAGAAAGAGAATTGTTCGGGAGACCAACGGTCCGGATACTGTGATTTGAAACTTATACATATGCAAACTAATTTTAGAAGACTGTCGCGATTCTGGCTTCTGTTATATATCTTCTGTTCTACAATGGTCATCGCTACATATAAGTCTATTTTAGGTCTCCGTTCATAAAAAAAAATTTATTGCCCTTGTAGGCAGACGAGCCCACCGGATGGTGAGTGGTTACCGTCGCCCATGGACTTCAGCAATGCCAGGAGTAGAACCAAGCCGCTGCCTACCCTGTACTTTCCACAAGCCTCGTTTGAAGAGGGACATGTCATAGCGCTCGGGAAACCGTGGAGGGGAGCTCATTCCAAAAGCCGGTACAAATAAATAAATTACGCACAAAATTTTATAAATAAAAGTTTATTGTATATTGTAGTATTATCGCATAGCTGTATGAAATTAGATTAGTTTAAATAAATAAATATATAAATAAGGAAAATTAACTCTTCCCGTTAACGACAATCTCGGTTTTCTTGGTCTTTTTCGGGTATCCGTCGGGATTCATTGTCTGCCATCGCCAGAAATCCGTACCTTTAGAAGACATGAACGTGAATGAACAAAAATTTCACCAACGTACTGTTGTACGAAGATATAAAATATAATTAATCTATATATATATATATAAATGACTTGCTGTTCGTTAGTCTCGCTAAAACTCGAGAACCGCTGGACCGATTTGGCTAATTTTGGTCTGGAATTATTTGTGGAAGTCCAGAGAAGGTTGAAAAGGTAGGTAAATATGAAAATGCTTGGAATTAAATAAAAATAACAATTTTGTTTTCCCTTTGATGTGTCCGTCGGACGGATTCCTTTTGTTTTTTAAGTTTATTTTATACAAAAGTTTAGGTCTTTTGTTTATCAATTGAGGCAATACGAAGTCTGCTGGGTCAGCTAGTATAAAAATAAAATCATTATCATTTTTTTTTTCATTAAATCAATGGAAGACGTTGTTCAGATTGGATAAACATTCAAAACGCAAAATTTGGTTTTGTCGAGTAATTATCGCCTATCGATGTGCTTCTGTCCAACTGATTTATTATGTTCTAATTAAATTGAAACTGACCATTCGAAGGTGCTGACGGATTTTGCTTAGTTCAGTACTTTTACATACCTTGCATAATATGTACTTTTGTAATTATGAATGAATGAGTGAATGGTTTTTTTTCTTATTATTATATCTTTATATAAATAATTCTACTATACGTGTGTACATCACTGAACTCCTAAACGGCTGCACCAATTTGAATGATTTTTTTGTATGCGTTTGGGTGGCGCCTTAGATAGTTTAGGATTTAGATTCACAAATCACCCAAGCAGATGGCGCTGCAGTCGATATCTAGGTTATTTATCTATACTGCAACTAAACGGCTGGATTGACCTGAAATTTTTCAGGAGAACGTCTGTCGGATCCGTCAGTGTATTTATATATTTTAATGTGTATTTTTGTGTATGTCTACTGACACAGCCGAACTCAATGTATACTTATGACATAGACATCGCACAGTGAATTCTAATACGGCTATCCTTATTGTTAGACTGGAGAGTCAGAATAGAACGGTGGTAACCCTAGCAAGTTCACACTATACTAGTTTTATGAACTTTTATATTTAGTAATTGAAAATTTCGATGAATCTTTGTAAGGTTTTTTTTTCCTTTAGAAGCGGTTGTCTACCTGTCTGTCCGATATATTATTTTATAAAACCATCGATTGATATTAAAATAGAACGATATTCTACGTTTATGTGTTTTTTTTTTCTAAGTTATAAGAAGTACCAACCCTAATACATGATTTTTTGAAAATAAATAAATAACTTTGTATTTCTAATTCTAGTAAGATTTATAAGGAAAAGGCTTAATGAGTTAACCGAAACAAGATTCGATTTTACGCCATTACACTACTGAACCCTAAAAAGTTATATAAAATATTCACTAATTATAATAAATGTTTAAAATTATTAATTAACTAGCTGTACCCGTCCGCTTCGATGGGCATTTAAAATTAACATTATTATTTCTCACCCCCACAAAGATTCTCATCATTAACGCCCCCGCAACTGGTATAGGGAGTCCAAGACTCATATAAATATTATCCTATCCATTAAGTACATGTATTTTCTACATGGATACCAAGTTTCAAGTCAATCGGATGCATGGTTCAGTAGTTATAACGGAACATCCGTAAAAACCACTGCAGATTTATATATTAGTATAGATAATGCATAATATATCGATTAGAAATAACTGTTACTTACACATCTCTTCGATAGTTAATTGAGTGGACCATCCGAGTTCTTCTTTAGCCAGTGAGGTGTCCGCCCACATTGCGCTGATGTCTCCAAGTCTTCGATCGACGTACTTGAGTGGCACTTTGGCTTTTGTGACTCTTTCGAATACGTTCACTAATTCTTTGACTGAAACTCCTTTGCCTGTACCCAGATTGTAGACCTGAAAAAAAAACCAATGTTGCCAGGTTTTATTGATAGCTTAAATAAAATCAATTTTTGATAGATTAATGTCCTGAGTCCGCACGGGTAAATACCACCATCCTGCCTATTTATGCCGTGAAGCAATAATGCATTTCGGTTTGAAGGGTGGGGCAGTCGTTGTAACTATACTGAGACCTTAGAACTTATATCTCAAGATGGGTGGCGTATCTACGTCGTAGATGTCTATGGGCTCCAGTAATCACTTAACACTAGGTGGGCTGTGAGCTCGTCCACCCATCTAAGCAATAAAAAAATTTACTCAATCTGTGAATGTATGCCTAATAACAATAGACAATGTATCAAAGTCTTCTTACATAACTTTTGTGGTAATATTTTTTACTAGAGGTTGAGATTACAAGAAAGAAAATGAAAAAAAAAAAGAGTATATACTATATAAATATATATTTTTACGTACGTACTGACCTTTAGTCTGATATGGGTTTGGCTGAGTAAATTTAACGCGGCTACATGCCCGCTAGCCAAATCCATGACGTGTATGTAATCTCGAATACCTGGAAAATCAAAATCAAAGATAACAAAAAGAGATTAAATTTTTTCAATACATAATTACATTATGACATGCAATAAAACTATCTTAACAAGCTCTTAAAGCGGATTAATTTTGTTTCATTTTCACCTTCACTTGTTACAATAAATTTTAAACTAGAAATGTCGTAAATAGCTATCCCAAATAAATTATTTTCCGGTTTGGTAAGTTTCAAAACAATCTACTTGCCAATTAATTAAAAGTGATATCTTAACGTACGTAAAACTTACAAGACAAGAATAAGAATACTATTAATTAATTAAAAAGCACGTAAATGCCTACGGTCCTTTTAATATATCTACCTTAACATACCTTCCTACGAAAGTAGGTACAGGTTCCTATGTAAGTAGTGTAGGATTATATTAATTAATCTATGTACGGTATTATTTAGAAAAATATTTACGTAATAAATTCCAGATTCATAGCATTCCCTTCGGATATTAGACCAGACAGAAAGGTAAGAAAAAAACAAAAGGTAGGTATTAAAGGTGTTTAAATTTTTAAACAACAGTCACGCATACCAATTGTTCGAATGTTGAAACATCTAAAGTTTTAAAAGTAATAAACGATTTGAAACCCTAAAAGTTTTCATTAACTAAGCAAATGAAGCGGTTCCAAGCATTACCGGTTCCATCGGGAGTGTTGTAGTCGGTTCCGAAAACGGTGAGCACAGGTTTCTTCCCGAGAGCAACTTGCGCGAGGAATGGCATGAGGTTGGTGAACTCCTTAGTAGGGTCTTCGCCGATCAGCCCTGAAGGATGTGCACCGACAGGGTTGAAATACCGGAGGGAGATAATGTTCCATTTCTGTAGAAGTGTAGTATATAAGTTTACGGTATAAACTGGCGTAAAGGATTAACAGAGTCAATATTCTCGGCACTCCCAGACACAGCCCACTGAGTTTCTCGTCGGATCTTCTCAGTGGGTCGCGTTTCCGGTGGTAGATTCTGCGAAGCACGACTCTTGCTAGGGTTCGTGTTAGCATCGTCGTCAGGTTTGAGCCCCGTGAGCTCACCTACAAACGTTAGGGTTACGCTGAAATAGCCTCTCAAGGCTATCAGCTTAGGTAGGTAAAAAAAAAAAAATTATTCTCGGCATGACGTAAACGTCGTCTTTGCCTTTGAGGAATTAGATCAAAGTTTGCGCTAATATCATTGAAATAAATGATTGTTTCGTGGCACAAATATACATAGATAGTACCGGTTGATCTGTATCAGGAAAAGATCAATTGAGGTTTATGACGTCATCGCCACTGATTGCAACTCGCAAGAGAGATAGGTAAACGCTTTCATTAGTTACCTAACACTTGAATATGTAAAATAACAACGACGCTATTTTATTAATTTCGATACGTAGAATACAATCATAAAAAAATAATCACAAGGACTTGCAGCTATAATTAATGTAATATGGAAAATAAAATAGGAGACACGCTTAAGGTATCAAGAGAGCGAATGAACGGAACGAATCGAAAAACCCCATAAGCTTAACAAAAAGGATATTGTTACTCATCGTTTAGGTGCTTAACTCGAATATTACTCAGTGATTTTTCCGGTTAAAAGTATCGTATATGGAAATATTCATGATTACGACAGAAAAAACAAAATAAAGAATTGCATTATTAACTGTAAGTTATCATTTAGTAACGCACACATTCACAAAAAATGATGGTTGTACCATTAATACTGTGACGTAGATATTTTGATCCATATATGTCTTAGTTTGTATTAGGTATGAATGTACCTATCTTTATCTCACAGGGAAATTTACTAGCTAGCAAACGGGTAGTAGGACGTTTTGTGAGTCCGCACGGGTAGGTCCGACCGCTCTGCCTATTTCTGTCGTGAAGCAGTACGGTAATGCGTTTCACTTTGAAGGGTGGGGCAGCCGTAGTAACTATACTGAGATCTTAGAACTTATATCTCAAGGTGGGTGACGCATTTACGTTGTAGATATCTATTGGCTCCAGTAACCACTTAACATCAAGCAATAAAAATAATAATAATAATCAACACAAAAAAGGAATTAATATAATTTTGATTCAAACAAGTCTAAAATTACAATTATTTGGATCTTATCATTTATTTGATATCTACCTTACTGCATTTCGTGAATATAAATAGAATGTATTTAAAAGCTAAAAAAACGGAAGATATACTTCCAAAAGTATGTATTTGATGTCATACTTTTATAATTAATTGATTTTACGGAAACTGTAAACCTTGACATTCATGTCACACAATGGGTCATTCAGACCGGTTCTTTATCGGTCACAGTGCCTATTTAGATACAAGCTAAAGTTCTCCGACACCGCTGAATTGTCGCAACACCAAAAAGAGTGAATCGAAATATCTTACGTCACATAAGATACATAAGTAACCGGAACTTTGTAAGGTATGTGATTTTTTTTCTCTATTAGTTCGAGCTACACCAACAAACAGGCTACGGTTTAATCTTTTATGTTTTCTTTTACATTAAACTTGAAGAAACCGGTATTTTTGTGAGGCTGAAGAGAGAGCGCTAGACGTCATGATAGTTTTTTGTTGACTATAAAATAACTAGCTTTTGCGCGCGACTCCGTCTGCGTGGAATAGTTACTTTGGCATAACGCTAAATTTTACCTCCCATTTCATTTTTGTAGAAAGTTAAAATATTTTTAAATTATAGAATGTTAAGGAGTTATTTAAACCCCTATTTTGAAAAATCCTTTATTGGTGCTCCGCTTACCGTGTTCGACCTTACCATGATGCTATATAGCCTATAGCCTTCCTCAATAAATAGGCTATCTAACACTGAAAGAATTTTTCAAATCGGACCAGTAGTTCCTGAGATTAGCGCGTGTAAACAAACGAACTCTTCAGCTTTATAATATTAGTATAGATGGTAGAAATTAAAATGCAGGTAACAACCCTATCTCGTTATTATCAATACTAATTTATGTAGTTTGCTGTAGTGATGCGCATGCACAACACAGGGAACCACTCACAACAGACGGCATGTGACGCGGCACGGGAAGATCCAATCACGTAATCAACAGACTCAAAAAATGGCTTCTGCGAATGTCAAGGTCAGAGCTCAAGATTCGTGCTGATATTATTATACTATAAGTAGTTCGTTTTAAAGTCGTCGCGGCCTAAAGGATAAGACGTCCGGTGCATTCGTATCTAGCGATGCAACGGTGTTCGATTCCCGCAGGCGGGTACCAATTTTTCTAATGAAATACGTAGGTACTTGACAAAAGTTCACGATTTACTTCGACGGTGAAGGAATAACATCGTGTAATAAAAATCAAACCCGCAAAATTATAATTTGCGTAATTACTGGTGGTAGGACCTCTTGTGAGTCCGCACGGTAGGTACCACTGCCCTGTCTATTTCTGCCGTGAAGCAGTAATGCGTTTCGGTTTGAAGGGTGAGGCACCCTTTGTAACTATACTGAGACCTTAGAACTTATATCTCAAGGTGAGTGGCGCATTTACGTTGTAGATGTTTATAGGCTCCAGTAACCACTTAACATCAGGTGGGCTGTGAGCTCGTCCACCCATCTAAGCAAAAAAAAAGTTACACTAATCATACTCGCAATTTCAGTAAGTACTTACATCATCAGCAGCGCTTAAGTCTTTGAGCATTTCCTCGATGAAGTACTTCGTTCTGCCGTAAACATTTGTGATACTTCCAGTGGGATGAGTCTCCGTGATCGGCAAGTGTTCAGGTTCGCCGTAGACTGTACATGACGACGAGAACACCATTTGGTAGCAATTGTGTGATCGCATTATCTGGAAAAGCACAGATCATCTAAATATAAGGACTTATAAGCGTGCAACACTCGGTCGCACTCGGGTGTCATCGGATGCGATCGGAGTTCCCGAACGCGCAGGTGTCCCGTGACGTCATGGAACGAGATTCGCGCGCGTCGATTTAAGTTTATTGTAAAAACGTAATTTTAGTATTAATTCGTATCTTCTAGTGCCTAGCGTTGTTTTCTTCTTACTTTTGGTTATATTTTAATATTGTACACATTATAGATATTATGTAATTGGTGTGTTTGACTTTTATATGTTCGGAGTATAATATCCCACGAATGCGAACAACAAATAGCAAACCACAGACTTAGCCTCGTGCATTTTTATTGGTAATTTTTTTTGGGTACACCAACGAAGTCTTCGTTTTAAGACGCTTTCGTTAGCTTTGTACGGAGCGGTTGTATGTTTTGTTTTTTGTATATTAAGGAATCTTTGAAAGTAATTTTCACCGTCTTCAAGATGTCCGATTACTTCAAAATTTATAGACGCGTCGAAGACCGATAAAAAATTATTACCAACATCATAACTTCGCTCTTAATACCTACTTTGATCAGTATCAACAGGATTAAAAAATAATGGAATTAATAATTGTTTATTCGGTTTTGTATTTAATCGTTTTTGTTTTAACATTTTATTATTAGTCTTTGTAAGAAATTTTAAAACCCGTTGAAGGGACCGAGCTGATTTTATGGAGTATTATCAACTGAGATTTTATCAATATCGGCTATCGATTCAATCGGATTATCATTGTTTTCTGAGACAACACAATAAAAAACCTACTTCTGTTTCCAGTATATTCAAATTTATGTACTTACAAAGAGATATCATGTGCAGAATGGTAGTTGTTATGATTTAAAAATTATTTAATGAAACTATAACGAACAAATAATATGTTAAATTTGTAAACTATTTTGTACTAATTTTGTATAAATGTAGTTGATATTTTAATATGCCGACCTGTTTAATTTGTATGTGATGTATGAGTAAGAACTATTCAAAACAAAAAGAATAAAAACATTGTTGAATAAAATATATATGATAAGAGTTCATAATGAATTTCTGAACAATCATAAAATCTCTATTTCAACATTCTTTATTTAAACGGTACTTAAATGACCCACCTCCAATAAGTTGAGCATCCCAAGCAAGTTGTTCTGGTAGTATAATAAGGGTTGCTGCATCGATTCCCCAACTGCTTTGAGTGCCGCAAAATGGATCACGCAGTCCACAGGATGCTAAGAAAGCACATGTAACATATTTTGTAGAGGTTTAGGCTGATGCAACAATAAATATAATACAAATATTGTATCGACTTCCTTCAAATGACTTTTGTCAATTTAGAACGGGATATTTCTTTGTGATTTTAGTTTAAATAGCAAAAAACATTTAAAAGCATTACTGTATTCTTGTTCCGCACTAATTAAATTATGAATCCAAAGATTAATAAACTCCCGAATGACATGTGCCGTAGATAACTTACCTTGTCGAAAATAGCATTGATTTGTGGTTTATCAAGTAAATCGGCCTTGTAAAACGTGATCTTCTTTCCCGTGATTTTTTCAGCTCTCTGTAAAGCTGGGGACCCGTCTTCGTCTTCTACCGAGTTAGTGAAGTTGTCAATTGCAATAACCTCATGACCGGCTTCTAGCAGTGTGACGACGCAATGACTTCCTATGTATCCGGCTCCGCCCGTCACTAATATGTTCTTGAATCGCGGCATTATTTCTGTTGTAATAAAATGTATTTTAATATGATATAATAAGTTAGGTTAGAGTAACCATTTTGGCTAGTTTGGTATAGGGTAAGAGCCCGAGTTTTGACTACTTTGGTATAAGGAATAAAGAATACGAGTTTCGATATTTTCCGAGAATTGATATTTTTCTGTAATTTAGTTATTTTTATTAAATATATTGTTGAAGCTTGCACAACAATTTGAAGCTTGAACAATTTTTTGGCTTTCGTTATAATTAAAGTCACTTTTACGATTTATTATTGCTTTTCCTATTTTCGTTTGATTAGTTCCGATGATTAATAGCACTTTATAGTTCTCGTGGTCACGAACAACTAATGATTTCTCGAATAGAAACTTAGTTGTCATATTAATTCAATACAAAAATTATATGCTTTGATCAATTGATTAAAATGACTGAACATTTTTCCGATGTTTCCTTTTGAAAGTAGTCTTAATAATTACTACGATTTGTGAAAACCGATAAAAATAAAATAAAAAAATAAAAACTGTGCATTAATTTTGCTATAGATGATTTAATGGTTACTGGTTTTTAAATATCAATCAATTAAAATAATGTCAGAAATAAATCCATCATACATTATCGTTGAAATGACAATTCATAATCATTGATATCAAAATGTCGATAGCAGGCTGTCTGGTTTCGTCAGGAGATACGCGACTTCAATTATATCTAGCTTACTCCATACTATATTCTCTCAATCTATAGTAGTTGCAGTATCCTCTTCTTAATTATCGCCCCAAATTATTCCCGCTTTTCGTTCCCAATTCAGGTGAAAGGGGTTATTTATTGCCTTGCATCTCAGCGTCGTTGTTTCTGAATAGATTATGTTGTCTATTACAGTATTGTTAGATTTCCACCTCATATTATCTGATAATGGACACTATTCACATTCTCGTCGGCTCGGGCTCCGTTAACCGTTTAAATAAAACGTAGTGTTTGAATAATTTTTAATAGTTAGCACAATATTCAAATGGTGACGAATAGCACCATAATCAATAATATAAAAACAAGAGAATAAACTGTAAAACTTAGATATAATCATAACCAAATATCACTCGAAATGAGAACTCGTCTAGCCGATTACTGCAAAAAGATGTATGCCAAAATAAATTGAATAGAAATTATGACATTATAGGCGGCAGTGCAACGAAACAATTGACCAATAAAATTGATTCGTCATCGACCTTCGCCGATTGATCATCCTGATTGCAAACACGTATTTAATAAGAATTCACTTCCTTTGTAATTAGATGATCAGTTTATCGATAAATATTTGTTTGAATTAAAGCCGATAATTCTTTTTTTTATCTTCAAACGGATGCTGCCGTTCATGCTAATTTACTAAGTAATCGTTAAACCGGTTTATTGTCTGCAGAGAGTGAATAAGTCCTTCCTTCAAGAGGGTATAATTTTTAGTCTCCTGGCTTATTTTGCAAACTGAAGTCTCTAACCGGTTTTTCTCATTGGTGAAACTGGATATCTTATGTGGAAAGTCATGAGCTATGACGATTTGAAAGCGCCTTCTTGAAAAAAATATTTTATTTTGATCGTCCATAGGACTTATTGCATTGCATAGGTGGCATTACCAAGGTTTTTAGCGTCACTCACGCACAGAATTGCAGTTATATTACATAATACATAATCTTTCTATAATACGAAGTCGTCGTGACCTAAAGGATAAGACGTCCGGTGCATTCGTGGTATCTATGTAGCGATGAACTAATTAAATATAAATTTATCTATTCCGTGGATGCAACGGTGTTCGAATCCCGCAGGCGAGTACCAATTTTTCTAATGAAATACGTACTTAACAAATGCTCACGATTGACTTCCGCAGTGAAGGAATAACATCGTGTTATAAAAACAAAACCCGCAACATTATAATTTGCGTAATTACTGGTAGTAGGACCTCTTGTGAATCCGCACGTTTAGGTACCACCGCCCTGCCTATTTCTGCCGTGAAGCAGTAATGCGTTTCGGCTCGAAGGGTGAGGCAGCCGTTGTAACTATACTTTTATCCCAAGGTGGGCGGCGCACTTACTTTGTAGATGTCTCTGGGCTCCGGTAACCACTTAGCACTAGGTGGGCCGTGAGCCCGTCGACCCATCTAAGTAATAAAAAAAACGATGGATTGGTTCCGCGTTGTATAAAATACGTTGTAAGAGTATTCTCGTATAACTATTAACTTTACTCGTTATTTTTACACCTTTTAGAAAAATCTGATACCTAAAGGTTTAAAGTATGTTATTGCAGTTCAAAAACTAGAAAAACAAACTTTATTAAAGAATTTAATTTTAACAACAATGACAACAACTGACACAGTGTACAGAGAGGTACGCGAAATTATATATGAAGTGTATAAATAATTTTAAGTTTCACAGAACAAAAATAGTGTGTGAGAAATCCTCGCGTTTTATATATGAGCAGAAGCACGTATTATACGAGACATGAAATCCATGACAACTTTACAATTTCAGGCGATTTCATTTATTTATTAGGTATTTTGAACAAATAATCTGTGTGTAAAAATTTTACATCTACCAAAAATATATTTGGTTTTATATTGCACATTTCTAACATTTGAGGACAAAGAACCGAGTCTTAAAATGTCATTGGTAACCCAACAATTAGTTTCGTATTGCTAAACGAACATCAAGGCAGTTTGCACAACAACGAATTATGGTAAACTTTGATGATGATACAACAAATTAAACTATTAACTATACTAAATGTAACTATACTGAGATCTTAGAACTTATATCTCAAGGTGGGTGGCGCATTTACGTTGTAGATGTCCATAGGCTCCACTTAAAATCCAGTAACCACTTAAAATCAGGTGGGCTGTGAGCTCGTCCACCCATCTAAGCAATAAAAAATATATATATACACAGGATCATAAAACAGTCATGAATAAGAAGTCGTTACAAAGGAACATGTTCTATGTACAACATGAAAAAAAAAGATTCCCTAGTAATAAATGCAGAATTATATGACGAGTCAAAGGGTATTTATTGTGTTGTTGGAGGTATTTTTGAAGTTATACTTCTTTAGGCGCGTTATGAAAAATTGATGAGAGTGAAATTTTGCGATGCGCGCGCACCGTGACACAAAATTAACAGAATGAAGTTGCCCACTAAATCGCTCATTACAATACGACCGACGTAACTTGGCGAGTCTGAATATAGCCGCAGGTGAACTTTCTGAACCGTACCGAGAATTACCGAATTTATGCGATGTCAAGAAAAGGGATGTCCAATGAGCGTGTTTGGGGATGTTGTTTAATCGATTTTTTTTCGAATTGATTAAAATTTAAATAAAAAAAAAAGAAATAAATTTAATAAAAATAAAGTATAATAACTTCTTACGCACGTACATAAGTACACGCACCCTTTTTTTTATAATGAACAAAACAAACGTTATTTTGCTGCAAAGGTAGGCAGTTTAAAGACATCTTTCAAACCATTAACACTATCAGTATTTTCCTATAGATTTTTTCCCCACCTAATCGATATTAGCATAAGAGGCTATTACAGCTACGCCTTGTCTGGTAGGTAGGTCAACCTGGGAAAACTCGCTAACACTAATCCTACAAAGAGCAATGCCTCGCATAATTTACCACCGGATTTCAATCGTGATCCACTGAGGAGATACGGCAAGAAATTCAGTGGGTTATATCTATGGGCTAGGTTGCACGTCGAACTTAATGAGAACGGTGACTGGTGTCTGAAGTGTCTAAAAGCATCAAGAGTAGATCGGGAGGACCCGATAGGACATATTTTGGGCGAGGGCGACTTTGCTTTGCCCCTTTACCTGGGTCGAAGAGGAATTTCGAAGTCAATCCAGGGTTAGCATCAATGATATGTGCATATATTAAAACAACAGTACCTGCGTGCTCAGATTTGAGCCTAACGAGTAAGTTACTGTTGTATGTTCGTATACGACTCACAATTCACGATGGTCGATAAATTATTTTTAATATCACCATCAACTAAAGTTCATAGATAAATACATAATTAATTGGAAATCTTGATAATAATTCTAATCGGAAATTGGCGTGTGTATCACGAAAAAACGAATGCACATATTTTTAAATACCTATTTTTCCTTATATGAATTATATAATATTAATTATATGAATTTTACATTATATAAAATACATTATATATAGTTTACAGATTACTATTTTTACTAAGTTTTTTTGGCTCGACCAATCTTGATCCTAATAAAAACGATATCTCAATGAACAACATGACCATCGTAAAATTATTGCAACAGAACTATTTAGTGTTGTAGCCGCTACTCCGAACCCATGGCTCACTTGGTGTTAAGTGGTTACTTTTAAACGTCTCATTTTTCCAATCCAAACGAGGAACTTCAAGCTATCAAGCTTCAAGCAAGTCAATAGTATAATAAATCAAAGTATCGCAAATAGAACTGGCCCTTTAAAAAATTAATTAGAATTCGCACGTTTCAAGGAAAAATAATTACGAGACACTACTTAATAGTTAGTCTCATTCGAGATGCGTAATAAAACTGCATTAGTAGTTCTCCAGAACATCCTGTCGAGCATGAAGCTGAGTTCAAGGACCTTTATGCAGTCGTAAGTACGAGAATCGTCGATTATAAGTAATATAAAATTAATGTTGATTGTCTGCTGATATGTAATCTGACGACGGTAAATGAGCTGTCTATACTAATATTATAAAGAGGAAAGATTTGTTTGTTTGTTTGTTTCGAATAGGCTCCGAAACTACTGGACCGATTTGAAAAATTATTTTTCCATTAGAAGCCGACATTGTCCCTGATGAACATAGGCTACTTTTTTTTCATCTTTTTTTATTTTATTTTTTTGGTTTCATGTGTGTTTTAATGTTTCCGAAGCGAGGGCGGGTCGCTAGTATTTAATATTTCTAGGCTCAACGGGTAGATTTTTTCATTAGACCACCTGATGTTCATCGGCCACTAAAGCCAACAGACCGAGTAGATTATGTTGTACCATGAGCAAGATTTATTTTCGTCAGTATCTTTGTATTCCAAATCTGGGTGTCCAGTAGTGTCTTCTATTAGGTAGGTATACCTATGTGCTAATGACACCTACAACACGGGATAATATCCTAGTTTGGAAGTTGTTTTTTTGTCTTTGTACGCAGACGAGCATACGGCCCATCTGATGGTGAGTGGTTACCGTCGCTCATTGACGTCAGCAATGCCAGGGACAGAGCCAAACCGCTGCCTATCATTCAGTACTCCCCAAAGGCCTTGTTTGAAGGACATGTTATAGGGCTCGGGAAACACCTTAGAGGGGATCTCATTCTAAAGCTGAATGGTAGGAGGCAAAAAATATAACTGGAAATACACTGTAACTATACTGAGATCTTAGAACTTATATCTCAAGGTGGGTGGCGCATTTACGTTGTAGATGTCTATGGGCTTCAGTAACTACTCAATACTAGGTGGGCTGTGAGCTTGTCCACCCATCTGAGCAATAAAAATAAATAAATAAAAGATGAATGCAGTAATTCTAGGTAGTATGGATGGATACCCTTGTGGCGTTGAGCGAATGCCGTACGTTAAAAAAATGCACCTAAACGTTGGGACTGCTTCGTGATACAATTAGGATGCTGGCCAAAAGACCAGACAGTCGACAGTTATGGTTGATATAAACAAATTCGTTTTCATTATCCAAAGGTCAAAAGCATTACTCACTGACGGACTAATGGTTAATGAACTCTTGTTTGTCTCTGATTTAAATCTGCAATTAGCCGGCCCTTCTGAAGGTTGAATAAAAACTAATGGATTCAGTACACATGCGCCGTCGGAATTTTTGGCCCAAAGACTAATCTGATTTCTGATATGTATATCAGTAATTGGATTTGCATGTTTTACGTTTGGTTTTTTAAGCTTTTGTTTCGAAATTTTACTTCACTAGTTTTCGCTTCATAGATGAGGTAAAGGACAAATTCAACAATAATAAATGTCTGCTCAAGAATTTTAATAATAGAATAATAAAAATTTTTTGAAACTAAGATTCATGGCTCTTCACAAATTCATGAATTCAAATAGTTTAGTCTTGTTAAAAGACAGGAGTCCAAAAGTTTTAAAACAACTGACGCGTTTTCTGGTGAAAATTCTTGTATTCATGATTAAACAATGAAAGAAGCTTGTACTGAATTCTAAATACGATTCAAATATAATGCTGGCAGAGCGGAGGAAATAGTCCGAAACCAAACTTATTAAAGACCAAATTATAGTAAGTTTGATCTAAAAACCAGACCGTAGATAATCTAAATCTATACTTACGAAATACAACACATAATGGTTAGCTTAATTCTCATATTAGATTACTTTAAAGTAATGAATTTCACAAATCCGGTATTTAAGTATACTACAGTTATGGTATCAGTTAATTGTAAAATCAGTACCGCACCGTCTGATTCGATTGAAAGGGGTCTCCCTTAAGACAAAAATAATAATAATAATTAAAACTTAAAAAAGTATTATCTTATCTTATTTAATAGCATATTCGATGGATATATTTATTTATTACTTAGATAAGTGATCGCGTCTATGGACAGCCTTACTGCTGCTTCATTTTGATACTTAAGTTTGAAGACTCAGTTGTATTTTAAGACTGTCCTTCAAAGGGACAAGCGTCTGCTTCGGGGCAGAAATAGGTAGTATAATGGAAAATACCCTAACGGGCTTACTACCGGTAAATGGCGGTTAGAATTCGCAGAACGTCGCTCCATCTGAATCAATAAGTGGTATTTTACGGTTCCCACGGTGGGCGCTATTCTAGACGATTTAGCGGTAGGCAGCGCCTTGGCTCTGCCCCTGGGATTGCTGAAGTCCATGGGCGACGGTAACCACTCACCATCAGGTGGGCCGTATGCTCGTCTGCCTACAATGGCAATAAAAAAATAATAAAAAAAAACAATTCTGTAGAATAAGTTTTTTTGATGGGCTATGCTGGTTTCACCGAACGGATAGGTAATTAAGTTTACGGGGCTCAGCCTGAGAGAAGTTACTAACATCAGTGTGGTTAGTGCGAGTTTCTTAGCTTCTCGATCGCGTAAAAGCTAACACAATTTTTTATGGAATTGGAACAGCTCCCTACGTTTGCAGCTAGGGGCATACAAATTGCAAAGCACACAGCAAGCAAGCCTTGCCGGAGCGGTGGTTCGCTGAATCCCTACCATTGGATCAAAATCATGACTCGCTGAAAAGATTCGTCGAGAAATCAGTGGATTGTGTCTGTAAGTTAAGACGAGACGAGACAGACGATTTCAACGAGAACGGTGACCGCAGAATGGATCGAGAGGATCCGAAATGACGTGATAGAACAACACCAATAAGACTAATAATTCGTTTCTATATTTGTAACCGATTTTAAATTACACATATCTTAACGAAGAAAGTTAATTCGAAATTCGATATCTATTCACAAATTCATAAGCATGGTTTAGAAAATAACAAATGGAATCCAAACGCATAGATAGCGTCCACGCGTGTGTACAATTATAAAAAAATCTAGTTTTTTATGCGGCGATACACTCTCGATTCAGCAAAGAGATCCGACAAAAACCCATCGAACATAACTGTTTTCCAAACAACAACAAAAAAACGCCGTTCACTTTCATGTTATCCGTTATACAGTAAGTACTCACCTTAATTTTTTACTTCCATTAACTTTAAATCTACCGTACACTAATTTTACAGCTATAGCTCGATTGATTATTAAACTAATGACAATTTTACGTGCGAGCAGCTCGTGTTCGCACGCGCTTCTGAGTTTGTCCGAACGTTCGATGTCTCCGACATTGTGCACGTCATAATGTAGTTTGCAACCTGCTTGCTGTCTATCACACCATGCCGTAACCTCAGGCCGTATACTTCACAGAACACTATTACTGCTAGCGAAGGTATACTTAAATTAAAAGATTTATTTGGCATATTGAACACTATCGCACATCTCACTTGGTGTTACGTGGTTTTTGGAGCACATTGAAATCACGCGAGCATCTACGGTCAGATGAAATCGAATTCTCATTTCATATATATCATAACTTGTTATATAGCATGACATGACAAATATAAATATGTATTTACGAATTGTTCTTGTTTTTTAGGATTAAGGGATTACTGGTGGCCCGGAGGCCTTTCTAGTTTTACCAGGCCCGGTGGGCGTGCAAAGGCTCAGCCTGGAGGATGGGATTTTATAACAGCTGGCCGAGCTCCTCCATAGGAGACCTAACAGCTCAAGAGCAGTTGCTTCACGAATGAATCTACTACCGGATCGGAATCGCGAACCGGTGAGAACATCCGGCGAGAAACTCAGCGGGCGGGAATTGTTGTAAATACTACTAATACGAAAGGATAAGTGTTACATGATATTGATTTCTTGGACGATTTAAAGTAGGTACAGGGTAATAAAGTTTAATATATGTGTGCCTAATTTTTTTCAAGCTAGTCTAAGAAAATTTGCATTAATTCAAATAGGTATAATATCTCAGTACCACTGTATGTTTAATTTCAAATTGTTGTTTAAATAAATGCCACCTTATAATTAATCATTTTAATAATGACATAGGTTTTAATGAAAACTAATACATATACTTAGTCGTTATGTAATTTCGATCGAGATTAGGAAACCTAGCTTATCTTATCAGTACGTATCCTGTATTAATAATATTATAAATCTATAAATATGAAATATCAAATTAATGTGCATATATTTTTTAGGCGACAGGTAAGCTCGCGGTCCACTTTGGGATAAGTGATTACCGGAGCTCGTAATCGTTACAATATGGACTTTAATTAATTAGTGTCCAATTATATTATAATTATAATATAGCGGTTATCCGACTCTTCAAACCAGAACTTCCAGAAATCGGCAGAATCATGGAAGGTATGCTAGGAAGATAATATGCTTAAGGCTCAATAAAATAGGCGAATTTACTGGAATTAACATGAAAAAAATTCTATACCGCGGAGATGGTACTTTTTTCTGGATGTAAAAAGAACATTAGGTTTCAATTCGTATTACTACAATTACTACTACGTTTATTCTTTTTCTTGCCATTATCTGTCTCATGATTTAGGATCGGCATAGTGTGTGCTTTTTTTCGATAGTCAAATACCTATGTACTACATTTATTATTTAATCCATAATAATACCGTGCTTTGAACACTTTTCTTGCGAATTTTATTAAAAAATAATTCTCCTTCATATACAATTTTTTTAATGTTCTGCAACGGTGTGAATGGAATACATTTCCTTACCGACAGTGACCTCAGAGGAATCTATACGTGGACGTTATGTCTGACACATAAACTCAAGTGTACCGTAAGCTGTTTTAGAGATTATTTAGATTCTAAAATAACAAAAAAAGTTTCAGTCGTAATTAAATTTATCGTTGTGCATTACGCAGCTTATTGTTTGAAAAATATAATGGAAATCCAGAAATGTTAATATATATTCCATGAAATGTATATTAAGCACGTACTGTAAAAAAAACTAAGAAATACAAATTATGTATAATTTTTTTCTTTTCATTTCGTGAGGAAAATTGGGCCATGTACTCAATTTCAAAATGACCTGAATAATTAATGAATAGGACTATTCATATTTCTTAGGGTCTAGTAATGGTTTGCCCAGCCTCTCAAGATTATTTATTTATAATACTTATTTTCTTATTTAACAGACACCAGTATATCCACACAATAATTTACGTTAGCTGCCAGATTAACAAAAATAAAGTTCAATTAAGGGTCCCATGGGATGGGAACCAGAGGTGAGTGTACGAAGGCACATCTCGGCTCCTAGAGGCGGCGGCCTTCGCCCAGTGAAGGTTATGGAGCGACCTGAGGCGGTAGTTCTTTTGACGTTCAACAAGTATGTACTTTCATTTATGTTGAATAAAATTTTTTTGATTTGATTTGATTTGATTTGATAAGGCTGCGCGGCGCGTTACGACCTCACTAGTGCGCCGCCGAGGAGTTACTTCAACATGAAAGAGCGACCGTTGGCGGTGGATCACGGCCGGACCTGACAGTCTGGTTCTTGGGCGAAGTATCACGGAACACCAGCGGCACTGGTTGGGTGGCCTGATAGGCTCCTGCACCGCATTGGGTGACGTTCCAGTCTTTGTTTCGCCTCGAAGGCTCTGTGAGCCAAGTCTCTGGGGTTAGTCGCGCTGTCTGGTTGCAGTGTTGGTCGTGGTAACCTCTTAACACACTTAGGTTATGACTTTGGGGGGGGATTGGACGCTTGGGCGAAAGTGCAGGGGAGTCATTTAGTTGGTAGGGTCGTAGTTACATAGTGAACAAACAGAAAACAAACATAGAAACAAATATATAAAAAACAACTCCAAAATATAACAATCATATTAAATAAATATTACGTAAACTCAACACCATCAACAGTACTTAAGGGGTCAATAGAAAGTTTTTGACAACGCCTTTAGAAATGTGTATGGAAAATTATACCATGTCTTTGAATGTCAGTTTCATAGTGTTTTTGAGGTTTGATTTTTTTTGTTAACGTCTCTTTCTTTCATATTAACGTATTCATTTAGGCGATGGAAGTAATGTATTAAATATATGTGTTTTTATTATATTCTCTCCTCATTTTTGAATCTCTGTATCCTACGTTTTAATGGTACCACGAAACGACAAAATATTTGGAACTGTTGGAAATTATTAAAGCTGATAAATTAAAACATATTATATTATCTACATCTAATAAACAACAAAAACATTTTTTAAACTTACGGGTTATTTTCGTGCATAAACGTAAGTTTGTAGTAGTAGTCTAAAGTAGTAGTATTAAAGTAAAAAATAAAAATTATATTTTTTGTTTATTAGATGTAGATAATATAATAAAAATTCATCGTCCATGTGGAAATGAGAAAAGGAACAGACTTATTGGTGGAGGCGAAAAAGAAGGAGAAAAGAGAGAAATTGTGTGAATTGTTTTATTTTGATAATACAGGCTTTAAGTAAATTGATGGAAATTTTAATATTTTTTTTCCTACCTGTGCTGATGGCCTTGAGAGGCTATGTCAGCGTACCCTAGCGTATGTGGGTGAGCTCACGGGGCTCTAACTGGAGAGTTGCTAACACTGACCCTAGCAAGAGCAGTGCTTCGCAGAATCTACCACCGGATCGGAAACGCGACCCACTGAGAAGATCCGGCGAGAAACTCAGTGGGCTGTGTCTGTGGGATTTAAAATAAAAACCTCTGACGATATTACCTACGATCATAACGTTGAAGAAAGTCTCGTTGAAGAAAAAATAATTTAATAAATTATCAGCGTCGCGTACTTTCATTATAAAATTGTGCCAATTGATTTTGACCAATTAATCTAATTATATGACTAATCAGATTTTTTTTTAATGCGAGCTCCAGTAACAGTAATAATGAGTATTAATAATAATAAGCAAGTATTTTTGAGCAATACTAGTTCATATGACACAATTTAGGTCCTACATATAATATTACCATTGGAATGCTACTAGTGGAAAACCTCTTCAAAATGGATCGACCTCTCGACACCACTGCTAGTATTTCACCTCGAATTAGGCGCGGTCATTCCCACCATCAAAATCTTAGGCCAGCTCATGCTGTGGGCCTTGAAGGCCAAGTACCTAGGCGTCACCCTCGACAAAGGGATGACATTCGGTCCCAAGATCAAGACACTAAGTTTCCTAACTGCGTTCCTACTCAGTCGATTCTAATTCCATGATCCACAAGCAAAGTAAATTGTCTCTTTGTAATAAGGTGACGCTCTACAAAACGGACATATGTTGCACGACGGTCTTATTGTAGATTTTGTTAAGGTAGCGTTGGGTCCGTACGGCCACCGCTAATTATGCGACCCAAGCGACGGAGAAACGCAAAGTCGCCGTAGCCCGAAGCATATCGGATCTACTCTCAGTGCTTTTGTGATCTTTAAGCATTCTGAGCCCGTACTACCATATGTCCATTTCTTCCGTGAAGTAAAAATACAATTCAGTCTTCAATCTAACCTCTCAAGGCGGGTTCTGCTACGGTCATTTTGGAGTCAATGAGCTCCAGTAGAAACTTCGCACCAGTTGATTCTCGCTCATCCTCATCACGAATAATGCAAAAACAAAAATTGACACATCGAATAAACACTTATAATGGTGCGATTAATGACGGTCACCATGTACGACCGGTTTTCACCACTAAGGTATCAAATGAAACACAATGATTAATAAAAACAATTTATTTCCTTGTTGAACATACCCAAATAGTAATTTTATTAAAATGAATTAATTCAAGTAAGAAGTAATAAAATAATCTTAACTCGAAACACGGTATACCTTGCCGCTTGCACCCAATGCGACTCGGTCAGCTGTTTCAAGTTGACAGATGTTTGAATTACAAATTATTTATGTTGCAAAATTACTCTTTAAATAATTTTAATTGAATTCTTCTTACATTACGATTTCTTTTTTTGTAGATTTACTTCGTCTGTACTGTATTTATTAAAAGGCATTTTGTCAATTTGAATTATACAAATAGTATGTAATATATTCAAGTCTCATTTAATAAATAGCAGGATAAAATATGAACGAATGAAACGTGTAATCATCATCGCTTGCACCCGCGCGAATCAGTCAGACGTTTCGTGGCAAATTATGTGAACTAAAAGTTAGCGTAGTTTCGGAGTGACGAAACCATAGTGTCATTTATCGATAACATCTGTGTCATTTATCGATAACGTCAACTTTATTTTTACTAACAGAAACTTCCTCCGTTTTTCTTAGAATGAGGTAGGGTAAATGCCTTGTTTTTTATCCGATCTCTTACAGATAAGAATTTTTTGGTTTACTGTCGTTTATTTAACAAGGAAACTCGAGAACATTCGATATTCGTTTCGGAGAAAACTTATGTACTACGTAAATAATTTCAATGCTCGATTCCTTTTTATTCTTTTTTTTTTCACTCAAATATACTGGTACAAGTCAAATGTAAAATACATAAAACTAAAAAATACATTGTCACGTTTTAAGTACAGGTCATCTTTAATACAAGTAGAATTTATTAATTAACTAATACATGATAATAGTAATTTATCACAATATTTGGCAAATCAGGGACTACAGGAACTAATATTCATATAAAATAAAAATATAAAAACATCTATAATTATTAAAAATACGTTTAAAACTACAAATTAAATACTAATTCTAAACAAATCAAACTTTGGTCGTTGTGCCATTTTTTTGGGTTTAAAGTTTTACTTTTTTTTTGTTTTTTTCTTTTTTTTGTTTTTTTTTTCTGTTTATAATACTTGTGATGTAGCGTCGCATTTATATTGTCGGTGTCAGTTGGTTGCGCGACGTTAACGTATCTGATAATCTACAATGGAAAAATTCAAGGATTAGGTACAATTTCACTTATTATTACGGCCGAACTTAGTGACAGATAATTAATGACTAATAACAGCAATAATGCGCAAAACAAACAAACAATTATAAACACAAGATATAACAAATAATAAATATAAGATCAAATGATCCATAGTGAATTACGGAGTGCGCCATCAGGGAATTTTTGGCGGGAACGCGAGGAGCGAAGTTGTGTGAACTGATTTATTTTGTAATTTTAGTTTGTCTGCAAGTTTAAACGTGTTATAATAGTGGCTTATTAATTTTTTACTATCTGTGAAAGTGCACAAGTGCGGGAAAGCGAAAGAAAGTCGGTGGACGTGGCTTCTCGGGTTTCTCCAAAAACTCAATTAAAATCTTAGTAAATAACCAATTTCCTGAACCTTTATTTTATCCCATCTCATCTTATTTCAATTAATTGCATCCCAATTGATTGCAGTCAATTGCAAATAAATCTACTTCAACGCATTTTGCTCCATATCATTTTTCAGACAACAAAATAAATAATATAAACTTGAGACTGGCAACAAGGACATCGCTTGAAGCCAATCGCAATGCATTATCGATTAGGATTAGTGGATCACAGTGAATACTAGTACGTACTAAATATTAGCGAGTACCATCGTGTATTTATTTGTAGACAGGTCTTTTTTTAATTTCATGTCCTGATAAAGTGATATTTTAAAGTAACAGCATAAAAAGGCATTGAGTGCTCGTGTATTATGACCACGTAATTTTTTCTTGTCATCAACCCTACACAATTGTGGATAATCACAGTAATCGTTTTCGAGGAAAGACTCGTGATGCTGACTGTAGATTCTACTTAAAATAAACTTTAACCTTCAATACATTTTGTTAGTGTAAAATATCTGCCGGCTTTAACTAGAAATATAAGTAGTTTCCAAGCAAATGATGCAACCATCTTTTTTTCAGAACGAACTTTCTAGTTTTATGAATTTTATTATTCTGGTCTAGATCGTTACACCAACGTATAATAAGAATATGGCTTAACCATCTGATTATTTTCACAAATCTTAGGGAAGGTCTTTAACAGAGCGGTATTTGCTCGGTAAAATGGCGGTCTTTATGTTCTTACATCCTGCTTATTTCTGCTTCGAAGCAATCATGCATTGACGATACTCACCCGTGCTTAACAAGAAGTTTCACCGGTTTAATTAGGGGTAATAGGGACTGCTTAATTTTTAAAAATTGATTTAATGTATCTTGTATTAAGTGGTTACTGGGGCCCATAGATTTTAACATCATAAATGCCGCCTCGATGAGTTCTAAGTCTCAGTTTTCATCAAAGCATAGCGTTCTAACCATCGGAAATGAATCAGGACTTACTCGTGATTACTAGTTGATTTTCTTGGTGTCCTTAGTCTCCTCCTTGGGTTGTCCTTTGCCGAGCAACTTTGCCAGAGAATCCCAAATGCCGCCCATGAATAAAGCGCAAAACAGATTCTCAAATGGCACGAAGGGATCGTGGATGCCCAAAAGAATGGAGGAGAGCTGGAAATGAGAAGAATAAAGTTAGTCCGAAAACGCGGTGCTTATTATCCTCGAAGTCGTGGAAAAATGGCTTACAAATTCTTCGAAGTAAGTTTTTTTTTATTGCCCGTATAACCATTAAAATTACCACGAGCAGGTTTTATTGTCGCTCGGAGTCTCTATCTTTGTATTCCAAATTTGGGTGTCCAGTAGCTTCTTTCTTCTCTTATATATATATATATATTTTTATTGCTTAGATGGTTGGACGATCTCACAGCCCACTTGATGTTAAGTAGTTACTGGAGCCCATAGGTATCTACTATATGTGCTAATGAAACGGGATAATATCCTAGCTTGGAAGCTATTTTTTTATTGTTCTTGTGATAGATGAGCATACGGCCCAGCTGATGGTAAATGTTTACCGTCGCTCCTATACGTCTATACGTCAGCAATGCCAGGGACAGAGCCAAACCGCTGCTTACCGCTCAAGTACATATTATAAGTAAGTGATGCTTTCCCATAATAACTCTTTTAATAAAGTTCTAAAGGCTAACATTGTTGTCATAAGTCGAGGTGCGAATGAAATATTCCTTCAATTAAACCGTTTATTAAATTTTTTTAGGTATTTTCTTTGGCACTTGCGATCTAAGAAAGCCTATTAAATACCTCACTAGTAGATTAGTCTAAACTCTAACTGGATAATATTTCTCGATACCAAAATCACTAGGTTAAATCGATTTTATAGCAATACCTACTTGTGTATTTATTTCTCTCTATTTATTGGTCAACACCTCTAAACTACTAAACAAAATTTTAAATTAATAATTTAAATAAATATTATATTGTTATTTTTTTAAATTCTGAAACGATTATTTCAAAATACCGTTCGTCGAAGTTAATGTTTCAAAATTCGTCGGACGGTTTCGTGTCGAAGTTGTGATAAATCTCGGAAAATTTCCCAATACATTGACATTAGCATTAAATATACTTTACAAACGATGCTTTTTTTTAACTTTTTTAGAACTGGGAACTAATCACGCACGGTCATCCGGCCCTAAAAATAGGTTTCCCTGTGTTATAGGTGACCAGAGACTGATTTACATACTTATATACGTTTAAATATATACTTAATATAGATAATAAACACTCAGACAAAGAGCAAACGAACCGAATTTTTTGCCCGATGTGGGAATTGAACTCACAACAGTCAGGGGCGCTAAATACTGTACCAACGGGTTAGTCAGAGCTTAAGAACATGTTTGTCTTTAAACTTTGAAGTATTCGAAAAGACTTAAATAATTTGTAAATAATAATGTTTGGTGCGTTTGGTACTATAAATTCCGGTCACCGTCCTAGTCGAACCCGTCGCTTGCGACGAAAGGCTCGACGGGTAAATTAACCCATAGACACAGCCCACTGAGTTTCTCGCCGGATCTTCTCAGTGGGTCGCGTTTCCTATCCGGTGGTAGATTCTGCGAAGCACTGCTCTTGTTAGTGCCAATATTAGCAACACTCCGGTTTGAACCCCGAGAGCTCACCTACACGTTAGGGTGAAGCTAAAATAGCCTCTCAAGCAATAGCATAGGTAGGAAAAAAACGAAAAACTATAAATAATAATCGACTTAGCTCTCACCTTAAAGTAAACAAAGAAGATAACGATACCGAAGTAGACGAGTGCGTGGGGAGCAGAGATCAAATCCGTCTTCTTATCCAATACGAAGATCACGGAAGCTACCAGCGAAGCCTTTGTGTAGCTGAAAATAGAAAAAAATAAAAGAAAATTAACTTTGTTTTAATTATTACTACGAATAGATCTCGTGATGGATTTTATTTAAAATCTATTTTATTTTAATTAGTCGTGCGCTTATGTTACTAGCCAGATTGTTTACTTATTGTTTTATGTGTATCTTTTTTTAGCTTCTAATGTATAAGTCAATGAACAAAAAACAGCCTAAGTTACTCCTTATATCATCAGCTACATATCAGTGAAGGTCTCTTCAAAATCGGTTCAGCCGTTCCAGAAATTAGCCAAAACAAACAGACAGACAAAATTTGAAAAAAATGTTATATTGGTGTATGTATATATGTAGTTATATTCGTATGCATGTAGTAAAAAGCGGTTATTTCAATATTACAAACTCCAATTTTATTTATATGATAATAACCGGCAAACTTCTTGAGCATTTGTTGACGTAGTGGGGGTAAGTTTGCGCATGGTACACTCACGTGCAAAAACATTACTTACTCTGCGTCATAATGCTATTAAATTATTAAAATCAACATATGTATTTATTTATATATTTATTAGAACATCAACAAAACATATAGGTTAATAATTGTAATAATTTAATCTTGGGGTAAAATAGATATTCCTTCTATTAAGTCAAAACTAGAGCTGTTGCCAGGTCTTGGTTCAGTTAAAGCGAAGCTGGTATTTGTAATGTTTGTGTACCGGGCTATTATAAATAGGTGCAATGAGACCTCCTCTGTTTGTGACAGAAAAAGATCTGGCCGTCCACGTAGTGTTCGTACGAAAAAGGTGGTCAAAGCAGTAAGGGAAAGAATTCGAAGAAATCCTGTCCGAAAGCAAAATATTTTATCTCGGGAGATGAAGATAGCACCTAGAACCATGTCGCGTATTTTAAAAGATGACTTAGGACTTGCAGCCTATAATAGACGTACTGGTCATTTCTTAACTGATAATTTAAAAGAGAATAGGGTGGTAAAATCGAAACAACTACTGAACCGGTACGCAAAGGGAGGTCATAGAAATTTTTTGTTTACGGATGAGAAAATGTTTACAATTGAGCAACATTTTAACAAACAAAATGACCGTATTTATGCTCAAAGCTCTGAGGAAGCTTCCCAATTAGTCGACAGAGTGCAACGTGGGCACTATCCGACTTCAGTGATGGTTTGGTAGGGTATTAGCTATGAAGGAGTGACGTGAAGGAGTGAAAAATGTATCAAAAAATCGGCACAAGTGTATCAAGATACCATTCTTGACAAGGTAGTGAAGCCCCTTAACAACACCATGTTCAATAATCAAGAATGGTCCTTCCAGCAAGACTCGGCGCCAGGTCATAAAGCTCGGTCTACGCAGTCTTGGTTGGAAACGAACGTTTCGGACTTCATCAGAGCTGAAGACTGGCCGTCGTCTAGTCCCGATCTTAATCCGCTGGATTATGGATTATGATTTATGGTCAGCTTTCTAAAGCTGACCATAAATCATAATACATAATCAATACTAGAGTACGGCTTGCTCTAAACGCCATGATAATTTGGAGTCCCTAAATCCGTACGATTGGCAGTAAAAAAAATTCCCATGGAAAGAGTGCGTGCTTCTATTGATAACTGGCCTCAACGTTTAAAGGACTGTATTGCAGCCAATGGAGACCACTTCGAATAAGCTTTTTATACTTTAAATTGTTTTATATTTATGTATTAAACTAACCACTGTAAAAGTAATAAATGTTATTTGCAATAGATTTTTTTTCCTTTGTCTCATTATTTATGGCAAGACTAGCATCAACATATAGATTAGCATCAACAGTTTATTGCTTTTAATTGAACTTCAATAAAGTTGACTTCATTCAAATAGCTGAAGCAGTTTTTTTATCATGATGTTTTTTCCAAATATTAAACTTTACATGGCTCTCCTGTGGAGTTGCAAAAATGTCGCTTAAGCCAAACAGCCTTTCACCTGTCGATATGGTGTATTGTGTAATATAGAGCAGGGGTGGCCGGCTTGATTAGAACCAAGATCTACTGACGAAACACTCTGCGATCTACCAATGACCTTTCTCGAAATTTAATGAAACAATGTTCAGTATACAAATTAGTAGCATATTTTCTTTTATGAAAAAGATTACAATAAACCTGAAATTATATCACAAAAGAGAACTCTTGTGTAGAAGAGAAGATAAATAATGTGACGTAATGGTCATTAAAAAATTATACAAGATGAAGGTGATGCGTGCAGCAATTGGTGATTACGTTGCGCAGTCTGTTTCTATGTATTTATTTATATTTTTTGTCTCGCCACGATCGACTGAACTAATAGCCACGATCGACCGGTCGTGACTATTATCCGGTTGGCCACCCCTGATATAGAGGAATACTTACAAGCTGGGTTGCATGGTTTCCATCGCAGTCGGGGTCCAAGCGCCCCGGATAAGCCTCTCGACTAATTTCGTGAAGCCGGCACCGTTACCTTTCAACGTACCTGAAATGTTACCGCCATTCATTAATTAAGGGCGTATTGATTAGAAACGGGATGAAACGAAGGTTATATACGAATTATATACGAGTTATATACGAATTTATATACCTACATAGGTACTGTTACGCGCTAGGGTTCGGGATAAATAAAATTCTACCGAATCACAAGTTAACACTGTATTCAACACTTAGAACACTTCACAAGCACTTTGAAACTCTCAATTCGATTCTTCTGCTTCGCTTCAGATGATCTGTTCGCTGTTTCGCTTCGAGTACTTTCGATTACTAACTGACTGCGTGCCATCTTTGCAACGCTTTTGTAGTCGAGACGAAATCCCTAGAATCGTCGAGAATATTCCACACAAGTCCAGTATTGTGTTTCCGCTATCTGACAATAGATGGCGTTGTACATCTCGAGCGTTCTAGATGCTACTAGATCCTTCGATATTCGTTCGACTATTCGGCGATAGATGGCGTTACTCTTATCGGCGTAACAGTACCTACTATAAGCTTTAGGCAGCGAGAAATTGATATAGAACAAGAATTGCCATACCACCAACCTGCCTATTTTATTCACAATACAGTCCAGCGTTGAATACAGTTATTATAGAATATGTTTCTCTCAAGATGTCCGCATTAATGTTTATGAGTTTTGGTAAACATTTAACAACGAAATGCGACATTAGTACATCTCCACGCTTAAAAAACAAAACCCAAAAAAACAAAGATAGTTATTATACTGAGACCTTAGAACTTACATCTCAAGGTGGGTGGTGCATTTACGTTGTAAATGTCTATGGGCTCCAGTAACCACTTAACACCAGGGGGTCTGTGAGCTCGTCCACCCATCTAAGCAATAAAAAAAATATAGTTTTTTTAGATAATGCAATATTGTGCGCGAAATTGTAATTCAAATATCCACTGACCAACAATGACCATAATGACGTAAGCGTTAGGGTACAGTTTGGCTGCGTGGCTGACTCCATCGTAAACTTTCTTGGCTCTGTATATTTCTTTCATCGCAGCCGCCACCACCTTCACCGGCAGGAACTTCGCTACCTTGTAGCCTACATCGAAAGGCGTGTAGAAAACTAAGTACCTGTAATAGAAGTTACAGAATTCACCACGATATCCGTCTCAAAATTGTTGTTGTCCCGCGTTTTTACAGGCTTTATATGAGTCGACTATTATCAAAGCCGGCAATCTGACTTTTGGACAATTATTGGTAAATCAGAAAAATGAATTATTGACTTTGTATTCCATTGGCCTCCACAAAACTCTTCGGAACGACATCTTAGATAAATAACAGGTTAACTATTAACCTTTATTTAATGCAGGTTTTGAACCGTATTCTTTGAAGGAGACGATTATATTCAAATCAATCTGTATTGACATATCAATAACATTTTTTTGTCCAAATGCACAGATTGCCACCTTTGATAATAGACGACTCATATTAGCTTCACTTGTATGTATCTTTGTATGTTTGTAACTGACTCCTTTAGACGCGATTTTGACCCACTTTAAACGGCCAGATTTCATTCAAACTTTGTAGATTTATCGAGGACCGATGACAATACACTAATTTGATAAGATTATTCCATTATTCAATTTGCAAAATAAGGTTTTTGCCAATTTATATAAATTTTATCTATAGTCGATAAGGCAGGAATTGATGTAAAAGTACTTTTATAGAAAATTTAACTAAAAAATGAAAAATAAACAATAGTTTAAAAAACTAATAAAAACCCGCTTTATAAAAAATTCAACTAAAAAAAAGCGTGGGGTGCATGGTTTTTTTTTAAATAAAAAATATATTTTTTTTTCACTATTTTCAATTCAAATTTATTTTCAACTTTTTTAGTTGAATTTTATATAAAGCGTGTTTTTTAGTTTTTTAAACTATTATTTATCAGTGGTGTGGATTGGGAGAGGCCTATGTCCAGCAGTGGACGACTGTGGGCTGTTGATGATGATGATGATTATGATGATGATGATATTTACTTTTTACTGTTATTCAATTCTGACATTTCAAAACTTTACAGTTTTCGTGGTAGCAGACGATAAATACATCAAAAATTCGAGATTATAGCGTAACAGTAGTTATAAACAGTAGAAAAGTTCTACGCATCGTACGTTCGATAGGCGGACGACCTCACAGCGCACCTGGTGTTAAGTGGTTACCGGAGCCATAGACATCTATAACCTAAATGCCCTCATCCACCTTGAGATATAAGTTCTAAGGTCTCAGTATACTTACAACGGCTGCCCCACCCTTCAAACCGAAACGCATTACTGCTTCACGGCTGAAATAAGCTGATTGTTAGATCGGTTTGCTGTTTAAGCATTTTTTTTTATATTTTTAGGTTAATTTAAAATTATCTCAAGTAATATATAATGTATATTTACCATGTAACAGTTCCGATGACTAATTGGGGTGTATTCTTCAACGGCGCCAAAATAGGTTCGCCGAGAAGACCATTGGCTACCATACCACCGGCGAATATCACTAGCATAGTGGACAGCCAGCATGATAGTGGATGCTTCCTGGAAAAGGCCTGGGCACCTGCAAACATGCGTGATTTATCATTAAAGACTGACAACCATTTACCGATCTACTAGTGGCGCTGTTCCAACTCCATACGAATTTGAGTTAACTTTTACGCTATCGAGAACGTTAAAAAACTCGCACTAGGCACACTGATGACGAGTGGCCACCGTTGCTCAGAGGCCTATTTGCTCTAGGGCCAAAAGGGCTATGGCCCAGGGCGGCTGGTTGCGGCCACACGCTCTCAAAACAAAATACTATAGGATTTTATTCTATAATGAAAAGTTTATGATTCTCGTTAATTTATAGAATTGCAAATCTTTTAGGCCTGGGTTGAATCTTAAATTACGCCATTGCCGTCGTCACATACACACCGGCCATGCTTAAATACATTTTTATCATCGATTCTATTTATTACTATTCTTACTATTTATTAATTTTCTCCATTTTTTGCTTTTAAATTCTGGCAAATTATTAATGCTTTTTGTTTAATAAATTTTATGATCCTATATAAATTATAATTATAAAATGTGGGCTTATTGCGGATTTATAATGATGCTGTGACTGATGACAACAGCCTGGCCACATGGCATATTGACCTTAAAATATACGATGTAGTCGTCTTGTGTTGTAAATTCTTTACAAATATAACAAAATAAAAGAGATTTTCTTAAAACTTTTATTTTAGAATGATTTTCTTGGTTTAGATACATACAGTTAATTTCATGAACAATACATGTGGCTCGTTGGTCTAGGGGTATGATTCTCGCTTCGGGTGCGAGAGGTCCCGGGTTCAAATCCCGGACGAGCCCAAGTTTCTTTTTGTATTTTTAGTTTTTGGTTCGTAATTAAATTCGTGAATATTTTAATGTTTTAATATTTTAATTTCTTGTTATTTGTACAGAATACAATATAATTAATGTAGAAAATTTTGTTTATATAAATTCAGCCAGTACCTTAGCATATCTTATTTATTAATTTTATTATTCTTAATTACTTCTTTTTAATTAGAATACGCTTCGTATAAGCTGAAGACCAAATATGTATTTATAATGCACAGACAGACTGGCATTGAAAAAACTTTCTGTCCTCGAATTAAACTGTATTGCAAGCTACCTATTATTATCTTAATTTCAGTGATAATGCAAGATAACGTGCAACACGATACTATTATTCCTACCTGTTTTGTAAATAAATGTGATACATATAAATATATTTGTATCAATGTATTTATGAATAAATCAGAGAATAAAATGTTGTTCTGCCAGATTTAGATATTATCAAGGCATTTGGCGGTGCCACAGGGAACATTCTATTTATAAACCATGTAGAGTGTGTCTTCTTTCAGCTTATTGAAGCGACAAATTACCGATATTTGGTTCCATTTTACTCACGCAGGATGCGGAAGCATGACGTATATGGCAATTTTGGCGGGTCATATTTGAAAGAATAATGAAATACCACTCACCGGATCCCAAATCTTCTCTGACTGCAAGAGCGCACAGCAACGAATGCGCTATGTCGAAATATGGATACATTTTCAACTTTATGACCTGATTGGCCAGGTCTAAAAATGATTCGGGATCCATTGTGTTAGTTTTTTGTTCAATTTCACCGTTTTATTGTAATTTTATGGTACAACTAAACACCGACAATAACGTGATAAGGAGACGCACGCATGCGACCAACCGCGGTCGATGTTACCGCGAGACTGGTGCTATTCACGGTAAGTCAATTGGGCTGCTGATTGCGTTGATTTTTTTTAGATTTTGGTCAGTAGCCGCCCAACACGTGGAATTAAAACAAGCAGTATAGAGCGTTGCAGGTTTTTCTCGTGTCAATCATTAGTGCTATTTTCATATTATCACGCCGAGGTTTCGACAGTACAGCTGTTCGAACGGATCCTTCATTTGGAAATATCAAACTCAAACATCCTGAATTGAGAATTCCGATTATCGATATCACCTTTCTGTAATCGATTCAAAAGCCTAGTATTTTATGAACGATTACGATTAGTTTCCCTAGAAGTTTCTGTAACACACTAAAAAAAACCTAATAAGTAAAAGACTTATGTACAAGTACAATTTAATCAAGGTAATTGGTTAGCGGTAGGCAGCGGATTGGCTCTGTCCCTGGCATTGCTGAAGTCCATGGGCGACGGTAACCACTCACCATCTGGTGAGTCGTATGTCGTATAAAAATGTTCACGTTACTTGGTAATAATGTATTCGTTTTTAATTGTAGTTTTTCGCGAAGTAAAAACTAAATAACAAGTATGAACTTAAATTAATTATTGTATCCGTTACTTCACTGCCGCCATTTTTAGTAGTTTTTTTAACACCTTGACATTGATTAACAATTGACATTTTGTTCTTGCCTTTTTGATTTTTTTAAATTTATCGTACAGCTTCGTATGCCCTTGGACAAGAACACTGAAATTATTATTATAATCAAAGTAAAAGTCTAATATGTTGCGATTTTATAAAATCAATGGTAAAATAATACGAATCCGTAAGAAATTTATTTTTACTGATTTAAAAAGGGGGCAATGGTTTCAGCCTTGACGGCTTATAATTACACACCTAACAGAAGCTATAAAAAAATTAAGTAGCATTTTCCTGAAGATGCTCTTGTATGTGTATACCACATTTCGAAGCTTTGCAATCCCATAATAACATTACACAGAAACAAATTATATTAGAAAAAGAAAAAAACAATAACAAAACACGTTGTCTCGTACAAAAATTTATTTTCAACGTAGCACTCATTACAAAATTACATAGATACTAAAAAAATATGTCGATGTATTTTTAAATTAAATATAGGTATAGGAAACGCATGCTATGTCAGTCTTTTAAATAATTACACAGCCAAATCTTTGGGGTATACAAAAACGTTTTTAGTTTCAGTGGATTAATAAAATACAAAATTTGATCAGAGAAAAATAACTTACATTATTCCACAGGCCTATTCATTTACAAACACGAAATAACTTTAAGCACCGCGAATCAATGTTTCTATAGAATATAATTTTACAAATGTCTGTAAAAAACAAAAAAAAACTTATGAATATTAGCGGAGGACGCGTTAATGTGGGTTACTGAAAATTAAGGCACAACGTCGTAAGCTCAGCTGCATTTAAATTAACGTTTAACCACGAATCTTTAACAAATTTAAGCCGCGCCAATAAAGAAACGAATCTAAAATGGCGGCGGCGATCATGCGCTCTCACTCTAAACTATTGCTGTCTTTAATCGCACACGGCGCGTACTGCATGCAAAAACAATATTCTGACTTTGTTCTCAAACTGTCTCGACGCGCTCTGTTTTCTCTCAAATTCTGTTGTTATTTGTTGCATTTGTCCGTTATTTTGATGTTTTTGTTAAATTTGTATTGTATTTGTTAAAGTACATTCTCATTTGTTTTTTTTATATTTTTTTACAATAAACAACTTTTTCTTTCGATCTTTCTTTTTATTTGTTGACCCTACCATCTGTCAGTGCAGGTACATGGACGCCATTTTCGATTCGTTTCTTGATTGGCGCGGCTTTTAACAATCTTTATTCAGCACATCACAACGTGAAACGCCTTTTTATATTAATTATAAGTTGAATTACAATACAGAATAATGGTATTAAATTTAAATGTCATATACTTAAATTAAAATGAACTTATACTAATTAAATGAAAAGAAATGATCTTAATATTAAAACCCTACATAAGAAAGCCTCAAGATTTATATACATAAATAATATATAGGAAAAAAAGAAAATTAAATCAATTTAAATAAGAGCATTAATGACATTACATACAAAATTCTATCAAATAAAAATGTCTCATTACATTGAGAATAAATAGTTCATAAAGATACAAAAGTTGTGAGATTCTTGAAATCTTTAAATAACAAGAAAAATATTATATTACATAAATAAATATCATAATCAGCACAATTATATATATAAATATATCTTATGTAAGTCGATTGTGGGTTATAATAGATACTATAAAAAATAATTTAGGAACATTATTTCCGTAGGCCAAATAATTACATCTACTTTTGTATAATATTACTTGTTCTATTTAGTAAGGCACTTGGGGAATATGTTGCGTAGCGATTTGAAATATTTCGTTACGTCATAATTGTGTATTTTTTTAAGAACTTAAACCTTTCATTCATGTTACTAAATTTCAATTGACATTCCTTAAAGTTATTATAACAAAACTATGGAACTATTATCTAGAGTTTTGCTCAAATAAAAAATTGCAATGTGTAAGAAATGGTAAATTAGAATTACCTATTAAATTCATCAGAACCAGTTCATAGCACAATTATTACCAAAAAAAAAAAACTCGTAATCCTAAGATGCAATTAATATTGAAAATTTTCAAAAAATACGTTACCTAAACACTAAATATACAGGTTAACTCTTCTATAACACGTTAAATACGTTCCTAAAAAGTCCCGTGTTGTGGGAAGCCATGTTGTATGAAACTAGAAGCCAATACAAAAAGGAGAGTGATTTTTCTGAATCCGTATGTAATTTTTTTACTAATTATACACATTTATTTAATACTAGCTGACCCGGCAGACTTCGTAGTGCCTCAATCGATAAATAAAAGACCGATGGGGACACATCAAAGAAAAAACAAAATTGTTAGTTTTATTTAATTCCGACCATTTTTATATTTATCTACCTTTTAAACCTTCTCTGGACTTCCACAAATAATTCAAGACCAAAATTAGCCAAATCGGTTCAGTCGTTCTCGAGTTTTAGCGAGACTAACGAACAGCAATTCATTTTTATATATAGAGATATAAATTTCGATTATTCCCATACATTGTTTGTTCATAGTGCATAATATTATTTTATAAATAATTTTAAACAAAAATCGCGTTATCGTGTTATAGGGCTACCGTGCTGTGAGTGGGTTTTGGGGATTTTTTCTTTTCGTGTTAGAGTGGAACCGTGTTTTTTTTTTATGATTGAAGGATTACTGTTGGCCCGGAGGCCTTTCCAGTTTCACCAGGACAGGTGGGCGAGCAAAGGCTCAGCCAGGAGGGGTGGGATTTGCTAACAGCTACCCGAGCGCCTCCGAAGGAGACCTAACAGCTCAAGAGTAGCTGCTTCGCGAATGAAAACCGTGTTGTAAAATAACGTGTTATATAACAGGGTTACCTGTAACATTTCGAATGTTCTTGTAAATAAACGCTTTTAAGGAAGAGTATTTATTACGTAAACAGTGAACATGTTATTTCGAGTTATGGGTTTTTGGGAACCGCAGTATAAAAACATTTGTGACCGAAGCATTAATACAAATCAATTCCTTTAATGATATTCGAACCGTTTATATAATACGCTTATGAAATGTTCGTTCAAGTTTTTCAAACATATCTTATTTACTTATGAACTTAATTTTTATTGTTGTATCGGGAACGTCTGAAAATAATGGTAATTTTATTTTTAGTAGTTCCAAAACTCTTTAGGGTAACAAATTTATGTTAACTGTACCCAGGGACGTCTTAAACTAGGATGGGGCCCTTGGGTACACAAGAATTTGAGGCCCTTTTGGAAAGTAAAAAAAGCGAATTATAATAACATTTTTTACTGAGTATGACCATTTATTATAGGTAATCAAATACAGTATGATATAATATGTCATTAATGATATTAATGTTTTTTGGTTACGATTTCGATAACGGTTTCTTTCGGGACTTCTGTTGACCAAAATCTATTATGGGCATAGTATATTCCTTGTAAATACCTTCTGATTACTAATTTCTGAAAAAAGTGTAATGGGCCCGACAAAAATGTTTTGAGAATAAACGTGTGAGAGAAATTTTCGGTCTTTCAGGGCCCTGGGCACGGGCCCCGTGTGCCCTTATGGTAAAGACGGTATTGACTGTACCACCAGCAGTCGCTAGATGATTTTCATTTATCGGATTCGATGTTTTTAACCTACCTAGTAGCTGGTAGCCTAAAGGTTCGAGCACATTATGCCGGGCCGCAGCGTGTCGGGGCGGAACGCAAAAATCCCCTCAAATCGCTTGAATACAATTTGTAAGGGTTATCGCACACTGTGTCGGGCCGCAGCGGCTCGCATTGTTGCGACGCAGATTTGGGTCCGTGCGACGCAGTCCGCCCCGCCCCGCCCCAACCCACCCCACTCCGCCCTGCCTCCCGTCAACTGTGTGCTATAGCAAGCGGATTGCATGCGCGCACTTTTTTATTTTACGATATTTGCATATATTTTTTTGGTATTTGCGTGTTCCTGTGGTGTTCACAAAAATGAATGAAGAGCTTTTGATTAATTTAGTTCAAGGATACAAAGAACTTTATGATTTGCAAGATCCTCATTACGATGAACAACAAAAAAGAAAATTCTTCGTCAGGGCAAACCATAACGTACAGTTGCACGCAAATACACAGCAGTTGCGCAGACAGTAAGTACGCTGTACTCAAAATCCGTCAATGCACTGCGACCCGGCCCGTCACTAATGCTGGGTAAGCATTTTTCGCTGCGCTGCGGCCCGCTCCGCCCCGATAATATAATGTGCTCGAACCCTAAGGGGTTATTCCAGCTACGCGCGGACGGGCTCAGCCTGACAGAATTTACAATTTTTTATTTTTGTACTTATTGCTTAAACGGGTCGACAAGCTCACAGCCCACCTGGTGTTCAGTGGTTACTGGAGCCCATAGACATCTGCAACGCAATTGCGCCACCCACCTTGAGATATAAGTTCTAAGGTCTCAGTATAATTGCTAACACTAACCCTAGCAGAGCAGTGCTTCGCAGAATCTACCACCGGATCGGAAACGCGACCCACTAAGAAGATCCGGCGAGAAACTCAGTGAGTTGTTCAATGTTAAAAGGCTTGAAGTCCAAACCAGACCAGAGCGCATGCGACTAAAAATAATAGGTTGACCCATACTCATCTGTGTACGATAATAATGTATACATATTAATAACTATTTTTATTACCGTATTCATTTTACAAAGAAGTGCTTTCTGGGGTTACTCTCGATGCGTGCACGTCTGAATCTCTCCTCTCATTCTGCCCACCTGTATCGTAAATAAAAAAACGATTTAAACAATTCAAACATTACATTATCATCTGGATCAATAGAATCAGATCTCAGTGTGCTTAGTGTGAGTTTTTTAACGTTCTCGATAGCGTAAAAGTTAGCTCATATTTGTATGGAGTGGGATCGTTTGCGTACGTTTGCCGCTAGGGGCGCTGTTCCAACTGCATACAAAATTGGGCTAACTTTTACGCTATCGAGAACGGTAAAAAACTCGCACTAAGCGCACTGGATTTACATCGTATTCTAAAGTATCTACATATCGACGCTTGAAAGGCAAACGTGACTAAGCGACAATGCGTGAATTTTACAGTAGACTAATTTAAAGTTGAAATACCTGAAAACAAAATTTATTTTAACGAAACTAGCTGTAATAGAATCTAGCTAGTAGCTGTAGGATTGAAATGATTTTAATAGACCTAGAAATATATTTTTTTTGCGCATCGAATATGGTTATTGCCTATCATTTATGTACAAAGCAGTTATTGTCACTTAGTCACGTTTGCCTTTCAAGCGTCAATATGTATAGATATAGGCAAAGACAAAACACGTAATTTGTTTTAAATTACCGTTATCTTCTCTGTTTCTTGACATGCTTTTTTATTTAGCTACTGATGAGCTTTGGTGTCATTTATGAAAATTAAAAATAAGGACATAGTTGATTTTTGTCGGTAAGAACACAAAAGAGAACATGTGTTATTTAAATTAGGTAGGCAGCGGCTCTGCCCCTAGCATTGCTGACGTCCATGAGCGACGGCGACCACATACCATCAGGCGGGCCGTATGCTCGTCTGCCTACAAAGGCAATAAAAAAAATTGACTTTAAAATTTGAGTTTTCAGTGATATTAATTGTAGAACTTTATTAATATAATTATTATTGTACGATTGGATACATTTGAGCGTTATAGTCCTCAATAAAATACTCAAACTTGAAGATTCTACGTTTAATTGAAATTGTTTAATTGTCTGTCATTTTTAGAATCAATAATAATCTATACTAATATTATAAAGAGGAAAGATTTGTTTGTTTGTTTGTTTGTTTCGAATAGGCTCCGAAACTACTGGACCGATTTGAAAAATTCTTTTTCCATTAGAAGCCGACGTTGTCCCTGATGAACATAGGCTACTTTTTTTTATTTATTTTTTGGTTTCATGTGTGTTTTAATGTTTCCGAAGCGAAGCGAGGGCGGGTCGCTAGTATGTAATAATCACAACAGTATGTCTCTCGAAAAGCTACAAATGTTCTGTTTTTTAGACTAACAGTGAAACGTCTTAATTTTATCAAACATTAAGTTCTTATCGATAATTGTTTGTTTCATTAAAGAAAAAAAAAAACAGAAATAATATTTAATCGAATTTATCGGTAATTGTTTCAGCTTTAATTGAAATTTAATGAACGCCAAACGAACAACTAACAGCTAGGTATCACGACAATCTTTTCGTCTATCTTTTCGTGACGTCACGCCGCGCGCTTATTCACAAACACTACACAAGCGCAACGTGTGAATGTGTTGAACGCGAGCTACATGGTAGCCGGAGTGAGGGTGTTAGGTTTTATTTTCGTTACGAAATTTCTTGATTCGGTCGTCACGCTCAAAGCCCGCGATAAAAGCTATGCAATAGCTTAATAAAAAAGTGTATTAATTTTTGATTTTTCTACCTTTCTTCTTGCTGGCAGCACTCTTAGCTGTTCGACCGTTCACTGAAACACAAATATACATTAAGGACAAGCAATAAACAACTTTAAGATAATATTAAAAGAGCACGTTTTACTGCAGGTTTTTTTTGCCGTATACATAGAATTTACTCTGAGCCACGTTCCCAAAATCGAAAAGGTAATAAATATGTAACCCCTATATGATTTATGTCATAAATCTTACAAGAAATTATCATATGTTATACCTACAGGTGACATAAATGCTATTTTGAATATTGAAATTTTAGAAGAAGAAATATTAGAAACATTGAAAATAATTATGAAAAATAAAATCTGGCGCAATAGCTTAAATGTTGTTTCTCTAAACGGAGCAACTCATTTTGTGCTTAGAGTTTTACTGGGCTAAATTTTCTTTCAGGGTCCATAAAATAATATAATACATTATAAATATACTACTATTTGTCTACTACTCAATACAATGATGTTTCCCGAGCGCTATGGCATGTCGTTCTTCAAACGAGGCTTGTGGAGAGTACTTAACCATAGGCAGCGGCTTGACTCTCTCCCTGGCATTGCTGAAGTCCATGGGCGACGGTAATCACTCACCATCAGGTGGGCCGTATGCTCGTCTGCCTACAAGGGCATTAAAAAAAACAAATATGACACGTTTGCTTTTCATTTTAGTAACATCATGTTTCACGGGTCACTATCGCCGTCATTAAGTCCGCGTGGTAGTCAATTATGTAATGTGACCATTATGTTGAATAATTTGTAATGAATGCATTTTTTTTTCTATTCAGTTCTCACGAAATTTGTATTGAAAAGGAACGCACAAAAATGTACAATCATCATATAAATATGTTTGCAATCGCATAACTCAATCAATGTCATACCTATTTTCTCAGTTTTGGTGATTCTGTAGGTTCTGTTCTGGCCTTTCTCGTACTGTAAAAAGTTCAATGACTCTTGGATCGACGTCGAAGTCTCCGGGTACACAAACGCGCTTAACGCTTCTTCTTCAGGCGATTTAACTTTGTCCTCTTCCTGTATTCCAAACGAGTCCGTGGATGTATTTTTATATATACCTTTGCCTTTCTTCGACGTTTTTGTTTGTTCCTGTGACGAAATAGACTTTGTTGGCATCGTTGTTTGTTCGTTGTTTTTTGTCGATGAATTTGTTTGATCGTCTATTTTCGTTTGGTTCTTTGTTGGTATTTTGGTTGGTTCCTTTTCTTTTGTAACCGTTTTTGTTGGCTCTTGTTTAGATTGTTCGTTATCTATAGACCGAGGACTATCATTAACAGAGTTTTCTGGTTTATCGCTTTCGGTATTAAATTTTTCATTTTCTTTTAGATCTTTTTCTGGCTTTTTTTCAGCTTGTTTTGGTTTGTCGTCGTCTGGTTTTGTTTGCTCTTTGCCTTTCGGCGTAACTGTTTTAGGCACGTCCGAATTATTTTTTGAATTCAATTTAGATTCTGCTGTAACATTTGTCTTTTCATTGTTTTTATCTTTTACGACTGTTTGTTGAGTGCTTTTTGTGTTCGTTTGCGAGGTGTTGTTAGTTTTTTCGGCACTCATTTGTTTGTTATCGTCTGCAGCTTTAACGTCTTGAGCTTCATTCGCTTTTTCCGGAGTTGAGCTTTTGTTCTCGCTCGGCGTGAACTTGATTTCTTCACTGTTCTGTCCATCTCCGTCTGATTTGTTCTGCGTGGTTTCGTTGCCACAAATCGTGTCGCGATCCGATTCTGCACTCGGACTGGTCGCGTTGGTCAACTGCAATCGAAAACGTGCGTTAATTTCAATTCAAACCGTCTAAATCAATACGAATATATAAATCTATAGTGGTTTTTACGGATGCACCGTTATAACTACTGAACCATGCATCCGATTGACTTGAAACTTGGTATTTATGTAGAAAATACATGTGCTTAATGGATTATTTTTTTTGGTCAGGAGGAAATCGCCGTGCTCCCACCCTCCACTGGGGATGGCGAACAGGGTATATCGGAGTCGAACCGACTAAAACCTCCTGTCGCTCAACAACCCACGTCCCAGCCTCACATGAAACAAAACTCATGAAAAAGCAAAGGGGGGAGAGTGAAGCGCTTAGTGCGGAGCACATCTCTCCCATCACCCTCCCCCTCGGGACGCCGGGCCAGCGATCATCGGCGCCACGACCACCAGCCCTCTCAGTGTGTATTTAATGGATAGGCTTTTAATAATATTTATATGAGTGTTGGACTCCCTACACCAGTTGTGGGGGCCAGTTAATGATGAGAATTTTTGTGGGGGTGAGAAATAATCATGTTGATTTTAAACAGCTAGAGGGTACAGCTAGTTATTATATATGAAGGTTATTCTAGTACTGGAGTCAAACCAAAGTTCAGTGAATGACGTTTTTTTATGTCGATTACACGTAATCGTACGACGTTATCCATTTCACCTTCACGTCTTTACGAGCGTATTTTATGTATCTGTTAAATATAAAATTTTATTTGTATTACGTCATTATGTATCATCGGTCATTATATCACAGTGGCTGGATGAAGATCTCGCAAACCACTAATGGACAAAGGGTTTTTCTTTTTATTCCTTCAATGCGTGAACCAGCTCACGGCTGGGCTTTGCGCTGCGCTGCGGTCCGCTCCGCCCCGATAATATTATTATAATGTGCTCGAACCCTAAGGGGTTATTCCAGCTACGCGCGGACGGGTAGGTGAGTTCACGGGCTCAGCCTGACAGAATTTACAATTTTTTATTTTTGTACTTATTGCTTAAATGGGTCGACGAGCTCACGACCCACTTGGTTTTAAGCGGTTACTGGAGCCCATAGACATCTACAACGTAAATGCGCCACCCACCTTGAGATATAAGTTCTAAGGTCTCAATATAGTTGCTAACACTAACCCTAGCAAGGGCAGTGCTTCGCAGAATCTACTACCGGATCGGAATCGCGACCCACTGAGAAAATCCGGCGAGAAACTCAGTAGGCTTGAGACATGAGTTCTAAGTCTCAGTTTTTACAATACAACGGCTGCCCCATCCTTCCATCCTTTCCTATGATATCCTTTAGGCCACGATCCTTCTCCTTATCCTATCAACTTCCTATTTCGGTTTAACAAGACACAATAGTAATAATAATATAATAACGACATACCGTGTAACCAGAATCTTCATCTGACTCAGCGTTGAGGTCGACCATCATCTTTTCAATGAGACGTTCCATCGTGCTCTCAACACTAGTGGCAGCCGCCGGATTAGAGTCCTCACGAGCATGTTTACTGCGCTTTACTACCTGAAGTAATTTGGATGAAAATAAATAAATCTATAACATAAAGAAGCAAAGGCCGGTACCTTTTTCTCTTGGATCTTTGACAACGGATTACCTCTTTTTTTTGGTTAGTTAGGCTTTTGACAAACGTTGGTTTTATTAATGGAAACTTTTATTGGAAAGAGATTTTTTTACATAGTAAATTTATCAATAATACAAAAGAGAAAGTGTAAAACATAAAACATGAAATAAATTTTGAGATGCCAAAGATTATGGTCGAATTTCGACCACGGGAGCGAACGGAAGTTATAATAAAATCATATTTCCACATTGGCCAAATTAGAATTTGGTTTTTAACTATGTTGGCACGAGCTTAAGCTAACATTAGTTGGCAGTGTTATTTACATTAAAATTGATTTTCAATTTTGAATTAAAATAAAAAGTTTCGTTTCATCATCATTATCATCTTTTTTTTTTTTTTTTTATTGCCCTTGTAGGCAGACGAGCATACGGCCCACCTGATGGTGAGTGGTTACCGTCGCCCATGGACTTCAGCAATGCCAGGGGCAGAGCCAAGCCGCTGCCTATCGCTTAATACTCTCCACAAGCCTCTTTTAAAGAAAGACATGTCATAGCGCTCGGGAAACACCGTGGAGGGGAGCTCATTCCATCGCCGGATGGTACGTGGCAAAAAAGACCTCTGGAAACGCACTGTCGATGACCGCAGTGGCTCCAGGTAGAATGGATGAACTCTACTCCGGTGGCGGGCGGTGCGATGGTAAAAACGAGATGCCGGTATCATCTCGAACAATTCCTCAGAGCACTCCCCATGGAACATTCGGTACAAAATACAGAGGGAACTGAAGTCCCTCCGCAGACCCAAAGGTTCCAAACGATCCGCGAGAATGGGATTATCGACGATTCGAACGGCCCTCCTCTAATACAGCCTGTCCATTGTCCATTGCTGAACATAGGCCTCTCCATGTGATCTCCAGTGCGGCCGGTCCGTTGCCACCTGCATCCAACGTGACCCAGCGGTTCTTACCAGGTTGTCGGTACATCTCGTAGGTCCCACAAAGTTTCGTTTACTTTTATTTTATTAATTACACTTAGAAGTTTGGTAATGCTGCTTTCTGACTATGGCTAGTTTAATGAATAACATTTATGAAACCGGTCGCGCGTTACCTATAATATCTTAATGGTACTATGATAGAAACCTTCCCCGGAATGTCAACTATTGTTTCATCTCAATTTGATGAACGTTAAAGGAACGCATAGGGGACAAAAACATTCAAAAATTTATTTATAAATCGGTAAAAGAATCATTTTTTTTTATTGCTTATATGGATGGACGAGCTGACAGCCCACCTGGTGTAAGTGGTTACTGGAACCCATAGACATAGACCCATAGACAACGTAAATGCGCCACCCACCTTGATATATAAGTTCTAAGATCTCAGTATAGTAACAACGGCTGCCCCACCCTTCAAACCGAAACGCATAACTGCTTCACGGCAGAAATAGGCAGGGCGGTGGTACCTACCCGCGCGGACTCACCAGAGGTCCTACCACCAGTATCATATCGATATCGTGATTACAAAAATTGTTGATTGTTCTTCTTTATTCTAATTCAAAAGCGTACCGGCCACTAGATTATGGCAAACAGATAAAAAGTTCAACGTTCATTTACAAATTACATAATTATGTTTATTTTAATCACCGTCACTTTGTGGTTATCGCGCTCTTGTCATATTTTAAAGATTTTTTTAATAATATTTCATCATCGCTTTCTTTTGTTTTCGTTGCTTTAAACTTATTTTGGCTATGTGTAAATAAACAAACAAATGCACAGTCGTATTTGTTATCATAGATGTACCGGATGTTACCCGGATCATTAATTTTTTACTGGTGGTAGGACCTCTTGTGAGTCCGCACGGGTAGGTACCACCACCCTGCCTATTTCTACTAGTGTTTCGGTCTGAAGGGTAGGGCAGCCGTTGTAATTATACTGAGATCTTAGAACTTATGTCTCAAGGTGGGTGTCGCATTTACGTGATAGATGTCTATGGGCTTCAAAAACCACTTAACACCAGATGGGCTGTGAGCTCGTCCACCCATGTAGGAAAAAAAAAATAAAAAAAAATATTATATAGCCTATTCTACATGTTGATTCCGATTATTGATTATTTATGTTCAAAAAAATTTTTATTTTGTTTATTTATTTTGCTTTTTTTTTGTTTTTGTTGTTTTTAATTCAATTTTATTGTTTAGTACAGATGTAGATATATCGCTAAGCTACCGGAGAAAGACATTGTACACGGCCGCAATCCTAAACGCTTCGACTCAATGGGAGACCATTGTACTGTAATTGGCGAACACCTAGTTTACTATACAACAGACACTCATGTAAAGATTATTGGAATGAATTCCATTGGTGGGTGAACGACCTCTAGGCCTCTAGCTGTTGTCAAATTTTTAGCTCATCTCAATCGAAAACTAAAGTTTTTTGTATAACAACTTTTGTTTTCTTCCTGCTTATGCTGATAGCCTTGAGAGGCTATATCAGCGTTGCCCTAGGTTGTAGGTGAGCTTTCGGGGCTCAAGCCGGACTGTTGCTAACGCTGGCAAGAGCACTACTTCGCAGAATCTACCACCGGATCGGAAACGCGAACCACTGAGAAGATCCGGCGAGATACTCAGTGGGCTGTGTCTGAGGGTTAATTTACTCGTCGAACCCGTCGCTTGCGAACAATGCCCGATGCTTGAGGTACCTAAAAGCACCTTTAGTGGATCGGGAGGATCCGAAATGACGTGTTTTGGGCGACGTCGACTGCTTTCCATTCTGTCCGCAGGATCGGGAATGTAGTTACCGGCGGCCACGATGAGAGGGTTCTGGTGTCGTGCCGCTTTATCGAAATGGTACACTGTCTCCTCGAACCAAACAAAACACGGAACTGTTAAGCAAAGTTAAACTCACCAGTACTTCATCGTTGCTGCTAGCGTTACCGGGGTTATTGTTGTAGCTGAGCGAATGTCTGCGGAAGCACATGGTGAATTCAAACATCGATCTGATCCCGCTGTACCAGGTGTCGCGGGGCTGGCTGGCGGTGCTGGTGCGGGCTCGCATCATGCGGTTCCCCTGGTACTTGAGGGTCCGTAAATATCTACGTTTGCTTTGTATGTACATGACCTGCGAGAATACAGAGCGTTTTAGCTTTAGAGGTGCCTATAACGAAACATTTTTCTTTTTCACAGCCGCTTTTGTTTCCTGAGATGTCCATTCTAAATGACGCTTCTAAACGAGTTGCTTTTCTAAATCGTGTATAAAAACCAGTGAGAGATTGACACCGTCACAAAAAATAAATAACAATGATTTTTGTTGTTTTATTCTAATATTTTGTTTAAAATTGCCTTACGTTTGCCGCTAGGGGCGCTGTTCCAACTTCATACCAATTTGAGTTAACTTTTACGCTATCTATATTGATCGCTATCTAAATATATTGAGAGCGTTAAAAAACTCGCACTAAGAACAGGTTTTTTTGTAGTAGTAGCATTTATATTATAGATACGTACATATGTTAGCCATGGTATGTTAGAGCTAAGTTATGAATATACAACATATTTATAATAATTTATTTATATGTTTAACGATTAGCCACATACGACACAAAATAGCGAATTAACATATACTAATAGTTTTATCTTTATCCAACTACTATTACTATTTAAAAAAAATCACTAATAACGTGTAATGTTAACGATTGATTTTCGAAATATAACGCTAAGAAATTCAGCACCTCTTTACTATCAATCACAACGCATGATGCTGGTGGTAGGACCCCTTGTGAGTCTGCGCGGGTAGGTACCACCACCCCACCTATTTCTGCCGTGAAGCAGTAATGTGTTTCGGTTTGAAGGGTGGGGCAGCCGTTGTAACTATACTGAGACCTTAGAACTTATCTCAAGGTGGGTGGCGCGTTTACGTTATAGATGTCTATGGGCTCCAGTAACCACTTAACACCAGGTGGGCTGTGAGCTCGTCCACCCATCTAATAAAAAAAATTAAAAAAAAAGTGGTTAATCGTTGTGTTTTAGTTTTTATTGTACGGTTTGATCATAAGACACGCATCTATCGCCATCCTTCAAGAGAAGCCATCGGCGTGGAGTGCATCATCATCATTCCGTGTTTATCTCATCGGTTATTATGACCCGAATTACGTCATACGACTTGAAGTTGCATTTAGTCACGTATTGTTAGATTCTCGAGGCTATTTTGAGATAAGAACAGTCCGGTTTCTTCTTATTGTTTTAAATACTGGGAAAGCGCTCGTGGATGACTCCATACTGGTTGGTTGGTACCAATGCCTTACCTGTTTCAGCTACGAAGCAATCAAGCATTCGGTTCATAGGATAGCTCACCCGTTAATCCTTTGACAGGATTTACTCAAAAAACCGTTTTCGCTGCAACGGCTCATTCCTTTTTTTGCTCATAATCGTAATTTTACTTATAATTTGCAAATATTCTGTGTTTAGGGTTCCGTAGTAAGATAATAGATGGTGTAGGACAGTGATGGAATGGTAACTCTCAGACACAGCCCACTGAGTTTCTCGCCGGATCTTCTCAGTGGGTCGCGTTTCCGATCCGGTGGTAGATTCTGCGAAGCACGGCTCTTGCTAGGGTTCGTGTTAGCAACGTCATCAGGTTTGAGCCCCGTGAGCTCACCTACTAGCCACGGTTACGCTGAAATAGCCCCTAGGGCTATCAGCTTAGGTAGGGAAGAAAAAAAAAAAAAAAAAAACATGGAATGGTATCCGAAATCAGGGCGTAGAGGTGCCGGAAGACCTATAGTGCGCTGGACCGATGATATGATCAGGACGGTGAAGCAGATGTGGATGAAACCTTTTTAGGATTTCTCGTTTTGTTCACTGTTTACAGTTGAAATAAATAAATAAAAATAATTTAATGATTTGCAATTCAACAATCTTAATTACTGAAGTGACATCTACTATTACTACTACTACTAATACTACGACCTATATTAAAATATGTAAATGACATTTGACATGACACTGGGGAGTGGCTAATATGACGTGTTTAATACTAATCTGTGTAGTATACTAACAAAACTCACCACATCAGCAGACCTCAAAGGAGGTTTTCCCATAATCAAGTTAGCGAGTGAAATCGTCTCTCGAGTGATCCGCAGAGCAATTAGCATCATCAGAAAGAACACCCAGGGCAGGGGGCGGATCAGTTCTGGTTGCGGACGCTCGTCTTGATCCACTAAAACATAACAGATATTATTTACGAAAATCCCAAATAATATTTTTAAATACTATTACCACGATGATTCGGTCAAGTTCTCAGCAATTTTTGACACTTGAATGTTTTATTTTCAAGAGATTTTATTTATTAGCTTATCCTAATGGACAATCCAGTTTGAGCATAATCTTCGTTCATAAAGGTCAGGGAGAACTTGCATAAGTTGAATTGGTCTTAATTTTTTAAATTTGTTTTACAATTTTTTTTATTGCCTTTGCAGGTATACCCGCATACGGCCCACCTGATGGTAAGCGATTACCGTCGCTCATGGACGTCAGCAATGCCAGGGGCAGAGCCAAGCCGTTGCCTACCATTGAGTAGGTACTCATAATTACATTTTACACGCATTGCATGAAATTAGGAAGTTTGATGGCGCAATATTTAGCAAAATATCTTTCGTCTATTATTACCGTTCTTTAGCCATGTAAGTATAGCGTTTGCATTATCTTTGATAATTTGCTCGACATATTACAAATTCTTACAATGCATACTGATAAACTATTTGGTTACTCTAATATAATTTCTAACGAATGTCTGTTGTAGTTACGTATTCACTAATTTTTATAACACTCGTTATTATATTATTAACAGAATCCATTGAAAAAATGTATCATTATATTTTATCATTACACTTAATAATCTTAATATTATTAATAGTAGTTCAATCCATTTTTTTATCATTAAAAAAAATAGAGCTTTAATCCATCTTACTAATGGTATTATATTATTAACAGAATCCTTTAAAAAAATGTATCATTATATTTTATCATTACACTTAATAATCATAATGTAATAGTAGTTCAATCCATTTTTTTATCATTAAAAAAAATAGAGCTTTATTCCATCTTACTAATGGTAAGTAAGTCTTATTGGTCTCTCTTAATCCATCTTACTAATGGTAAGATGGATTAAGAGAGACCAAAGAAAAAGCCAGATAACGCTGAGTGCAATGCAAAAAACTCCGATCTCATATCTGAAGCTGGTTAAAAATTAGTGATGTGACCATGAAAGAATTGCCGACTGCGAACACGATATCCGTGCTCGTAATGTGACAATAAAACCGCTTGTAAGTGACACAATTTGGCGAACAATAACTCACAAGGTGGAGGCACGGCCCATCTCGCACATTTCTCGACCACCCACAATGCTCTATCGATATACCGTAACGTAGTCTGGCCAGCGCGGTAGCTGACCGCGTGCTCTGCCAAAGTCTGAAGCATTTCCTTTATCAGGTCCATGTCTAGAAGAAATAATGACGATATTACATCGAAACGTACAAAATAGCATTTTCTTGTTGAATATTTAATTTCCGCAGCAGTCCGTGAAGAATATTTTTTATTTAATATTCTAAGTATTTCCCCTAAATTCTATACATCACAATGCAAAACAAAAAAAAAACATTACAGGATATAATTTGAGATATAAAATTGTTTTGAAGAAAACATCCCACCTAATAGTATTGTGACAAATCGATACACACACAATCATCACTATTACTGCTTACCTATTCATTATTAATATTATCGATAATTATGCTGGTGATGACAGAGCTTCAATAGGTAAGCTTTACCCCTAAGATATAATAATAATTAAACATGATGAATAATACTTTTCCTTATTTAGTCTCTCAAAATATATGCTCGCCATCGTCAGCAATGTCCACCTGATGATCATTGCTCAATTCTCCAAAAGTACTCTTATTAATAGACGTCTTTATTATTAAGTATAATAAAGATATCAACCAAGAACAAATAACCGGCTTCAGACGTGTACGACTGTTGAACTAACGGCCGGCTAATGTTCGATAACTTTCGATAAATACCTATATGCAATAGGTGACTATTTGTGTCCACACTTATCAATGTTATACTTACTATTAAGTTAATTACCATTATAGATAACCTAAAAAAAATCTATCCCATTGATTGAGTTTGATTTCAGTGCTTGGCAAATCTCTAGGACGGGTTTTTAAGACTGAGAATTGAATTCATTATGTAACTCCATACTTAATGTTAGCAAATGCAAAAATGAGTTTATTTGTGTCCGCTTTCTTGGAAAACTACTCAATCGATTTTGTAGACAAGTTGTCAGGGATAGGTTAATAGATAGACAATGACACATGGGACTTTCATCCAGAACAAAAAAACAGGAATTTTCCCAGGGAATAAAAAGAGTGAAGTCGCGTTTAAAATTTAGCATAAAATTAACATTTAATAACCGATTCCTATAATTTGTACAGTTTATAAAACATACCTGGCACATTAAAAAATTAGGAATTGAATTTGAATACAAAAACGGATACTAGGAATGTATAACGTCACAAATCACAGATTGTTTAAATATATATTATTATAACAGATTTTCATTCACAGAAATAAAACTATAGAACGTATTTTTCTTTTAAACTTAACGTAGAACGCACCGTCGACAACTGCAGATTTATCATATTATACATGTTGACTTCTTTATTAACACAGAGATAATACACACGGAGAACGGGTCGTAGGTCAGTGCAATCACGTACTGATATGTGAGGCCAGAGTGACAAATATTGAACATCTAATTATTGAACAACTAGTTTTGTACCCTGATTTCATTTGCTTCAAAAATACATAATTTTTGTTTTTTGTTAATTAAACCTCTCCAAACCACGTGAATAACTTGATACAACAGAATAAGTTGGTAGAAGAAGTCTATTTAATATTGTTTTTTACTTCTTTGATATACAAGTGTACCGATCAACAACCTCTCATTAAATACATGATTATAGTTTTGTTTTATCATTTGCCTATATATATTATTAAGATATAAGGTACTCCATCTAATTAGTATTTATTGAGATAATGGAGTGTTTTGATTGAGTAATAAGAAGCATACATGATCCCAATTCTGTAGTTATTTGGTATAATCATTAACTTTTCTCACTTAATGATCGCATAAAACAGGATATTACAGTTTATTTATAAATATTAGAACTGTAACAGATGTATTGGATAATTATTTATGGTATTTGAGAATGTTTCATATTTTCAAACAAATTCAATTATCTAAACTTATGAAACAGGTAGGATAACAATCTCCAGACTTGTAATTTTTTTGGCAATTTCCTAATTTTGAAATGTTGGAATAATAAAAAGGCTAAAGTAACAACAGTTGTAAATAATATTAATATTTATTAAAAAAACCTTTAAATACCTAATACATATTTAAATTGGGTAAATCATGTTCAAATACATTAAATGTATGTGTGTAGTTTGTGAGTGGTCACTATATACACTAAGCCTGTCTACCAATTACTATATATTTAAAGTCCAAACATAATTGGCAAATGTGAGTACGAAAAACAAATTTAAATTAATGCCATTGAATTTTACCTCCATACATTCCGAATCAAAACAGAAATACAAAATCTGAGAGTTTTATGTAGCTCACAATATATTGGTCAAGAGCAAACATAGAGTGTTAAAGTGAGTTGAAATTCGACTACCTCTCCTAAGTGTTGGCAAGGGATGCTATCTACATACTATCAATTTTTTTTTTTTTCTAGACCTTGTAACACATTATGTGCGGTCAGTTGCAGCATATCCTCTTCTTTTTTTCCCTACCCATTCACTGGTAGCCTAAGGGGCTACTCCAGCTATGCTCTGGCTGGTAGTAAACTCACAAGCTGAGCCTGAGAGATTTGCTAATACTGGCCCTAGCAAGAGCAGTGTAGTGCAGTACAGAATCTGCCTAAGATCAGAATTGCCACCCATTGAGAAGGTAATGGACCTTATAACATAATCTTATAACTCTTTGTTGTAGTCGATGAGTTAGGGGGGGGGATAGTAGTTGGTATGAGTTTTACAACCCGCCACCAGCTTGATTTGATGATTTGATTATATTATATCACTAGTAGTGTGTCTATTTCAACATGTCATAGGAAGCCACTTTTCTATATATATTTTTTGATGTTTCTTTTATTTCATTCGCTTTTGGTTCTATGAATTGCATTTTATTATTCTGAACATTTACGCTAAAATTTATATTTTCAAATACCAAAAAGATAAAAATACTACATTTTATTCATTATTCTGGATTTTCATAACAATATCAAAATAATACCGGGACATCATAAAATAAATTTTTCATCTCTGAAAGTTACTAAATCTGTTGTTTTTGGAATACAAGAGCAACAAGCTGGAGTACAAGATATTACATATTAACAGAATTTATACACAGATCAGGTTCACATCTCTGTCTTTTCTGTTACTATTATTTCTTCCATCATCCAACTTAATCAGTTTTTACTCGAAGATTGTAAATATTATATTAGATTACATTAAGCAATAAATGAAAACATTTTTACAGATTGCATGAATGTGTATGAAATTGTTTCTGAGTCGCACTGATTCCGCTTAACAGAAGGCATTATGGTTTTGTTTTTAAGCCCCAGTACAGATGAAAATTATCACTGCTACATTCAGTTTTTTTACTGGTTTTAGTTAATAAAATATTAATCAAGTAAAACTACTTACCTTCAGTTGTGTGCTCTAAAATGCAATTTTTAATTCGCCGGTATTTGATTTCGTGCAAAATTAGTACTTAATAATTATGAGCAAAGTGTGTTCATTAAACTTTCAACTTTATTTTCCTAACTTTGATAGAATTGTTTATTTTCTTAGGCTTGACAGAATTGGCTTTACTTTACTCCATGCAAGATTGATATTAAATTATGTAGGTAGGTATCAATTTAAACAAGGTGGTAGGTACATACTAGTACTAGTACATACCTACATTACCTACCTAAATTTTACAGTGACACCACCAGTGACATTTTCTTGTCGTCCTGAATAGGCAATAGAAAATAAACCTATACCTACCTACTGCGAAGTCTTTTTATTTTGTGCACGGTGTTCGAAAATGTATTTTGTTGCAAAGAATTAAGGACGTGTAATTTAGATGAATTGATTTAAACTAAATTTAAATCTAAGTATGAAATTTTTCTAGGTTTGTCAAATCAGTGTTGATTTATTTACGTTTATAAAAGTGGTCTGTTACTAGGTTAGTATGATACCGGTCACCCACATTCGCACGAATACGCAAACCCACAAGTGTAGGACGACATTTGCAAATGATTATGCAAAGTTTTCGCTACATTCGTGGTTTTCGAAGCTGTGTCGGTTTTTAACGAACATCAAAGCGCGCGAACCCCGATCCTACGCGTAGTCTCCCACACATTCGTGTGACCAGTTGCGCCCAGGATTGCGAAAGCAACGGACGTTTCGCTATTTTCATAGACCTTTACGTCTACTGTGTAGCGTATCTTCATCAAAAGAAATCCCATAAAAACAGCATGGTTGTTAATGATGTCTGGGAAAGAATTCAAAACTCTTTTTCTCTTCAATGTTTTATTTTCGAATTAAAAAGGAGGAGAAATTTGTGAGACATTCGTAAACAAGTGTAGGAGGAAGCGCAAACGGGTTCGCAAATTGAGTACCGAACCCATTTGCACAGCCGCTAAGTTTGCGAATGAATGTTTGACGGCCCTTCACATGCGCGCAAACATTCGTACAATGTACAAATATTTGCGCGCATGTGAGTGGCCGGCATAAGAAAACTGTGACATCTGCCGGCAGTTTACTTGTGCTGTATTGATGCTAAAAATTACTACAAAAGTGAAGGGAAAGTGATTTAATTAAATTTAAAACTATTTATATTGAATTATTATTATCATTGCTAGGTTAGTCATAATTATTCTTAATATTAATAATTATGACTAACAAAGAAAGAATATGGAAAACCCGAAGTATTCGCCGTGAGACCAAGATTAGGTTGGTGCGTACATTAGCGTTCTCAATTTTTTTGTACGGTGCTGAAACCTGGCGCTCATAGCATCTCACAATAAGGCAATAAGGTCGATGACTACGAAATGTGATACTGGAGAAGGATGCTACCCATATCATAGAAAGCCATAAGGACCAATAAATCAATTCTCCAAAAACTCCACATCACAAGGGGGCTCTCCACCATTTACCAAGATCGAACACTCAGCTTTTTCGGACATGTCATGCGGTCTTTATGGCATACTCAGGAAAAGCTTGTCATTCTTGGTCAAGTGTAGTGGAAACGATCCAAAGGCAGGGCACCAACAAGATTGTCGGACATTATAAGGAAAACAGTTGGGGGTAGAATCCAACAAGCGGCTCACCTCGCAGCGCACCGATATATACCTAAAACTACACGTAGGTATGTAAGTATTTCTATGAAGATCTATTAAATTATTGTAATATTAAAATATCATAAAAAAATTATTGCTCTCTGAGGCAGACGAGCATACGGGCTATCTGATGGTGAGTGGTTACCGTCGCCCATGGACTTCAGTAATGCCAAGGGCAGAGCCAAGCTACTGCCTACCGAGTAATAAGGGACGACGAAGAAGAGGAAGACGATTCAGTTGAACACATTTAATTTCATTTCCTTTTCTTCGATTTTATTTTTAGTGGGTAAAATTACCAACTAAAAATAAAATAATTTTATATTTTCTGTTATGCCTGAAAAAGTAGAATGTACCTACGTCCTACGTAAAAGACAGAAAGTGTATTATCTGTGCCATACAAATCATAATGGCGTCGCGAAATCACTGACCGAGTGGTAGTTTAATTTAGTTCAATTAATTCAATTAAATAAAGATTTCTATGTAAGACAATGTTGTAATTTCCAAATATTTGTATATATCGTAATACTAAAGTCCCCAGTAGGTTTTGGCAATACAACATAGAATGTAGTGCTAATGGAATCCCTAGAAGAATCAAATTGTTACTCGTTAAGTGATAGTTTTTCATTGTATGAACGCTATATGAGAAGTTTTAAAGTAGCTAATCCTCTGCCAGAACCGAAAAGCAGCTTTGGAACCGGGGAACACTCCAACAATTCACAACGTTCAAGTAGTCGAGGTAACATCGAGTTGTCCGTGGCGCGCACTAACGTCACAAGTAAACATTGTGAAACAGCTGAGCCCGAATCTAGTACAAGAAATATAGATTCGACTGACAATATCGCTGTTAAGATTTTCGGCTTAGACTTAGAAATATGCACCAAAGTTAATTCTGAAAGCGATTCTCTCCCAGCGTTATCACTCGAAAATTCCTCTGCAACAGTCGAGCATAGTCTTTTGCAGGATAAATCTAGCGGAACCGACGCACATGGTTCATCTGAAAATTCAAGAACGGAGACGTTCAAGCAACCCGTCTTCATAACCTCTACCATGGAAAATAGTAACAATGCTGTAGACAGTGTGCCCCTATTCCGTGATGTGAGATTGCCAGAGAATGTTTTTAAATTACCGATAAGTGAATTATCATTTAATGGTACCATAAAGCATGTACAAAAGTTGAAACCAATTGTAGATCCTATGTCTGCATTGAGTTCTAATACTGGATTAAATTTGTATGATAGAAATTCAGGATCCTGTCATAGCGGCAGTGATCAAGAAGCTAAGCAAGATTCAAAGAGTTTTATTGATGAAAAAAGTACATGTGACCTCAGCAGAACCTACAAGACTGAGAGCACTGGAGACTCCCAGTATGAAGAATTGACTTGTAAAAAAGATGCAGAGCCTGCAAACGATAGCAGCTCAACAAAGTGGAATTTGGATCAGAGCTACTCTTCTTTAGATGCCTCTTTTGATAGTGGGGTTAGGTCACCAGACATGTTTTCTGATCATGACGATGATGATGAAGGCAAAAAGCTCATATCTGAATCAGAACCATTTTGGAATTTTCTTAAGGATTATGAAATCTATGACAACATGAGAGTGAAGAAAATTGAAGTAAGTTTTATTAATGTTTAGTTTTTGTAATATTTATGGAATTGAATTTGTGGCCTGAAAAATGAACACCATCATATGTGAGTACCAAGTGGGTGCCATTCGTCGTGACACATGTAGCTGAAGTCTTAATTTCATGTTATGACTATTATAGTATTATAATAAACCTTGAATAATATCTGCTGTGATTAAAGCCAATTGTGTGATTTAGCGAATTGTATGATGAAAAACATAAACTTGTTAAACAAGCTCACACCCATACAAAAGATGTTTGTATGTTGATCATACTAAATTATAGTTTATGTGCTATTCTGATGTATATGCTATTAAATTGTAAAGTACCATCAAAATCTATTAAGTTGTTTTTGTGTGAGAGAGTAAGGAACACTCATCCTTACAAACTTTAAGATTTACTATATTAGTGGAATAACTGTTATGTGCTCTTTAAGCCAGAATCAATAACTGGTTTGTAACAAAGCCAATATGTTAGGACATTTGAGGGGTTCCAATACCAAATGCTGCCTGTATCACAGGCTTTCTGTCTATCTTATGGTAAGCGGTTTCATTGACAATAATTGTCTACACTGACAATGAAAATAGTGGTAAAGTGCAATAGCAGACAGGGTTGTGTAGAATAATAGTTAAACTAATATTTTGGAACCATCCAATCCAGTTTATTTTAGAACTTGTTACAATTATTTGTTTTGACATTTAATTAGAAACATGTATATGAATTTTAAGATGGTTTTTTTTAGGAAAAGCTGCAAGGTCTTATTCCTCCACCTTCTGTAACAACATTAAAAACAGATGTCACGGAAATGCTGAAGAAATATTACTGTTTTCTACCGATCTTCAATGAGGGCACTAAAGTTAATTCACCTGAAGTTGACTGTACAACTCCAACAAAAAGAGTGTCGTTTGTCGAAATCCCAGAGCAAACAGTAAAATCACATCCTCTTGAAGAACAAAGTATCGGTGGAATGTTTAACAGTATAAATGCTGCAAAAATAGCAAAAGATCTGAATAGGAGTAACGAGACAACTACAAATGACAAGACTATCAATATAAAAATGTGCAGTGAAAGTGAAGCTAAGGATACTGTTTGGCCAAACATAATGAAGTGCAAATATTATGATGTTTAGTAAGTCAATCATTCAAATAGTTTTATAATTAAATTAAAAGTAAAAAAGGGATGTTGCATGTGACCTGTGACTGCTAAAATATATAAAAAATTGTTTTGAAACAGGTTTTATGCAACTAAAGAATTTGAATTATAATGTCTCAATGTAATATTTTATGTCTCTTCAAAGTGTGGTTAAGATAAAAGGTCTAGAAGTGCAATATTAAAATAGTCAATATACTATGTAAATTATACTATTAATACTAAAATAATGTTACTGGCCCTAGCTGAGCTTGTGCTCGTCAGCCTGTCCTCATGAAACTGGAAAGGCCTTCAGGTCATAGATCATTTATAAACTTACCTAAGCATAATTCAGAACAATTATAAGTGACATCAAAATAACATCACTGACTGTAGTTGCAAAATTCAGTTTATAGTAGATAAAACAACAAATTCATGATTATTCTTACAGTTACAACAGAACAAAATATTCAGAAAAGTATGAATTGTTGGCATTAAAGTATGGAGAGAGGTATGTAGGAGCTGAAACTGATACGAGTGTAAATATCTATTCGGGTGGGTTTCAGTCGCCCAGTAGTGCAAACAAACGAAAAGCAATGCGTCTCAAGTAAGTAATATTGTAGTATCGCACCTTTATGGGGTATAGAATAATTTTTACATATAATTGGTATGACTTTACAATATTATGCAGAACGTTCTCATCTTTGTTGCAACTAAATAATAACTGTAAAAAAAGAGTTCATGTTTGATTGTGGTATATGTAGTGCAGGGTCACAAACTGTAATATAATATAATGAATAATCTATATGTAAGAATCTTTGTTTTTAAATGTTTGTTTTGTGAGGAATAACCAATATAGCTGTCTTAATTTTTAGATACGGTACAAGGTAATTGTCTGTTACTTTGAGGTACTGGTGGTAGGACCTCTTGTGAGTCCGTACGGGTAGGTACCACTGCCCCGCCTATTTCTGCCGTGAAGCAGTAACGCGTTTCGGTTTGAAGGGTGGGGCAGCCGTTGTGACTATACTGAGACCTTAGAACTGTATCTCAAGCTGTGTGGCGCATTTTACGTTGTAGATGTCTATGGGCTCCAGTAACCACTTAACACCAGGTGGGCTGTGAGCTCGTCCACACATCTAAGCAATAAAAAAAAAAAGGTACTGAGGAGCTATTGTAAAGAAATGTTCTTGTTTCAGAATGGCACAAGCAAAATCTCCAGGCCGTCGTTTGTCCCACTTGGCACGCAGACGTCAAGCTTTTTGCAGTGCTGCTACTATAAACGAAAAAGCTCAAGCTTCCACAGCTAAAATGGTCCTCATTGATAAAAAGTGAGTTATATATATTTTTTGTTTTGTTTATTTATTTATTTACGAAATAAACTAAGGCTTTAATGAAGGTTCTGATAAAAAAAACAACAAGAGAGCTTCATTCACTATTTATTACAGATATATGTTAAAAGATAAGACATATACAGTGGTGACAAGACATACAGACATATACATTGCACAGGTGCAATTTCAATTTTATATTTAATTTAATTAGTGGAATTTATATTGTTTTTCTAATAAATGATAAATTGTTGAACGTATTGTTTTTTTAATTTCAAAATAAAAACGATAATATAATGTCAAGGACCATTGGTAGTGTTTCTAATTATACGACCACCACTGTACATAGGTAGTATAGTAATAATTCTAGACAAAACAGACATCGACTGTTTTTATCTAAGGAATTAGGCATCAATGAGAGTTCACCTTTTCGCGAAATATACATTTTAAATACCACCTTAGAAAAAACATGGCTTTGAAGATTTGTGTTTAATTTAAATCTTTTGTTTCTCTTCAAGTTTCTTCCCGCATCGAAAACTAGTAAATTCAGCCGAAAGAAAAAGTCCGCGCTTACGCCGCACCCCGGGCAAGAAGACACCTACGAGGCGCACTCCCACAAAAAAAACACCAGCCAAAACACCAAAGACCCGAAGCGGGGGCTCCAGTAAGAAGAAAGCTATGCGTAGATTACTTCTGGAATCGGACGCAGTCACTCGGTCACAGCCCTCGAGGGAGACTTTAAAACGCGCTCTTTTTATCAGTCCAGAAAATCGAAAAGCTGTTCCTCTCGTACCGAGTACTTCAGTACCTTTGCAGGCTATGAGGTCGAAGAGAGCTTTATTTGGCTCCCCGGAACGGTATGCCGAATCTAAAAGTTGCGATGGTAGTCAAAGTGACATGTTCTTGAAACGGAAGCTAAGTGCATTAGATGAAGAGCCAGCGAGCAGTAGAAGTAAGATAGCGAAAAGTTTGTCCTTCGGAGGGGACAGCATAGAGAACCTTCAGTCGATCGGTTTCAGTCGGAGATCGTCCGAGGTGTTCACAAGTCGAAATTCCGCAGAACTTAATGAAATGCATAAGAAGGTAAGCCAATTAGTTTTTTTTTATCAACTTACTGGGTAAAAAAAACAACACAATAGTCACAATGTTTTTAACACTTCTAAGCAGATTTTAAATGTGCTGTACAATGTAAACCTGGAGTCAATAGGGTGTTAAAGCTAAAGTACTAAGGGTGGATTCGACCAAACTTAAATTTATACTCGAGTAACTATACGAGGAATAACCTATTCCATGATTTTAATCTCGAGTAAATCCATAGGCGTTTTTCCACGTATACTTGCGCTAGGAATAACAATACGCGAATAGCAGAGTGAATGGTGAACAAAAATAAAACCCGGCAAATAAATGTTGTTGTACAACGGCATAGTGTAAGAGCATACATTGGTCAACTCGATTTTGCCGTGTTTTAGGGTGAAAAAGTAGTTGTAGTGTAAGATAGAGAGAGAGAGAGAGAGAGAGCATTCTTTATTGTACACCAAAAAACAAATAAACAGTTCGATACATTATCAAGATATCTAGCTGTCAAACGTATTAATTTTATTTGTTGTTTGTTTGAGGGAATTGTCAAGTTTTGTCGTTTGGTTTTATCTTTTTTCGTTTAAACGTTGCATTACACAATGCCAGACTATTAATAATAATTTAGTGCATTGCGTTGACTTTAAATTAAAACAGAATAAATAGTTATGAAATGACAGAAATCAGATGTTGGACTGACTGACGCCATTACTTTATTCTAGGAATAGCTCCGTTATTCCGTGCGAAACGGCGGTATAGTAACAATTCCCGAATAGGCCCACTATTCTTAGAATTGTAGTTGGTAAAACGTAAAATTGATTTACTCTCGATTAACTGACGAGTTATTCTAAGAATAAGATTTACTCTTGTTTGGTCGAATCGACCCTAAGTGTGCATAATAGTTATTTAAACATACCGGTCACTAATAAAGTCACATCCCAAATTTAAGGGTAAATATACCCGACTAATGTCTTAAGGTGGTGAATATTTATAATTCCTTCAAATCAAGATTATCCAACGATTTTCAGAAAATGTTGTTTTCTTCATGTTTTCAATAATCAACTTTATCGATAATTTTGATTTTTTCTTTAAATAACCAGTTAAATTTTTTTTATTATTCTGCCGGTAAGATCGAAAAATATTATTCATATTTCATCATTTTATCAATATGTAATTCGTATTTAAATATAATTTTAAAAAACACAATTTATCAAAAAAAAAAAAAAAACGAGCAAAGCTCTGTCATTATCTAGTAAGTGATAATACGTCATTTCGGATCCTCCAACTCCATTAATGGTGCTTTTATCGCGGTGCGTTCTCGTCGAACCCGCCGCTTGTTCGGCGAGTAAACTAACCCACAGACACGGCCCACTGAGTTTTTCGCCGGATCTTCTCAGTGGGCCGCGTTTCCGATCCGGTGGTAGATTCTGCGAAGCACTGCTCTTGCTTGGGGCTAGTGTTAGCAGCCTCCTCAGGTTAGATTCCCGTGAGCTCACATACTCGCTCGGTTACGCTGGCATAGCCTCTAAAAGTCTAAAGGCTACCGGCCTCCTTTCTTCTTCTTTTTCTCCACCTTATCCCACTAGGTAGGGTGGGCACAGCTAATTTTTCTCTTCCATTCTCTTCGATCAGCCGTCATCTCAACACTCACTCCTCTCTCTGTCATATCGTCATTCACAGACTTCGTCCATTTCTTCTTTGGTCGACCTCTTCCCCCTCTACCTCGCACTACCATTTCCATACATCTCCTAGTCACATGCATCTTCTCTCTACGCATCGCATGTCCATAACACGCTAAGGAAAAAAAGGATTGTGTGGTTTTATGAAACCACGGTAAAAGTGAAACTTTTTTTCACATTTAACTCTGACAAACAACATTTTCATTAAACACTGACAAAAACAAACAAAATAGCGTGGAGCACTGGCACAAATGAGTAATAACACAACTCTACAAAAAAAAAATTCGTTCTTTGTCCTAACGGTTTATACTGGGTTTTTCCGGTTAATTATTCACAAAAACGAAAGTTAAATACCTTTTTTTGGTATAAAGTTTGCTTTTGTGATAATAATAATATAATTTAATAACAATACTCATTTTTAATTTTTTTTATAAATTTTAATTAATTTTCATAATTCCAAAAAAAACGCGCTATGAGAGGTGTTTACGTTGACACAGTGCCACTAGATGGCACTCTAGTCATAAACAACGATCAGGTGTTTTGTACAAGCCCAGAAAAACTTAAAATGTTAATACGATGCTGCATTTTGTTTCATATGTGGTCAATTTATTAAAATTCAAAAGCAAACTGTTTCATGCCATGTATTTTTTTTTTCGTCTAATTACGATCTAAAATATCGAAATTTTAGCTTTGCAATCAAAGTCAAATTTGATGTTGACCCGTGTAATCTATACACTACACGGTCAGCTGCTGCAACTATAGGCGCCGCCATATTGGCCTTGGCTGCTCTGACGAGCGTCTTTCGATTTATCCCTACTTCGCGGCCGACCGTCACGCGACATGCAACACACAGACGAAAAACTTTGCGACGATGTAATAAAAGTTTCACTTTAAAAAAAGCAAAAACTTCGTAATTTTCGTATTACAGAAATTATTGTGGGCCGTATCTGAAGCTCTGCGCGTTCACGGCTGGCGCATGTCGTCTCCGGGATTTAAAGAGAAGGCGTCGTCGCTGGCCCGGCTCACGCGTCGACTTCTGGCCCTGCCTCAACATGCCGCTAAGCTAGCAGCGCCTAAACTCTCCACTTCGGATACTATGCTCAAGTAAGTGACACAAATAAACCAGCCGCGACCGGATCAATAAATTAAAACTAATATTAGTAGTTATTCGCTGCTACAAGAAACAGAAGAACTATTTTAATTTTGTCTTAGTTGTTGAGGGAACTCACGGGGCTCAGCCTGAAAAAAATTGTCTGCATTTGCTTATAGCTCTTCGCTGATATAGGGTATTCGGGTCTATAGCTTAAGTTACACTATAGTATTTGAAGCATCAAATTCTATATACAAATACACATACTATATACTTGGTTTGATTAGCACGAGTAATAGTAGTTTTGGTACTACTGTTACGATTCTATCTCACAGTTTATTTATGACGTTTCTGACGTTTAATTTAGACTTGAAGAGTGAATGTTAAACTGTAAAAATAATTGTAACTACCTACGAATAGGGAACCGAACCGAATACAAAAATACAAATAAAAAATATTTAAAACTAGCTGACCCGACAGAATTCGTAGTGCCGCAATCGATAAATAAAGGACCTAAATTTTTGTATAAAATAAACTTAAAATAAACAAAAGGAATCCGTCCGACGGGGACACCTCTAAGGAAAAACAAAATTGTTATTTTTATTTAATTTCGAGCATTTTCAAATTTATTTACCTTTTACACCTTCTCTGGACTTCCACAAATAATTCAAGACCAAAATTAGACAAATCGGTTCAGCCGTTCTCGAGTTTTAGCGAGACTAACGAACAGCAATCCATTTATATATATAGACTAGCGACTCGTCCACGCTTCGCTTTGGAAACATTAAATTTAATAATATTATTGATAGCTGAGTCCCGCGGTGCTACCCTCGGGGTTATTGTTGTACCGTGGGTGACGCCTAGGGAAGCTAGTCTAAAAAAAGTAGCCTAAGTTAGGTACTCCTTATATCATCAGCTACCTATCAGTGAAAGTCTCGTCAAAATCGGTCCAGCCGGTGCAGAGATTAGCTGGAACAAACAGACAGACAAAAAAAAAGTTGGTACATGTACTGTGATATACATACTTACGCATTTAGTAAAAAGTGGTTATTTTTTATTATTAGAAACAGACACTACAATTTTATTTATTTATGTATAAATGCATATTTTGCTTACAGACTGGCAAGGCAGTACGTGTACGCGATAATCCAGGGTCGGACGGTTGAGGATTGTTTCGAAGAGGAACAGACTAAGCTGACGAACCAGGCCAACAACAAATTGACCGGTTACATATCGGCCGTCGCCTACCAACAGCTGCGAGCGCGGCAGCAGGCCGGCGCCCTCACCTCTCGGATCAAGGAGAACACGTGCAGCGACGCGTCCTTCCGCCAGGACCAACCCAAGAGCTGCTCCAAAAACGTGCTCCAAGACAAACTCGTCAACGTGGACGCCAACTCAAACAGCAGCGGAACGAGCCTCTTCGATAAATCAGGAATACCTTTGTACAAATCCAACTCGATGCCTTCCTTCGAAGAGGCGGCTAAGATGAGAGCCCGCCGACAGATAAGCTTCGACAACGTTGATTTTCCTAAAAGGTGAATTAATACTAAAATAGCTATCTATTGTAAATTATTTTAAATAAAATATTAATTAGTCGAATTATTGAAACAGCACGGACATTGTAAATATTATAATAATTTATCTTATAATTAGTTTTAGTAAAATATTTAAATATCCTTAAGAATTAACTGTACTTGTATTGTCGCAATTTTACGATTTCTTGACTGAAAATGACGGCACATTGATGTAGTCTTAAATGGTTTATGAATTTAATGTTTTTGTTTTTATTTGTTAATGTATATTGAAGTGCATGTCGTATAGTCTATTAAGTGCTTCCTTCTGTTTGGTTGTAACGTGCGAGGTAATGGCATCCGAAGCTGGAGCGATAACTAAATGCTAACCTAGCTAATGGTAATGGATTAACATATCTCGAGGTGGTCCGCGGCGCTTACTTATTTTATCTATGGGCTCTGATTAATTTCATCACGTGGATCATGCGTTCGTCTGTTCAAAAGTAAAAAAGGCATTTGCTAAAAAATCATACTATTTTAATATAATAAATAGTATTTTAATATTTTGCGAACCCGCATTGGCAAACTCACAAAACAATATCAAAACTACTGAGCTTCATCCAATTTTCCGTCGTCAACTAAAGGCACGGAAAAGAGGGAAGAGGATTCTCGCTTCTAGCGAAGCTTATTTTTGGACGATCTTTACGTGGATACGACTTATATGGTAAGATGGGAAGATGAGTAAAATTAAATCTTACGCTCTGTAAAATCGTCCTGTTGTATGGGTGGGTAATGCAGTTGGTTACATAAGACATTACGCATCGGATTCAGGTCTACTCGGATATTCGAATTTTCTGGAAATTATCTCCGTCGTCGATCACAATATTAGTTAAAGTCTGGAATGAAAATCACAAGGGAAGAGAGAATGTGACCACCCCGATCATACTTGAAAGCATTCAGTGACAGCGCAACTGAAGACTATCTGGTTAACGTGGTCCGAGGTTAGGCGATAGTGGAATTCTTTGACGTTCTCTGCTCCATCTAAAGGCCACAGGACTAATGAGGCCGTCAGCGCAAAGGTGCCCTAACCTTACCATAGTTAATATGGAGATCAAGAGATTTCATTTTAATTTTACACCGCTTCGTAGGCAAAAGCAATACACGCGAAAATAATGATTACAAAGGCATCTGTTATCTATGGGTGAAACTAGGGATAGGCCAGTTTTGCATCAAAACTTATGTTTTGAATAAATTGCAATATATAAATCCGAATACGAAAAATTGTGGGCTAGGTCACTTTTGCACTGACCGCCTATACCTATCTATCGAATATTTTCTCAAAGAAATTAACTATAAAACAGTTTCGGCAAGTTTTGTGCGCTTAAAACCTTCGTCAAACAGCACGCGTAATTAGCGCGCGTCAGAGCGCTACGCTATGACGCCGAGATGTGATGTACTACGGTGGTAGCATACCGTCACACAGAGCGCCAGCGCTATAAGCGCTATAGCGCTGGCGCTCTGTGTGACGGTATGTTACCATAGTAGTACAACACATCCCGGCGTCACAGCGCGGCGTCAGTTTAGCGCTCTGACGCGCGCTAATTACGCGTTCTGTTTGACGAAGGCATTACATTGCGGAAAAGCAAATTGTTAAAACAGATTAAATCAAATTATTGGAAATGTATCCCGTTTGTGGAATAGTATTGTTTAATTATCGTTTCAGTGTTCGAAATAGTTACGTCACATTAAATATATGTTGTTTTTGGTATGCGTGATCTAAATGACTTAGCAATTAGTAATTTATAAAAAAGAAGAAACGAAATTTCGTATAAAAAACTTAATTTTTATCTAGCACATATTTCTTTGTGTCCTTTATGTGTACTGAATTAAGTGTGACTTGCTTAATGTGTTACTTCTTGCAGGATTCGATCTCAGATCTTATCAAATAAATAAATGGAACCTTAAATAAAACTGTTTGATAATTCCATATTCGTATGATTTTTTGACATGACCTTTACAGGAGTACAACTGTGTATCATGATTTTGAACAAATACAAGAAGACCTATCGAGTTAGTCCAAGAAGTAAAGTAAGGAAATAACTTCTTATTCTAACAGGCTGTATTGTTAATTATGAGCATCCATGAACAAGCTTGATTTAAAAACAATAATAATGATAGTATTTATAATTTATCAGTACATTGTGTTTGTTACCGCTGGGGTCCCCCTTTACATGTTATGAAGAATACTCCCGATCCACTAACGGTGCTTTTAGATACCTTAAACACCGGTCACCGTTCTCGTCAAATCCGTCGCTTGCGACGAAGGGTTTGCCGAGTAAACTGACCCATAACCCATGAATTTCTCCCCGGATCTTCTCAGTGAGTCGCGTTTCACTGTTCTTGCTAGGGCTAGTATTAGCAACATCCCTAGGTTAGAGCCCTGTGAGCTCAGCTACTCGCACGGTGGATCTAGTATGACCCCTCGAGGTCACTAGAATAGGTAGGAAAAAAAGCTTGGGTTCCGAACGTAATACGACGTAATAGATAAGTGTTTTTATTTTATGGAGGGAATTCTCCGAAATTGATTTAGGGTAGGTACATAAATCATTTTTTTATAGATTTCTTCGCTAATGCAGTGTTTTAATAATTCGTCCAGTACTATCAAACATCGTATAGAACGGCACTAAAACTACATCAGCTTCAGAATTCAGTAAAATGTGAGTAATTTCCTCGTTTGTAATAAATAACGTTATAACGGAACCAAATATCCGAACGTGCGATACCGCTCCCGCCGCCGCCTCACCCGCCGCTTAGCTCTCGAGGCGAAAAAACACGCCCTCGGCGCGCGCGACGACGACCAGATAAATATTGTCAGTCTTAGTTTAACTGTACCTACTGTTCTCAACTCATTTTGTATTTTATTTTAATTATTGTGTCGCTTTTATATTAAAACCTCATACAAATCAGTGTAAACATTATTTCCATATCATCTTCGCCAACAGCCCGGAATACCGAACTCACAAAAGCCCCGCCAATCGGACCTTTAGTGTTAAAACGTTCAATTATAAAAATAGTAATTATTATAATTGAACGTTATCTTCGTATAGATATATATTGATAAGATAAGATTCAAAATACATACCCGCTGTTGACACAGTTGTATGGCGAACAATAGCAGCTATGGGTAACGCTAAATCCTATCCAGGTCTTACACAAGACGTTTTGGAAGACTACACTAATCTAACCTATTTGAGTAAAGGCGAAATATTACAGTGAGTATAAAGTCTGACGCAAATTTATTATTTTTATTTAAATCGTAATGTTTTGGAAATGAAAACGATGACAGATTTTCTTTACAGTCTGATGAAGAAATTTTATTCGATAAATCCAGATAAATTGGAGGCTGACTATCAATACAGGTTCAGTAAAGAAGACATTGTGAATAAATTTGAAGTTTTAAGGGTAAGTAGGGCAAATAATTCTAAAATATAATAAGCGGCTTGGACATTCTAACGTGTTTTCGTTGAAATGTAGCTAGTTCTACGAACACTTGCGACGTATGTGATGTTGGGTATGAGATATTGTTATCTAAGGTTTGCTTTTAGGAAAAAATAATTAATTTAGAGAATAAATGTGACATACATAAGTATGCATCGATAAAATAATGTAGACCCTGTTAAATTTTGATTGTGCGGACTTCATTTATCCATGAGTTCACGATTGACTTCCACGGTGAAGGAATAACATCGTGTAATAAAAATCAAATCCGCAAAGTTATAATTTGCGTATTTACTGGTGGTAGGACCTCTTGTGAGTCCGCACGGGTACCACTACCCCGCTTATTTCTGCCGTGAAGCATTAATGCGTTTCGGTTTGAAGGGTGGGGCAGCCGTTGTAACTATACTGAGACCTTAGAACTTATATCTTAAGGTGGCTGGCGCATTTACGTTATAGATGTCTATGGGCTCCAGTAACCACTTATCACCAGGTGGGCTGTAAGCTCGTCCACCCATCTAAGCAATAAAAAAAGAATTAGGGTGCCATATCTATTTTAATATAAAAACTTTCAGAACAATCCCTTTCAAGATCGTCTTTTCCGAGTGTTCTCCTCGCACGACGATGGCCGTTTCTCATTTGAAGACTTATTGGATCTGTGCTCAGCGATGTGTCCGGAATGTCCACTTGAAGTAAAAGCTGCGTGGGCGTTTAAAGTTTTTGGTAAATTTCCTACAGCGTTTACGTAAAAATAGAACGTTTTACCATTGTTTAGGCTCTAATGCGCGTTGAAGATCTGCCAAATGGTACTACTGGGTGGATTTCATTATTTTGAATATTTCTGTCGTCACTTCTACTTAGACACTTGAAGGCTAAGAATTGGAACTTCGGTTTCTTTAGTTATGAGTTGAAATGTCATGGTCGATTTTTTAGAGATCTTCTAACAACGAATATTATCCGCTATGAGACTGAATCGAATCTACGAATACCTGTGCCGATTTCGCAGCGGTGATGTGGAGCATTTTCGACCATACCCAAGAGGGGACTGACCGCGTGATCAACACACTGGAGGGGGTGGTTCCTTAATATTTAAACGCTCTCCATTGGCACCAGGAGTGGTTCGGAGGTTCGGATCAAGAACACTGTTTTTGTTGAATAGATGAGTGAACGATCTCATAGCCCAACTGGTATCAATTGTCTTCCAGAGCCCATAAGTATCGCAACGTGAATGCTGACCTTGAGACACATGATTGATGTTTTAATTGAATTTTATAAGTTGTCCCAGCCTCTAAACCGCAAGGCCTTAGCACAGGCGCGCACTGGCGACAGGTTATAGCGGCCAGCGAAACATATGCATTGTATGGAAATATCCATAAGTGCGCTCATATGGCCACAAATACCCACCAGCCGCGGCGGCCATTTCGAAGCACTCTGTATATTCGGTACTGACAATTTTGGCCGCAGTTCTGTGTGCTTAGTGCGAGTTTTTTAACGTTCTCGATAGGGTAAAAGTGAACTCAAATTTGTATGAAGTTGGAACGTTTGCCGCTAGGGGCGCTGTTCCAACTGCATACAAATGTGAGTTAGCTTTTACGCTGCTGGAGTCATGGTCCAGACGGCTGGCCGATCCTTCGGCTGGTCGTAGGACCGTCGAGGCGATTCGCCCGGTTCTTGTGAACTGGGTGAATCGTGACAGAGGACGCCTCACTTTCCGGCTCACGCAGGTGCTCACTGGGCATGGTTGCTTCGGTGAGTTCCTGCACCGGATCGGAGCCGAGCCGATGGCAGAGTGCCACCATTGTGTTTGCGACTTGGACACGGCGGAGCACACGCTCGTCGCCTGCCCCGCATGGGAGGGGTGGCGCCGTGTCCTCGTCGCAAAAATAGGAAACGACTTGCCGTTGCCGAGTGTTGTGGCATCGATGCTCGGTGACGACGAGTCGTGGAAGGCGATGCTCGACTTCTGCGAGTGCACCATCTCGCAGAAGGAGGCGGCGGGGCGCGTGAGAGACGCACAGGCCCGCCGCCGTCGAGCGGGGGCTAGGGAGGCGGATATCGCCCAAGCCCTGGCCCTCTAAGTGTTTCGGGTCCCCTCACATGTCGGCCTGGGGACCGGCGAAGGGGGCCTAAGAAGACGACGTGCAAGCTGCTCTGCACGCGTTTTATGCATGAGCATCCGGGTGATGGAAGGCCGGCTATCCTCAACCCACGCTGGTTCTGACCCAGCGGGGTATTCCGTAGNAGGCCGGCTATCCTCAACCCACGCTGGTTCTGACCCAGCGGGGTATTCCGTAGGATAGACCATTCTAACCGGCGCCATCTAGGCGGGCTTCGGATAGCCTGCCGACCGAGAGGGCTGGTGGTCGTGGCGCCGACGACCGCCAGTCCGGCGTCCCGAGGGGGAGGGTGATGGGAGAGATGTGCTCCGCACTAAACGCTTCACTTTCCCCTCTTTGCCTTTTCATGAGTTTTGTCTCATGCGAGGTTTGGACGTTGGTTGTTGAGAGACAGGAGGTTTTAGTCGGTTCGACTCCGACATGCCCCGCCCTCCATCCCCAGTGAAGGGCGGAAGTCCGGCGATTTCCTCCTGACAAAAAAAAAAAAGCTTTTACGCTATCGAGAACGTTAAAAAACTCGCACTAAGCATATTCGCTGCATGCTTGGTCGCGACCCTTGCGGCCGTTGTTCGCCATACTAGCCGCTGCGACTGGAGGAGTGCGAAGTTGGAGCTTTCTATCGCAAGTTTCTTTAAAAGTAGTTTGAAAATAGTTCATAGTAATAACCAACTTGGTTATGTAGGTATACGGGCATAGCTGTTAAGCGACGATCACAAAATATATTGTGTTAGGAGTGTGAATTGAAACGGTATTTTGTAGATTTGGTGAACGTAAAACATTTTTGATTTGTATTCTTTCAGATCTGGACGATGACAACCAAATATCAGCGAAGGATATTTGCCAGATTATAGACCGACTCACTTGGACTGGAAATAATCGTTCGAATTTCCTCGATCGCGAATCAAAAGCAAAGATAGCCGAAATTGTAAGTACCTACAATTAGACCTCAACGATTCAATTTCTTTCGATAAAGATAAAGATAAAGAAGCCTTTATTAACAACCTTAATTCATATTTAGGTACATTTTTCTTTTCATTTGACATCGGCTAAGATTGTTTTGCTTTCGCATAGGCCTCCCCCAAATCCTGCCATAAGTTCCGGTCGTGATATAAATTATAATCTTTCGATATTGTGATATAAATTCCTTAATGTAGTTAATGGTTATATTAAATATAAATAAATAAATAATTAAAATTAAATATAAACCTTTGAAAATAAAATAAATTATCACAAATCTGAATAACTAATTTTCTATGGTTATCGTTTTCGTAGATTTATTTGCTGACCACGTAATCAGAGAATATTTTAATTGTCGATTTGAATTTTAAGTCCCTTTAAATTGTGACCTTGTATAGTCTGGATGGCGTGTAATGGAGGTGACGTCCTCGACATAATTAGTAAATGTCAGGAGAAAGCTTTGGGCATTTTGTATCCCTCACTGCTTGGGCATTATCTCCTTGCCCAAGAGAATATGTTTTGTCTTTACCTGTCTATGTAAATCTAATGTTTCTTTGATTTTGTTGGTACCAGTAAAACGAATAACTGTAACTTAAAAAAGTTTTGTAAAGTTATTTATTGCTTAGCTGCAGAGATAATGCAATCGTTTCAACTTAAAGTGCAAAATTACTTAAATTAACAAATAATGCAATAGTGTTTGTCTATGACATTAGTGACAAAATTACTTGTTTGCAGATTAATAATAACAAAAAAACCTGGCTTAAAAACAATTGAAAAATCTATTAGATCACCATTTCAAATTTATTTTCCTTTAATGATCAATTTTCTTTCAGATCTTGGAAGAAACAAAATTGGACAGCAGCGGCAGTATCGGCCTAAGTGAATTTAAAATTATGATGTCCAGGATACCGGAGTTTTCATCGTCTTTTTACTTTAAATTATGAAATCTTAAAAAAATATTGTAACATTTCCTATAACAAATAATTTTAATACAGCCCTAACTATAATAATATAGCTATATTTTGTGCTTTAACAAGGCAGATGATGATGAAAGTAATTACACTTTTTTTTTCAATCCGAAGGAAATCGCAACATACATCGGTTGCGTAATATTTAGAGGAAAGTAGGCACATGAGATATGTCTGTATGATAATTATGTGAAATCCTATTCGTAAGTAAGGACGCCTAGGCTACGAATCCTTTGCTTACCTACCATCTGAAGTAGGTACCTTAGGTCCGTTAATCTTACTTAACTTGACGTAACAGGAAATGAAATCGTTCCCGAAAACATTAGGTTAAGCCTTCGTCAAACAGAACGCGTCAGAGCGCTAAACTGACGCCGCGCTACGACGCCGAGATGTGTTGTACTAATATAGTAACTTAACATACCGTCAAACAGAGCCCCAGCGCTATAAGTACGCAGCGCTATGTCGCAGCGTTAGGACGCTTTGTAACGTCAGGCGTTGTAATTTTTTACAAATTTTATTTTAGCGTCCGAGTGAATGTGTATTAAAATACTAGATAATGCCCGAAAAAATGATATAAATAGTTAGAAAATACCCATGCTTATACAATGCCACATCTGAATCACTCGATTTCTTAATAGTTTTAAATTTTCACACTGCTATCGAAAGGCACTATGATTTGGCGAATGCGTTGCGTCAAGGAGCGTTAGACTCATCTAGTCAATTGGTGTGACATGAAAAGAGCGCGACGTTAAATACGCGGCGCTAAGTACGCGTTCTGTTTGACGAAGGCGTTATTTTGCGGATTCCTTATGATTTATAGCTGACGCGCTGCCTTTATGATATATTCTGGGCATATGCGATCAATCAAATATCAATTATAATTAATTGAATGCGTAAATATTTGGTTTTCGTTTACGTCATTAGTAGTAGTAATTTATCGGTCTTCAAGCTTCAGTAATAGTACCGTACCTATATCTTGTTTAATATAAAATTTGCATTATTAAGAAAATTGTCTCGCATAGCGTGCTACATACTTGCTATATCTCTGGGGTTGGACTCTTAGTGTATAGCATCGTGTTATAATTATACATTATAATTTAAAATAAAACAGAGTTCGTTCCAAGTTTATTTATCATGTAGAATATTTTGACATAGAATTCCGAGTTCGAGTTGTATTAGTAGTTTGCGATTTATCTAATAAAGGCTTTACAAGCTGCTTTGTTGAATCGCCCGGCTAAAGTACGGTCGGGAAGCGCGGGAATTGCGAGCGTGCGGCCCAGAGTCACCGGTAAAACCGCGGGTTGTTTGTATTTCACGTGGTACATCGGAAAGCTGAGATAAGTACTGTAAAAATAAATTTTAGAGTGTGAATGTTTTTTGAAACACATTTCAGACTAATTCGCGATATTGACATTCAATAATTGTGTTTATTTTTGTTCAAATAAATTCCAGATTGAGCGTCAAGTTCCGCGTGCTTAGTTGTGCGAGTTTTTTAACTTCTTGATCGCCTAAAAGTTAATTCAAATTTTTGGTTAACTCAGTTAATTCAATTTGTTTTTGGAGTTGGAACAGGCTCGCTAAGAGCACTCGCACTAAGCACACAGAGATTATCTACAATTTACACCAGTTTTCGTAGCTACTTTTAATAGGAAATTTGAAATTATATAAGTTTTAAATAAGTTTGTATGAATATTAAAAATAAACAACAGTTTCTTTTCCATATTGACGAATCTGCACGTGAGAACGTGTATAGTTTATTTTTTAGTACGTCGAGCTTAATTTCGAAAAAGAAATTTTGCAATATATTTCGTCTTACGGTGTCATTTCGGCGGGGCACTGCCACATATATTCAGGATCACTGAAATAGGTCAACGGGTGGTAGGCCTTACGTAGTCCTCTATAATAATCTCTTTGTCGTTGACTTGCCTGTAAAAAAGGGAACAACGTAATATTATATCGTAATTAATAATAGCAATTAAAAAAAACAGATATTAACCTCGTAAAACGTTTCGATTTCATCTTGTCTCCCATTATCAACAAACAAAATATCCATGCTAATAGTTAATAAAATAATAACAGGAAATTTTAAAATACCGCCTAACAAACCACGTACATGACGTATCTATGTAATTTAAAACATGATCCATAGATTATGTTTTTTGATTTGTCTATTTAATAACTTAATCACTGAAGTATGAAACCTAAAATTAATGGATTTTTGCCAATATGTTTATGTCATATATAGAGGCCGAACCCATTGTTTGAAAAGTGAAATGGAACGCAAGGAAATGAAATAGATATAATATTTTGCCTTATTTCACTTGGTTGAGGGTTAGCTAATAATTTGTAAGTTTGTGGTGTTTTGTTTCTTGTTTCAAATTGTACAAATAACACGGTCTAACCGGTCTTCCGCTAGAAAAAGTAGAAGCTATGTTTGCACAAAAACTACAATAGACCGGATTGTGGGATCGAACAGAATTTACTGAGATGAGTGGAGATGACAAACTCAACTTTTCCAGTAAAATTAACGATTTTGAGAGATGATTTCCGAAGTCAGTTGTAAGTTATCCGACTATTCCACACTTAAGCCGGATCTCACAATTGCTTTGCGGCGGAATAGTCAAGATGGTGGTAACTAGCGGCGCGGACTTTCAGTATCCACTACCATTTGTTACTACTTTGCGCACTCCATTTATATTCTGTCGTCATGGTAGCTGTAAATATGGCTCAAGTTTTCTTGGAGTTTGTATATTAAATGTAATGGCAGGCAACACTTGACACTTGATTAGATTTCGAATATTGGAATTATTTTAAATGTTTTAAAAAACAGATCATTGTATTCTCGTAAGAAAATGTTAAACTTCTCATCTAGACACGGCAAGAGAAACATGAAATAGTTTTATAAAAAATATAAAGATAATAATTGTATAATGGTGTAAAAGTGTTCAAGCTATCAGCAATATAATTATAATGAAGCAGTTGTGTTTTTAAATAGCTTCTCATCACCTACAGAACCCAATCCCTTCAAATTTAACCGTCCAACAAAAGGAAAAAATAAAACTCCTGCGGAATTGTGGTTTGGAATAAAACCAGATGTTTCAAATATTCGAAGATTTGGCTCAACTACATATTTTAAAATAAATTCTGGACTAAAAAAGCTTGATGATCGTTGTAAAAAGGGTATTCTGGTTGGCTACATAAGAAACGGTTATAAAATTTGGGTTGAAGATGAACAAAAACTTATAAGAGCAAGGGATGTAAGAATTAATGAGGGAGAACAAGGAATTCTAGGTGGATACTTAGAAGATAATGAAGTAATTAATGGGCTTTGGGGTGATGAAAGGGAGAACACTAATAGAAATAACACAAATGAAAATAATCGTGCAGATGATGAAGTCAGAGAGGTTCGAGAAGGTGATTTTAGAGGAAATAATAGTAATGGAGTTAATGAAGTTCGAGAAGATGTTGTTATAAGGCAAAATAATAGAGGAAGAAATGAAAATCGAGTAGAAAGAGGAAGAATCATAAATATTGAAGAAACAGATATATTTAGTGAAACAAATGAAGATGAAATAATTGAAGGTGAAACAAATGACAGCGGAACAAATGCAAATGAAACAAATGAAAATGGAACAAATGATAGCACATTAAGAAATGAAAATCTGGTGGAGACTTTAAGAAGTAATGATGATATGGATGAAAGAGAAGAATTTTTTGACAGTGAAAATACTGAGGGAATTAATGAACAAGTTTTAGAAAATACAAGAACTGGAAGACCGCAGCGGAACAGAAGACCACCAGAGAGATACAAAGATTTCATAATGGAAGATGGAGAGTTCTCTTTATTGACGTTCGAGGAAGCAATTGTATCAAAAGAAAAAGAAAACTGGTTAAAAGCTATTAAAGAAGAAATGGATTCTTTAAAAGAAAATAATACATGGTCTTTAGTTGACAAGAAGGAGGCAGAAGGAAGAAAATTGGTTACAAGTAAATGGATTTTTTCTGTAAAAGCTGACGGAAGATATAAAGCTAGACTTGTTGCTAGAGGTTTTCAACAAAAATATAAAATAGATTATGATGAAACATATAGTCCGGTTATAGACACTACTTCTTTGAGAATTTTATTGTCTATTGCAGCTGATAAAGGGTTAAAATTAAAACAATNTAAAATTAGTTCAATAATTACAATAGTTCCGTAAGCCAATCAGAGGCGTTGTTCTTTTACACAGATTTTTCTTCACCCAACTACCCACATTTAGACTTGTTTTTTTCATATTGATCCAAATTCTATTAAATTTAATTTACTACATAGCATCAAGGAAATTTACCAACCCCACCCAACGGTAAGTGGGCCGTTCGTTGAATGCCGTTGCTTTCCTAAATTCATCTTTTATTAACCATGTACAAACTGTTGTTTTATTATACAATTAACCAACGTTTGTACCTCCTTCGCTACACTTCTATTATATATCATTTGATTAGTTTATTTAATTTAAACATTAACTTCTCTAGTAGATAGTATTAGTTATTAAGTTAGTTGACAGATCCTGCGGGCGCGACAGTGGTACAGCTTATCTGCGACCAGGTTAGTAAACTGTGGTGTTGCTCGGCGGAGGTTTTCGTGGACCGTGTGTTCGGTAGTGGCTCTGCCTGCCAGTCGACTCCGGGGTTCATAGTGCGACGAAATTGTTTCGTCAACCTTGAGATCCTGGGTCCTCTGACTGGCCGAGCTGTGCTGGCGCGTGGTCTTCGGCCGCCGGCCGTCGAATGATACATTAGTTAAGATAGTTCATAGTTGAAATTAAGTACAGTTAATTACTAATTAGTTAAATTAAATTGTTTTCATTATTCATTATTACTATTCATCTTTTTATTTTCTTTATCTTAGTTATATAGTCCAATATTAATTTGATTCANTTTCGTGGACCGTGTGTTCGGTAGTGGCTCTGCCTGCCAGTCGACTCCGGGGTTCATAGTGCGACGAAATTGTTTCGTCAACCTTGAGATCCTGGGTCCTCTGACTGGCCGAGCTGTGCTGGCGCGTGGTCTTCGGCCGCCGGCCGTCGAATGATACATTAGTTAAGATAGTTCATAGTTGAAATTAAGTACAGTTAATTACTAATTAGTTAAATTAAATTGTTTTCATTATTCATTATTACTATTCATCTTTTTATTTTCTTTATCTTAGTTATATAGTCCAATATTAATTTGATTCATTTCAATTTGGTCGATATCATAGTAGTTAGATCTTAGTGTATAATAGTTCAGTAAATTAAATAGTCAACAACATTAGTTGAGCCGCTGTCGCGTTGCGCGGAGTGTGACTCCCTTAGTTCTTTAGTTTCTAGTTTATTAAATTAATTTAGTATTCACTTATTATAAAATAAATTATTCAATAATAACATTAGTTACAGCTCCACCTAGTATTCGATTCACAAATTACCAACAATTCAGTTCATTAATTAACAAAGTATAGAGTTCATTGACAGGTTTACAATAAATTCAATAGATAGCGGTAGCATCGACCGGCCTCTTGCTTAACTGTTGTTTAATATTTCAAGTTGCTTTCCTTTATCGGTTTTAGTTTCTTTTTTACTTCTCTGAATCCGTATTACTTCGGAAGACCGATGAACTCGGTAAGATAGGAGTCGGTAAAAACATGTCTGGGGGGACATCACCCCCCATAGTCAGCACGCCCGGCCCGTCCAAAGGACGTTCTGTGGTCTCACGCATGTTTGCCCACCGACCTTCGACCCCTAACCCCGGTCTTATGGACCCTGACCTGGCCAATCGGCCTGGACCTTCCAGAGAGGCCCAGGGGTCCCCGAAGACCGGTCCGGGGGAAAGTACCTTTCCTACTCCGGCCGCTCGTTCGGGGGCCACTCAGTCTCGAAAGAAGGCCAGGTCCGAGTCGGACCAGGGCTCATCCGGAGGTGACAAACGCGCCAGGATAGGACCGTCGTCTAGGTCTAGGGAGGATGACAACAGCGAGGAGTCCTCCTCTACTTCTCCTTCCTATACCACGACTCCCTCCTCTTCTTGTTCCTCCTCTCGCAGTGGTAGTCCTGAACCCACTCCCACTTCTAAACCCACTCCTATGCCAAGGGCTCTTGCCAGTACGGCGGAAGTACGACGGTGCAAGAGAACCCCTCCTCGTTCCCCTTCTCTTCCTATATCTCCCATCCCTTCTGTTCGGCCTCGAGGTGCCCCTGCCCTAAGCAGCACGGCAGGCAACCTCGAATCCACGAGGTATATGGACTTAGAGGCCACGCAGTTGCGTACGCATACGCAGACTCCTTCATTCCCAGCTGCTCCAGCTACCGTCCCAAGAACTTCGTACGCGGCCAAAGCCGCAGTTCGTCCTCCAATCCGTTCCATTCCTCCAAGAGCTACAGTCCCAACTACATCAGCCACTCCTACCCCGGGCACTAGGGGCCGCGCCGCAGAGCTCAAACGCCACCCACCTATATTGGTGGAGGTGCTCCCTAATTGGCCTAGCCACATGGCCGCCATTAGGGAGCGACTAGGCCGAGCTCCTTCGGTGAGGCCCCATGGGTCCGGTTTTCGATTCCTGCCTACGTCCGTGGAGGAATACAGGGCGGTCCAGTCGTACCTGTCGGGGGCCTCCGCCGCGGACAGTACCATTAAGTGGTACTGTTACGCAATGTCGGAGGACATCCCCACTAAGGTAGCGATTCGGGGCCTCCCTGCCGACACGGACTCGGCAGCAGTCATCAACGCCCTCAAAGAACTGGGATTCCCGGCGCGCTATGCCCGGTGTATAGAGGCCAAGAGGGGTAGGCCGAGCTGCATTTTTCATGTAGCTCTAGACCACCTCTCGAAGGTCGACCTCGCCCGCTTGTATGCAGTCAGTGAACTGCTATACTTGCCGGGGGTGACGGTTGAAGGTTGGCGTCCCGGCAAGGGTCCTGCGCAGTGTCACCGCTGCCAGGCCTTTGGTCACGCCTCCTACAATTGTCATCGAGCGGTCCGCTGCGTGCGATGTGCAGGTGAGCACGTCGTGGCGGACTGCCCGAGGCCGAGGGAGGGCCCCTTCACCTGTGCAAACTGTGGTAAGGATCATGCCGCCGTCGACAGACGGTGTGTAACCTACCGCAGGAGGCTGAGGATGATGGGGGTAACCGCTCCCCCTCCATTACCACCGGTGCCGCGGCCAAGGGCGAACCCAGTTCTTACTCCCACCGCTGCCCCTTTACCGATCCCCCAAGGGAAGGGTAAGGGGAAGGGAAAATCTTCCCTTCCTCCTTCCCAACCCACACTCCTTCCTACGAATGTGGAGGCCCACGCCGCAGCGGCAACGCTAATGGCGGAGGCTAACCCACCACGTCCTTCCACATCTTCTGCTCCCGTCCCAAGAGCTCCAGCTGTTGCGTCTTCTAAGCAAGTACGCACTACCGGAGGGAAAGCTGCAAGAAACGCAAAGAAAAACAAAAATAAAAAGATAAAAAAAAAGGAGAAGAAACTTGCGGCAAAGGCCCAAGAACAAGCCTTGCAAACCCAAGCCACAGGCAGTACTTCAACTGCCCAACCCAAGTCACAAAAAGAGGCGCCTCAACAAATGGAGGTGGAGTATGTGGAGCCGGAAGAGGCAGTAGCCTCCACCTCCTCTATATTCAGGCCAACAACAAAACCTTCAACTGAAAAGCCCGTAGACCCAACGGCCTCGGGCCCAAATATTCATTCCCTCCCTCCCCGCCCTCAGCGTGAGCGGCGCAGCGGTCGGCAGGCCTCACAACCTGCTGGCTTTGCTGCATGGCTCCTCGCACTGTNTTTAATTACTACCTTAAGCATTCAATTTTCACATAAATAATAGCAAACAAATGTTGTTGTAGTAAAAAATTACGATTTATTAAATATATTTTAACGTTTTCTGTCAGAGTAGAATAAGTAAGTTGTTAGTGATACAGACATATTTATTTTATTATTAAACTTGTAATAAAAACATAAATTCATTTACTATGATTATTTCTATTTTAATTCTTCCGCAACAAAGGCGTATTTTTTTATACACATACATAGGCTAGGTCAATTTTGACGGCAAGAAATACGTAATTAAAATTACGAAGCTATGATTCGTGTGAACACCGTAGCAACAAAGCGGTTACTTTACTTATTCCTAAAAGTCATAATATCATAACGGGGATTAAAGACGTAACCGATTAATTTCAAATTATTTCGAAAACTACTCAATATTGTTTTAAATCAATAACAGATATATATGCAGCTTCATTTTATCCATGAAGTCTCTTAAGAATATTTTCATCTAGGATTTACCATTTCTTAACAAAACAGTTTTTTTACGTTCCTGAAAAGTTCGAGTTTTTCACTTGCGACCTTTTTCCACGAATGGTGCGATTTAAGAAAAGTTTTAAAGTAACAAGGTAGTCAACTGAATGGTGCCTTGCGGCATAACAATAGTCTTTGGTCAAAAGAATTGCAATTTATATATTTAAGGAACTTTCTTGTCAATGAAATTCATTAATCATTTTACATTTGAGAAATCAATATATTATTATTAATCTGCAAATACTAGTCAAATCCAACTCGCTTTGCTGACCGATTTTTGGTTTGACTTTGACCCGATCGCTATCAAACTCCTGGGATCTTCCCTTAGGCCAATCTGAAAATGTCCTAAAGCTTTCCTCGAAATCGGTTTAGCTGTTTCAGGTTTGAGTCTATAGGGAAGACACATATACACATCGACATTTGTAAATGCAGATTAGGCAATATAATCTTCTGGCTGGAGTATAATTCTCAATGGCTATCCGCATCATATATCTTTTAAAGCACTTTTGTGTATCTGAAGTAAAGCTGTTGTATCCTTTGTACGAGGAGCACTGCTACTTGCGATACAAGTTTTATCACCTAGTTCAAGCACAGATGCACATTATGTTTGTGTTTCTACTTCTATGTTAATAATAAATAAATAAATAAAAAGCACTCGTAAATTTACAATTAACTTAATTTTCGCTAAGTTAAAACTTTATTGAGTATCTAAGTATTAGTCTAAAGATTGGTGACAAATAAAATTGTATGAAATCGCTTATATATAGTTAATTTTACTGAGAGAGTAATTGACACAAAACGAGACGAATAGAAATAATGTTTCCGTATAATGATAGGAATTTATTTTGATTTCAATGGACTTTTTGGAAGAACCCGAGCAGCCCGGTCTTATAACTTTGTTTCATTATTCAACACTTGTGCATTTTTATAGATGCTAAACAGTTAATTAGTTACATTATAAAAAAAAGCCACGACAGTAAAGAAATAATATAAAGAGTGTAAAAATAGATCAACAGGATAAATAAACATTATTTTATATGAATTGATCTAGAAAGCCAAATCGACTTTTGTTTCTACCCTCCATAGTTTGGACTCATAAAAATGACGTTTAAAGTAACAGTGACATTTGGCATTTATGCAAATTGTGAATCTATCAAGATATTTAGAAATTAATATCTTAAACAATTTTACAATATAAATAAATATGTGCATTAATAATTGGCTTGTATGATTTAAAATATTGCTTAAGCGAAGCCGGGCTTGATGGGCGATCGACAGCATAGAACAGAAGAAATGGCGACGACCAGTACTGCTGTAACGACCGTCCCCGCTCAACTGTCGGAGGTAAAACAACATGATCATCATTAATAGGCACAGAACAACGTAGTTACGACATGTAACTTCTTATCACTATTTGCGTGATATGTTAATAAAGTTGTTGTATTGTTGATGACTTCACAGAAACTCCTTACTTGTGGCTTATCATTAAAATGGAGATTTTCCAAAACTTCAGACGTTGCGTTCTAAGATCGCAAATCGTGATTTCAAAATTGAAATACTCAACGAAATTAGATGGACTACTTAATGATGTTCATGTTTTGGACTTAAGTCGTATAGTAGCTGGTCCGTTTTGTACTATGACCTTGGGCGATTTAGGCGCGAATGTAATAAAAGTGGAAAGCCTAAGCGGAGACGAGGCCCGAAAATGGGGCCCCCCTTTTATGAAGGACTGCGGGGATTCTTATTATTTTCAATCTGTGAATAGGAATAAGAAAAGCATTTGTATTGACTTCAAGTCACAGGAAGGTAAGTGTATTGTATATGTAATATATTGTATATGTAATAGATTTATGATATTATATTGTGTTACAAAATTATAAACAACATATTAACCAATTTGTTGGGGTGTAAGATGACTTTTATTGCTAATACAGTAAATACGTCTTGCTTATTTATGTCTCGAAAACAAAATTGGTAATCAAATAAACTTCCAGTTTTGACTTTGTATACATTGTATGTAATATTTAGGAAGACACTAAGAGGCCAGCCACCTTTTCAAGGAATTGTTAACATAACCTTAAAGTTTTGTTCAAATTATGCTGGTATTAATTATGCTTAATTGGACACATTTATAATCAATTTGAATTCAAAAGTATCCTGTGCCGTTTATCCTTTATGAATAAGGGTGCCATTTGTCAAGGGCAACTTATTATGTAATTGTAAATTACTATGTAATTAATGTTTTCTATATTTCAATATATATGTTTGTTTTATGTTGTTAAACATAAAATCAAAGGTTTAATTTTACTTAATGAACTTTCAGGAAAGAAAATAATATATGATCTAGCAAAGAAATGTGATGTGCTAGTAGAGAACTTCATTCCTGGGAAACTGGACCAGATGGATGTAGGATATGAAAAGCTTAAAACTGTCAACCCTAAGCTTATATACTGTGCTATCACAGGTTTTGGACCTAGAGGACCATATACAAAAAAACCTGGGTATGTAATGAAAATAAGACTAGTACATGGTATAATTGAATTTTGAGATGTGATGACCAGCACAATGAAAAATGCCACCTTCTTGATGACCAACAATATTGTTTTCCTTAAATTTTTCTTAAACTTATTAGGCAACATTTGAAACTTTGTACTAATGTTTCAGATATGATGTAATAGCAGCAGCTATGGGTGGACTGTTACACACTACAGGTGAACGCAATGGGAACCCAGTAAAGACAGGTGTAGCAATTACTGACATTACAACTGGCCTGCATGCTTTCGGAGCAATCATGGCTGCATTATACCACCGTAATAGCACTGGCCGTGGTCAAAAGATTGACTGTAATTTACTCTCCACTCAGATATCAAGTATGATCAATATAGCCACAATTTATTTGAACTGTGGTGTTGAGGGTCAACGTTGGGGAACGGCACATGCTAATCTGGTCCCTTACCAGGCTTTCAAAACTAAAGATGGTTATATGGTTATTGGTACAGGATCGAATCCACAATTTGCTGACTTCTGTAAGCTCATAAATCGTGAAGATCTTATAACCGATGAAAGGTTCAAGGATAATTCTAATAGAGTGGAAAATAGAGATGAAATTATCAAAATCATTAGTGATGTTATCATTACAAAGACAAGCAAAGAATGGAGTGCTTTATTTAAAGATGCAACCTTTCCCAATGGTCCAATTAATACTATGAAAGATGTCTTTGATGATGAGCATGTAAAAAAAATAGGATTGGTTAAAGAATTACAGCACACAAGTGCAGGGACTCTGAAGGTAGTTGGTCCTCCAACAGAGTTTAGCGAAGGTGGTAACTTAGCCCGTACTGCACCCCCTACATTGGGCCAACATACAACAGACATTCTATCCGATTTCCTTGGTTACCATGAGAGTAAAATTCAAGGATTATTCGAAAAGAACATCATTAGATAATTCTTCTCTTATTTGTTATCTGTTTCAGTTCTGATAATTTGTAATCTTCATACTTGTTTTCAACAAAGATGTTACACAATGAAAGTTGTTTATCTTATTTAATGCAATAAAAATATTTATTTTGTGATTGTGCATTTGTATCATTTGGAAGTTTTTTTTATGAATATGTTTTATTTATATACAAGATTTGCATATTATTTCAGTTGTATCTAGTGATCTCTTTTTACTAAATGTACATAAGTTTGATGGCTTTTATTACATATAGATAAGTTTGGTAACTGACCTACAGAGTGCATACTATTTATTTTATTTCGAACTAATAAAAATCAATATCAAATATTGAAATTTAATTTTTATCCAGAGCCGGAAGCACTAAAGAAGATAATGTTAGGAGATCTATTGTGTTCTTTTCAGTTAATTAATTAAGACTATTTTTACACATAATTAATCTCGCATAAATTTTCATTACATTATTTGTCACGTATCGAATATTTGAGTTTGTCACGGACTGTCTTATCTTACGATAGTTATAACCTTAAATAAATCAATGAGCATAATAACTTATCTTGGGTAAGATCTTTCGGACATCTTGATCTTAAGAAACGCTATTTTGTTTATTCTAGTCCTGAATAGTCAGTCTTATTTAATATGTAATTGGGCTCTTTAGACACGTTCATGGGTCCTGCCCAGTCCTGAAGGTTCCAGTAAAAGACCCAAGCAGATTTTTCAGCTTTTGTCTGTTCTGTAATAAAGCATACAAAATAATGATCCAAATGCTTGAAAAGGAGTATGTATCGTGTGGACTTTCATACCCAAAACCAGCCAAAACATGTGACGAAATTGATTCCAGGAATCCGTGGAGCGTGTAGCTGTAATAACTCTGAGGCCGACTCGGACTGAACCTCGGAAGAAGGTTGTCTGGACCGAGGACACAGTCGACAATGAACACATGAACAAAAAGAAATCTAAATGTATGTCATGCGGTTTCTAGATTTAATATACGAATGAATAGAAGTTCTCGTAGCTATAGGAGGCATTTGTAACGCCTGCGATCCATTAACGGAGCTTTTAGGTAACCCGAGCACCGGTCAACGTTCTCGTCGAACCCGTCGCTTGCGACGAAGGGCTCGACGAGTGAATTAACCCACAGAGACAGCCCATTGAGTTCCTCGCCGGATCTTCTCAGTGAGTCGCGTTTCCGATCCGGCGGTAGATTCTACGAAGCACTGCTTTTGCTAGGGCCAGTGTTAGCAAGGTTACAAGATTAGAGCCCCGTGGGTTCATCTACACGTCAAACAGAAGCTGAAATAGCCTCTCAAGGCTATCAGTAGAGTAGGAAAAAAAAGGTAATGACGTGGCTGAACCGATGGTCCAGTTACTCTACATGGCCTGGATGTCGGCAGTGGCCAAGTCGTTTCTTCCCCCACAGCCTTTGACCAAGCTACGCCTAGCCGCGCCTGAAGAGCGGGACAGACAGAATTTATAAGCCTCGTTAAATTATCTCTTGTCTAAATAAATAAAGAACAGAACTGTTTGAACATTTCGAATTATAATTAATACAGTGCGATAGAATACATTCCGTGGATCGTTGGTGTCCAGGTTGTTGTATATACGAGAAGCCTCGTCGTTTCGGTGAATCGGACAGCGAAGACAGCGACGACGAATGCGAGCACTGCTTCGGTCACGTCGAGCGCCGGCACCGACATCCCCCCGCGAGCACCCCCGCGGCGCAGGTGAGCACGTGACCCCGCACACAACGACGCTTGTAGGGCCTTAGGTTTCGCTTTCAGTGCGCTTAGTGCGAGTTTCTTAACGTTCTCGATAGCGTAAAAGTTAAGCCAATTTTGTATCGGCTCTTCTCAGCGGGTCGCGTTTCCGCTCCAGTAATAGGTTCTGCGAAGCACTGCTCTTGCTAGGGTCAGTGTTAGCATCACTCCGGTTTGAGCCCCGTGAGCTCACCTACTAGTTAAGGTTATGTTGAAATAGCCTCTCAAAGCTCAGCTTAGGTAAGAAAAAATAAAAAATGTATGCAATTGGAACAGCGCCCCTAGCGGCAAACGTACGCAAACGATCCCATTCCATACAAATATGAGCTGACTCTAACGCTATCGAGAACGTTAAAAAACTCGCACTAAGCACACAGATTGCTATTTAGAGTTCAATAATATGTCTAAGATTGGGCAGAGATGACCTAGAGTCTGTCTGCCCAATGCAATGTTTATAGTAGAGTTAGCTCCATCACGCCGGAGTCGTGTGACCGGTTCCATACCTACTGTTACGAAGAAATGTCGCTCGTTTCCAGTTGGCGACAGAGGCGGAGTCGCCTGCGTGTATAACGTTGAAGCCCCCCGAGCCTTCGCCCCCAGACGGAGCCCCGACACATACAGAATAAAACATAGATAGAGATACTTAAACACCGAAATATATTTGTATGTTAAGCGAGTCGTTTAGTTTAATTGACGACATGTCGGACTGTTGGTAAATAATAAGAGTTTTTTTTGAAACAACCTGATGTAATTAGTTTTAGTTTTGTGTCTCTTTCGATTGTATTTGAAGCTGACTGTTAATGAAAGAGACAATAACCTTTCCTAGGTCACAACGCGGCCAACAAAAGGCCGATTGATTCTATGTATGTGCGCGTTTCCCGTGAACACTGAACTATAATAGAATTATTTTGTCCGTGCAGTTTGGGTCATAAAACATAGCCCGGCTAGGGCGTGAGCATGATGCGCGGGCGCCACGCCGTTATCGGTAAAAACAATTGAGTCATCGAAGGAAGGGTACAAGGCGGCGGGGTGGTATACGAAGGGTGGTGAGACATTATTATGTTTAGAGTCATTTGTACTTACCTGCAAATTATAGTACATTATGTTGAAGAGAAATGTGTTTTTATGCATTCGTTCTCTGAATTTCTTTAGGGACACAATGGCTACTCCTTTGTTTTGTATCAAAACGGCAGAATTTATTCAAAATATTATTTGCACGTGTTGTTATCAACAATGTGTTAAAAAATTTCACTGAAATAAGAATAGATCCCGAAAAGTTACAAAGTGTTAATTTCTGCCATTCTCGTTAACTTGCTGCGACGATATGTGGTGTAAGTGTTCGATTAGTGATTTTTCTTTCATTTTTATCACTAACTCACAAAATGACAAAACTAAATATACTATCGATAACGCTTATCGACAACAATAATGCGCATCACTATGCCCGTCCATAAGGCTCGTGAGTGGAAGAGAGAGCGAAATACTTGCTTCACCGCTCCGATTTTTTATGACCCAAACTGCACGGACAAAATAATTATACTATAGTTAAAAAATACGATTTTGTATCATTCCCTTATCGCTATACCCAATATCATAAGTGCAAATGGCATCCATTTTTTTTAAATTCATATTCCAGAACATTCGGCAACATTCTAAACGTGATTTTTAGTTGTGAATAAAGTATGAATTTATAAAGTTTGGTGTTTTTTTTTTCTGTATCAGTACGACCCTTCTTGTTGAAATGCTTTTGCAAACGAAATATGTCAGATATAATGGATATTCTGCCTTTTAATGTCTAATGAGTTAATTTATACGTACGTTATGTAACTATTTATGATTTACAATTTGGTTAGGCATCTAATCATTTTGATATTTTCTAGTTTTCGTAGTAAAATCAAAATCTACGAAATTGTATAAAATATCGTAAAGAAAAAAAAACCAATTGATATTAATGTACATTATAAGTTCATTATTTATAATTTACAATTTGATTAGGCATCTATTATTATTGATATTTTCTAGTTTTCGTAGTGAAATCAAAATCTAAGTAATTGTTTAAAATGCCGTAAAGAAAAAAAATCGACTTGATTTTTATGTACATTATAAGATCAATGGAGTTTGCACCACTAAACGTATTAAACAATGACAATGTTAATGAATAGAAGAGATAAAGTAAATGTGGTATAGTTATTTCGTATATTTCATTACGCATTCTGTTCGATAGCTCAGTAAAATAAAGGTTATTTGTTCTTGAGGTTTTATTGTAAGGTGGACTGTATATAAAGTTTAATTCAATATAAGCCGCGAGTCGCGAGTGCGATTCTATATTGTTCCCGTTGTGTTCTGTGTCGCTGTGCGTGTTCGGCCCTGCCCGCTCGAGGCGTCGATGCCGTGGTGGTGGTTGGACCCTCCGCAGACCTCGTGGTACCCGCTTGTACGTGAAGTACTGGCGCGGACACATTCAATAATCAAGGCATTAAACATTTCGAATTTTACAAAGATACAATTTCCAATTATTCCTCATGTATTCATTAATGTATTCGCATATTTGTTATTTTTATTGTTCCTAACTTGAGTAATAAACATTTGTTTGAAATAGTTTTTGCTCGTTATAATTCCCCATGTTCTTTGAGTGTAGTTGAGCAGCCGAGCTCGTATCGTTCCGTGATCAACGGTGACCACGTGAGCATTTATCATGATCAGAGTGCTGACCGCGGGCCACGGCGCCGTGACAATTGTTTCCATATCAGCGCCATCTATCCGCTACAAAATAAAAATGCGACACTAAAACTGCTTTAAATTGTAATATATTTTATTAAATGTTAATAACATATCACAATAATGTATAAAGCGGTACCTTAAATACATCAGTCCTTTACAAAATATAATCAACGAAACATAATACTAAAGAGTTACAATTACAGGTGGATCCAGGACTCGAACTAAGTCTTCATAATACTCTTAAAAGAGAAATGATTTAAAGACACAAACTAAAAAATATATTGCCTTATTCTTGTTATGTCAACAGAGTGAGGCATACAAACACGGCTCATCGCTCATGTCATTGACAATGTGAATATCACACTAACACTCGTGCTCACACTAATTTACCATTTCCTCACAAGCCACTCTATCTCAACAAACAGACACTAACAATCTCATCAGTAAAAAAATTAGTACTATAAATTAAATAAGTAATGTTGAGGTTTTTTTTTACTTTCAAAGAGCATTTTCTAACTAATCTTATTTCAGATTGTATGTAATTGTATTCTCTCTGGGAAGCATCGCGCTCCGTGTAAGGGTCTGTAGGCACTGTCATTTACTTCTCTTTCTCAATATAATCTAACAATAAATATTTTATTTTCCACAACTTTAAACGTACAATTTGTTACTATAAATACATATTTATTAGGTTTATTTTTCATTATCATAGAATTATTCTAACTGCCTACCCTCCACGTTACCGGGTTCGACGTGCCAGTCAGCCTGCGGACGCACCCACTGGGTTTTTCGCAGGATCTTCTCAGTGGGTCACGACTCCGGTCCGCCCGTGGATTCAGCGAAGCACTGCTCTTGCTAGGGCAGATGTTAGCAGTCTCCCAGGATGAACCCAATGAGTTCGCCTACCTAACCGGTGAGGCTTCTAGTAATTAGGTGGGTACAAAGCCATCGTCGACAGATCCTCTACAAGATAGTGTTGTAGAGCTCACAGTGGCGATGAAGTCATGTAACAACCAATAAAAATGATGCCAAAGTTCGATCTTAAGATTCTAAACACCAATCTGCTCAGTGCGTGTTTTTAAACGCTCTCGATACCGTAAAAGTTAACTTAAATTTGTATGGAGTTGAAACAGCGCCCCTAGCGGCAAACGCAGGCACTAAACACACTGATGTAATAACGTTAATTTCGATTATATATTTTTTTGATCAATTATTTAAATCTTTAAAAAATTATCGTAGTCGCAGCGCAATAGTTTATGGCCAAGGGTTTCCCCTGTGTTATGTTGTTAACATAAATTTTGAAATTAAAAAAATTGAAGTCAAGTATTTGCGTGCAATACCTTAGAATGCCCTGCGCCGACACAAGCCTATTGATTTCGCTATTTATGAATAAAGTTTATATACATAATGTTATTGAATAATGTAATGTTATTGAAAAATCATCGAACCAATAGTTTATTATTATTAGCGATCAATGATTCAGTATTGGCAGCAGATGTGATATAAATCATAAATATATATATTTGCGAGAGTGTCTGTCCGTATGTGCGTGCGCCGCACGGACCTGACTGCGTTATTAAGTACATCTTCAGCCTCGTCACGGCAGGTACAGGATCTAATATTGAAAATACCAAGGATCAATAAAACGTGTTAAGTTTTATAATCATCTCCTCAGTTTCCTGCAACAATAGAAAAACAAGTAATATTAGTGTAAGTATTATTTATTATAGGTTAATGTTATCTAGTTAGTTACTTAACGTTAAATTAAAATAAAATAGAAAAATGTAACTATTAAAACAAATCCTAAACGTTAACTTTCCCGAGATACGGGCGGAAGAGTTGCCAGCGCGCGCCAAGACTTCTCTGTTTTAATTCCCCATTTTACCAGCCGATAGCTTTAAATTTACCGATAGCAAAAATTTACTGGTGGTAGGACGTCTTGTGAGTCCACACGGTTAGGTACCATCATCCTGCCTATTTCTGCCATGAAGCAGCAATGCGTTTCGGTTTGAAGGGCGGGGCAGCCGTTGTAACTATACTGAGACCTCAGAACTTATATCTCAAGGTGGGTGGCGCATTTACATCGTAGATATCTATGGGCTCCAGAAACTACTTAACACCAGGTGGGCTGTGAGCTCTTCCACCCATCTAAGCAATAAAAAGTCACATTATTTTATGTAACGCCCATAATTTGTGCTTTTAGATTACAATACCCCCATAATGCATAATTCTTCAAATCGTACGACTGTTTCGCGGCAGAACGAAGGCACCTACCCGCACGAACTCACAATGCGCTCTGCAAAAGAAGTTGTTTGAGAACATCTGCTGTATACCTGTTAAGTGGCTTCTCCTTATAAGTGACCACCTTCCTGTTCCGGCGGGAGCGACTCCCGACGACACTGTCGCTGTCGCTGTCGTCGCTGCGTCGCGTGTGCGGCCCTGAAGTCAGCGACGTCTCGGACATGTCCCCCGCCCCCTCCTCCTCCCCCCTCCTGCTGTGTTGCGACCCCGACTCGCTGGAGTACATACGGATAAACTCACCTTAGTATTCCCATTACAAGTTAACATATTGTTATTTTTCAGGCTAGTTTAATCTTAACTATAAAATAATTTCGTAAGTCAAAAGCCGGTATATTAGAAAGAGACAGGCGCGTCCGCCCGCTCGTGCGCGATAGAGACAAAACACAGGTTGTCGGCTCCATCTTTACTGAAATTGCAGTTCGAATCGATTGCTTTCCGAAAAGAAGAAACTATTTATATGCACGTAAAGTTCAATTTAGGTTGTAAATAAATTATCTTTTTCATCTATCTGAACGTCGATATGTACAAGGTATACTTGCAGGTCAAAATATATCACATAATTATTTCATCTCTAAAACATTTATATTTAAGGGTAGTTAATTATAATTAAATTCCTCAATCGTCAATTTCAAACGCTCCGCCCAAATGTCTCAACGTAGAGAACATATTTGGAGAAAATACACACGTCCCAAATTAGGATTTTTCTCTTGTGTTATGAGTAGCAAACATAATATGCACACAAGAAGCAACAATAAATCCATTGACTCCAAATACCAGATATACTTAAAATATTGGCATATTTTGTGTAATATTGTCTTATTTCAATCATCTTTGTAATGAGGAAGGTTCCTCAACGTGGCGTTGAATGATTGGAATCATCACATAACGCCTCACGCCTCAGAGTTCTCAACTCTACCATACACAGATATGATCTTTAAACCCAACCCTGTAAGGATTAAACTCCGATGCACTATTTAGTTTAAACTTATAAATCTATAACTTATAACCAGTGGTCGAAGTAGGTAGATTGATTTTATATACTTGCGTCAAGATATTATAATATGGACATGCCATTTTATCCATAATAATTTTTTTTTTAAATTGAAAAAAAAATGTTTAATCCTCATCGGATACAATTTCTATATTTATGAGATAAAGTAACAAAAAGCCCTGTCTAAGTTTTGTCTTATACTCACAAGCGTCATTTCTAATTCAACAGAAAGAGACAAAATACGGTGTAACTATTCCAAGGTGTTTTTGTTTAAAATAAAACATTAGCTAGCACTGGTAGCGTAGATTAATATTATTGGAGTTTACTCCTTTAGAATCGATTTACATATATAGGCCCGGGGTATGAAAATTATGGGGACCAAAATCGTACTAGCATGTCACACGAAATGCGTTATGCGCCTGATTGGCTCCTGATTGCGTGATGCGTGCGCGCGCCAATCAAAATCGTACTAGCATGTCACACGAAATGCGTTATGCGCCTGATTGGCTCCTGATTGCGTGATGCGTGCGCGCGCCAATCAGGAGCCAACGCGCGGCCGCGTTATCGCAGGTGACGCCGGGCTGCTGCGCCGGCAGTCCGCCACAAAGCCTCGTACTGATCGCGCGTTTCTCTCATTATTGTATTTTCATATATTTGTTAGTCGTTTGTTTTGTGTCTCGTTAATTTGTTAATAATCTGTAGTGTATCGTGTTGTCGTAATATAGAACTATTTCTCGTATTGTTTCGTTTAATTTTTTATATCCAGTAAACTCCAGTCGTGCGTCGGAGCGGACACACACACTTTTTTTAATACGTTTTTCACCTTAAACACAGATTCATGCTAATTTCAAGTCTGGAACAAATATCACAATAAATATGAAGTTCCGGTATTTTGGAGGCATATCCATATTATCCTCTACGTTTGACGGCAACGACCTTAAATCAATCTACCTACTCGACCTCTACTTATAACAGTTGCATTAAAGACTAAATTAAAGAGATCGAATGCAATACAATATTTTTTAAATTTACTATTTTTCTTTTTTAATACATTTTTTTGTTGCTTAGATGGGCAGACGAGTTCACGGGCCACCTGATGTTAAGTGATTGCCGGATCTCATAGACATCTACAACGTAAGTGCCGCCACCCACCTCGAAACATGAGTTCTAAGGTCTCAAGTATAGTTACAACGGCTACCCCACCCTTCAAACCGAAACGCATTATTACTTCACGGCAGAAATAGGCAGGGTGCTGGTACCTACCCGCTTTGCCCTAACATGTAGGTGAGCTCACGGGGCTCTAATCGAGAGTGCTGCTAACACTGGCCCTAGCAAGAGCAGTACTTTACAGAAACTACCACCGGATCGGAAACGCGACCCACTGAGAGGATCCGGCGAGAAACTCAGTGGGCTGTGTCTGTGGGTTAATTCGCTCGTCGAGCCCTTTGTCGCAAGTGCGGGTTCGACGAGGACCGTGACCGGTGCTTGAGGTACCTAAAAGCACCGTTAATGGACCGGGAGGATCCGTAATGACGTGTTTTGGGCGATGTCGACTGTTTACCATTCGGTCCACAAGATCTGGTATGTATGTAGTCGAGACACAAGTTCTAAGGTCTCAGTTACAATGGCTGCCCCGCCCTTCAAACCGAAACGCACTACTGCTTCACGGCAGAAATAGGTAAAGTAGTGGTACCTACCCGTGCGGACTCACAATAGGTCCTACCGACAGTTATTTCAAATATTACTCGGGCGCCATTACGCAGGGCGAGCGCAGGCAACATTGGATGAAGCTGGTTCAAAAACTGGACCAAGGTGGTCACGACCCTTAGTAATGAGGAAGTGACGAAGAAAAAGAAGATTATAATAGCTATGTTCAGTTAATGAATTAGGTTACTTCAATGGGCAAACGAGGGCCGCGTGTGTGGCGCCGCTGGGGCTGGGTGCGGCGGGCGCGCGGCTCCCGTCGCCCGACAGTCGCATCTTGGCGACTAACAACTTGAGTACGCGCCCGCTACTACTGGAATCACGATCAACACGTCTCATCAGCAACGTCGCCGTGCCGACTGCTATTTCGAAACATTTGCACCTTCGTATGACGAACAGTGTGCTTAGTGCTTTAAGTTAAAGTAACACAAATTTTTTTTTTTTTTTGTTGCTTAGAAGTGTGGACCAGCTCACAGCCCACCTGGTGTTAAGTGGTTACTGGAGCCCATAGACATCTACAACGTAAATGCGCCACACACCTTGAAATAATATAGTTCTAAGGTCTCAGTATAGTCACAACGGCTGCCCCACCCTTCAAACCGAAACGCATTACTGCTTCACGGCAGAAATAGGCGGGGCGGTGGTACCTACCCGTGCGGACTCACAAGAGGTCCTACCACCAGTAAAAAATTTATATGGAGTTGGAATAGCTCCCCTTCGTTTGCCTCTAGGGGCGCTGTTCAAACTCCATACATATTTGAGCTAACTTTTACGCGATCGAGAAGTTAAAAAACTCGCACTAAGCACACAGGTGATTTGGCTCTGTTGTCTATGTTTAACAAGTACATATATAAACATATAAAGGATCTTTCAAATAGGGCGGGTCGATGTTGACAGTTTGTGGCGGCCATGTTCTTTTAGCGGCATCTATCAAATGCGTTATTGCTTCAGTTACTGATGCCAAATTACCATGGCAAGCTACACGATTGAGCAGCATGTCCAGATGATAAAACTTTATTATCAAAATGAGTGTTCATTAGTGCAAGCGTTGCGCGCATTACGTCCATACGTACGCCGACGCGGTGGCCCTTCAAAGTCGACTCTCCAACGTTTGGTGACCAAATTCGAGACGACTGGTTCGGTAAACAATCAACCAACACGCTTACCTCAAAGAAACGTCAAATCGGCCGAGAACATCGCTGCTGTCCGTGAGAATGTGCAAGAGACTCCGACGCAGTCGATTTCCCGCCGTGCACAAGAACTCAGCCTTTCGCAGACTTCAACTTGGCGAATTTTGCGTCAGGACTTGGGCCTACACCCGTACAAGATCCAACTGCCTCAGGAGCTCAAAGTGGATGACCATAGACAGCTCCGTTTGTTCGCTGACTGGGCTACAGAACGTTTGGAAGAGGACCCCGATTTTGGCCGAAAATCATCTTTAGCGACAAAGCGCATTTTTGAATGAATGGTTTTGTTAACAAGTAAAATTGCCGTATATGGGAGGGCCACAACCCACCCACATTAGGTTCACCAAGTGTTAATGCATCCACAAAAAGTTACTGTTTGGGGCGGATTTTGGTCCGGCGGCGTCATTGGTCCGTATTTCTTCGAAAACGATGATGGCGAGAGCATTCCTGTCAACGGCGAGTGCTATAGATCAATGATTAACAATTTTGGCCTGAATTGAACGATATGGACGTGGAAAACATGTGGTTCCAACACAGCGAGCGACACAATGGACATTCTGCACGAACGGTTCGAGGGTAGAGTTATCTCTCGCAAAGGTGACGTGAATTGGCCACCAAGATCATTCGATTTGACCCCACTAGAATTTTTCTTGTGGGGTTTTCAGCTCAGATTCAGCCGGATCTATGCAGAAGAGTAATTAAACATTGGACCTCTCGGATCCGTGCCACCGTTCGAAGCCGCAGTGGACATTTAAACGATGTAATATTTCTTTAATATCTCACACACAGCTTGTTTTATTTAATTTCAGCATCGACCCGTCCTTGTTGAAAGACCTTTTATAAGTATCTAGTGTCCATAATAGGGAATCGATTATTATTTATCAAGGCAGACATTGGTATTTTCACGGCGTGAGAGTATTTTCACGGTACAGAGCGCGTTACCGGGCGGGCCGTGAACTCGTTTGCCCATCGCGACTAATCAAAACTTCCCTGACTCTTAATTACTTGAACAATATTTTGATCTATAACAACTATCACGCATCACGGTGATTTAACATTTTGCGATAATACGTGAGCAAAAATTTGTTAGTATTGATCATAAGGCCGAGCACACTGTCAGTGTGCACAATAAAAAACAATAAAAAAAATCATCGCACTAAAAAGATTAATGGATTAAATTCGTCATTGAACAATACTATTTAAATGTTCTTACACAACAGCAAACTAACATTCATTAAAAAATTTATACTGCTTTCATTATTAATATTCAATTTAACTTTTCATCAATAAATTAACTTTTTGATACTTTAGTAATTCCCATCTTACACCAACTAACCGATAATTCCAAAATCTATTAAATATTCTAACATTTTTATCCGATTTTACGGCAAGCAAAACAGAACAAACGAGATATGACGCCAACGTGTGGGTTATTGTCGTATATTAGTGTATAATCTGTAGTTTTATTTTGACCCCAAATGACGTCACACGTAATGATGCGATCAAAAGTTTGCGTGATGATTGTTGCTTTGTGTTGCATGTGCCCGCATAAGGCGGAGACAAATATTGCTTTTTTGCAAAATAACAGTCAGCCATCACGAGCTAGGCCAACAGTATTATAAGCTACTAGGTTAACCCTAAACTCTTCATTACTAGACTAATAGGCTTCACTACACTTAATCCTATTTAGTTAAATATGTTTTGCCGTATTTGTGCCGGAACGTCACTTGAGAGTGGCTCGATCGATATTAGAGATTGCTTTTGTATTGTATTGTAAAATTTACACATAATCAGTTGAAGATAATCACTGTTCAAATATTCAGATTATACATAATTATTGCGTGTCATGCTGTTTGTCCGCGATGAACTTCTAATCTAATGCAACGATTATGGTGAAACTTCGCATACTGAGTTTGGTTGGGTCCGATTTGAGACATGCGATAGTTTTTATCCCAATTTATAGTCACAACTTTACTTATACGTTTTTTTTTTTAAATTATTTGTTTAATATCTGTCTAACATCGATTTATCATACCTGTTCTTCCTCGCCGACAAGGGTTTGGGCGAGTACCGCAGCTGCTGTGTGGGTGCGTGCGGCGGGGAGAGGGCGCGCGGGGAGAGGGCGCGCGGGGGAGTGCGGGCGTGGGGAGGGGTGGGGGCGCGCGGGGGGGCGGCCTGCTTCCTGCGCCGCACTGTTGGCGAGAACACACACGACAATCGCCCGACCGTTTCTTCTTTCTGGTAAATAATAAATAACATCATGTATAATTAAAATATCAAATTAGCTTATCTATACATGCACAGGTGGTCTTGCAGTTACATGATTCTGTAGCTGAGGGTCGGAGCTCACCAACATAACGAGTTCAGCACATGTGTACCATCTCACGCCTGGTGTTAAGGGGTAACATGAATTTCACCACCCATCTGAAGTCATGAGGTCGAAAATCGAGTCTACCTCAGGTACAAGTCGCTTGGTAGAGCCAAGAACCCGTTTGCCAACAAGAAGCAATAGTCCAATTGCGATGAGATCATTGAACACAAACGTCAACACACGTACCTCGCCGCGGAGTTGCTCTGGAGGGGGGGCGCTGCCCTCAGCCCCCGTTGTGGAGTCCGGCTCCAGATTCGGCAGCCTCGTGGTTCTCCTCTACAACACAGTATTTGTTAAGCGACGTTCCTCAAGGCCGAGAGATGCATTGACAATAACAGTGACAAAACATTGAAGTTGCCGCATGTGGACGCGCAATGTAACGCAAAAATATGAATAGTGTTCCATTAACGGCCGCCAGCGCCCCGCAGCTTCCGGTTACACAGACTTGTCTTTAGATGACGGATTCACGAAGTATGATTTTTATCAAGCGACGAATACTTAACAAATGAATAGCAGTCCGTTTGTGTAAATGACGCTATGTCGGTCCAGAACGATTCTTTGACTTTTTTGTGTTAGTTTGAGAATCATTTTCTAATATTTAACGTAAAATATAATGTAAATACAATCCATAATTGATGAAAATAAAATATTCGTGCATAGTACAGAGTTCTACACACGTCAATAAATATTTGTATTGTCGACAATTTTAAAAACTGTAAGTACATACATACCTTTTTGTCGATCGGCCCGTCCAACAGCCAACTGGGACCCTCCAACGGGTCAGGTCTGCCTCTGTAAACGTACAACGACAATAATATAATTGTGTGCCCAGACCCGTCAAGGAGGTGTGACGTCAGCCATCATACAACACATGATATTTAATAGACAACTGAATCTCGTTTACGCCACTGTCAAGATAAGCTTGCATATAGGTATACAAGTTCCGAACAACAACATTCGTTCATTACCGATCCTGTGGACCGAATGGTAAACGGTCAACGTCGCCCTAAACAGATCATTTCGGATCCTCCCGATCCACTAACGGTGCCCCAAGGACGACGTCAGGTTTGAGCCCCGTGAGCTCAACCACCAGTTCGGTGAATCTAGAATAACCCCTCGAGATTACTAGAATAGGTAGGAGAAATAAAAAAACAACATTCAGAGCATCGGTCTACCGAGCAATTTATCCGCTCGGTGGGAAATCTTCCCTTCGTCTTTAATGTCTACCCAATGCAATTCGTCCACTCAATTCACGGCCCCCCATTGACATCACGAAATAAATATCTACGTGTGATAGGCCACAATCCCACATTGTCTTAACAGATCCAAATCCATCTATAGGGCACCGCCCCCTTCTCCGGCCTACGAACATGTCGACAAGGGGATCCCCACGGCTCCCCCTGTCCCCCAGTCTCGTTCTAAACTTGTGTGTGTGGTGATCGTCGCCCCTGGTCGTCAGCAATGACAGCCACAACAAGCTACCGGCATTAAGATCCATACCTATGTGTTGGCGATTCCATTTCCTCTTCTGGCTCTAAGTCTTCGGTCACGGCGTCCAGCCTGCGCCTGTACAGAGCAATTCGTTGCGGTTATGGGTATGGAAATCCTCCATTCGTTCCTAAGACAGATTGTGATGAATATGGAACAGTGGTTATGGTCACAGAGAAGTTTTCTATCGCAGTACCATCACTGCGGCAGAGGGCACGCGGTTCTAACAAATCGATGTTTTTATACAGAGCGGAACGCCACCGGTTTAAACAAGCAATTACTAAGGAAACAAACTTACGTCGCATTAAAGTCTTCATCTTCTGACATATTCTGAGATTCATCCAGAACTCTCTCCGTACTATCTGAAAAAACCGTCATCAAAATTTAAGTCTGTTCCAGTTGTCTCCTTAAATATATAATTCAATGTTACCTTCTAAATCCTCAGCGCTGTTATCGGCACTGTGCGGTCTTGACTCTGTCTCCATATTGTTCAGGACTCGATCTGCGTCTATTCTTGTTAAAGGTATGTATACATCTGAAAACATGATCAAGATTCAACACGTGGTAGCTTATGCAACTTGTTTTGGCCTAATCACCCAGTTTGCATACGTCATATGTGGGCATGAAACAATGCAGGTTACATTCTTGATTCTGGACAATATTATAATTCTATTTTTGCTTTTTCGACATGATGGTTTGACGTGTCCACAGCCAACCAGTTTTGAACTAGCAACCGGAGCCTCTAGACTTCAAAACATGAACGCCGCCCCTGCATCTTAAAACATGAGGTCAGAGTCTCAATTGTATACTCATTATTATTGCTTCGATGGGTGAACTAGCTCACAGCCCACGTGGCTATTGAAGCCCATAGACCGCAACGTGAAGGGCCACCCAGAGCCTTGAGGCTCTTGAGGCCTTGAGGAATTCAATTCTGCAAATTATTATTCGGTATTAGTATCAACAATTCAATGTTTTTAATTGAACTTCAATTACACCATTCAAATAGCTGAAGACGTTTTTCTGTCATGATATTTTATCCAAATTTTAAACTTATATATCTCTCCTGTAAAGTTAAAGAAATGTTGCTTAAACCAAATAGCACCACGATATCTAGTTGAACATACTCCTAGATCTCCAGCTTAGTATGGCAATTTGTTTTATCCGCTCAATGCAAAAAAGCTATTGACTTTCTCAACCTACCTTGCAACATGTGCATGGGTACCGCTCTTTCTGAAACGTTCCGGTTCTGATTGGGACTCCTTGATGTCAATCCTAGTTATAAAAAAGTTGTTTGCATTATTAATCATCATTGAATATGTAACATTTATTGTTTTGGATCACAAATAGTCATAATACCCCATTTGTCATAGATGTTGAATATAATTCTTAATAAAATTCACAACCTTGAACTGAATGAGATATTAAATAAAATCAAGTATTCATTTTCATTTTAATAATGTCTACAAAGTGCAAAAACCAAATAAAACAGTATAGCAGGTTTAGTTTCGTAATTGACATACATTTTTTTTTATTGCTTAGATGGGTGGACGAGCTCACAGCCCACCTGGTGTTAAGTGGTTACTGGAGCCCATAGACATCTACAACGTAAATGCGCCACCCACCTTGAGATATAAGTTCTAAGGTCTCAAGTATAGTTACAACGGCTGCCCCACCCTTCAAACCGAAACGCATCACTGCTTCAGGGCAGAAATAAGCAGAGCGGTGGTACCTACCCACGCGGACTCACAAGAGGTCCTACCACGCGTAATTACGCAAATTATAATTTCGCAGGTTTGATTTTTATTACACGATGTTATTCCTTCATCATAGAAGTCAATCGTGAACATTTGTTAAGTATATATTTCATTAGACAAATTGGTACTCGCCTGCGATATTTGAACACCGGTGCATCGCTCAACGCAAATGCACCGGACGTCTTATCCTTTAGGCCACGACGACGACAACATTTTAATATTAAATCTGGATAAACAGATAGATTAATTTACTAGACATTTAACTTACTTGGATTACTTGTATTGAGTAAAGTTCGGCTCAAAGCAACAACCGGCTGAATTGATTGACCACCCATTATTGTTGGTGGTACGCGGTGGATCCTCTCAGCTTTGTCTGTACTCGGAGTACCACTGATTGCACTCCAACGTGGTGATGATGCTTCCAGCTCTTGTCTGAGTGGTGGCAGTACATGAAAAGAAATCACCAATGTTACCACCTTGTTATGGCTAATTTGACAAGTGGCAAAGGTTTAATAGCAATACAGTATGATAATATTGATGCTCACATGTATAGTATAACCGTAGACAAAAGGTAGCCAGATCAGGCTTGTTTTAATTAACATGTTTTTGCAAAAATATTTTCTATACCATAAATGGATAGACCAAGCTACTGGCTAATATATTTTTGGATATTTATTAAATACTCTTATCTTAAAAAGATTGTACTCCGGTAACATTTTTTTAAGCAACTTAACATAAACAGTAACTAACCTATCTCGCATGTAGGCTTTAGCTAGGTCTATTGTGTGCGCAATCTCTCCAGATGCCCGAACGAGGTGTGCCAATGCCTTTTCACTGGCAGCCTGGATAGCTGTATCCAAGTTCTGCGCTTGTAAGCCACCGGTGCTCCTTAATTTCTGTTTAAGTATCATATAATTAAATTTTGAACAGGTAAGCACACTGTATTTGTGACATTTATAAGTATAATAAATTAAAAGACAGCAAATTCTTTATAAGCTAATCACTTTTCTGAAGTACTCACACTCAACTTCAGTCGTAGTTCATTAATTTCTTTCATTAGTGAGAGCTTCTCGTTCTCCCTCTGAGCTGCCGTCATCTTCCAGTACTGCACCTTCTGGACCAAGTCATTGTTTTTCTCCTTCAAATCTTTAATTTCACTCTCCAAGTTCGCCATGGAAACTTAAAACTACCTATTAAAAAACTGTGATCTGAACACGATAGAAGTTTGTACATAAAGTACTTTAATTATTGCAATTATTGGTCACCATATGTTGGAAAATTTCTTAATTTTTAATTATTTGTAAGATTCAATTTATTGTCAGTTAAAACAGAATCAGTAAACTTGAATATTCTCAGTTCAAAATGTCAGATGAACAGAAAAATCCGTAAAAGTCCCAATTAAGCAGCCAAGAATGTCAGTAAACGTCACTTTGACTTTGTCAAAATAGTAGTAGTTTCACTTTTCCAACTGGAAAGGCGAAGGTTTCACACCTTAAAGCCTAATCTTTTGCAATGAAATGAAGATAATTAATTTGAGATATTAATCAATTAATATGAACTTAAATATAATGAGATTATATGGGGTGAATTAAAAGTAGCAGTAAAATCAGTGAAATTTTTGGAAGATCCTGAGAAGATAAGTCCGTCCCATTTGTACAAATACTAAACAGTTAATATAATGGTTATATATGGTTATATTTTAACCATTAATACACATTCAAACCTGAAGGAACAATAAAACAATGCACACAATTTCGCTTCTCGCCCTATCGCCAAAAAGTCTTTCTAGTTTTCTTGCGGCTGAAGTAGATTTCTCGGGTCAGAGTGTTTGGTTTTTTTCAGAGTTGGATAATACATTCGAAGAATAGTTTGTGCTCTTTGTTGGATAATGTAGACGAGCCCACCTAGTATCAACGTGCTATCAAAGCCCACTATTTTAGAGATTAGCGTTCATTAGTAGAACTATTCTTATGACTGCTTTTAAATTGTTAACGTATTAATTACTTTCTAGCAATGAATATACCACATGAAGCAGCAATGACTTCTTCATTTTTAGTCAACACTCATTGCACGTAAAATACTGATTTGTCTGTATCTATAATCTCACAATTATATGCCTTGTAACGCTCTTACTTAATGGCTAGTCCTATCAGCGTAATCATTTCGAGGAATGACAGTTTTATTTAGTTTCAGAAAAGAAATTACTGGCACTCTTCTGAGATTAAGCGAAGCACCTCGGACCTCTAAACGTGATTGCTGGTTCACTTGTCAGAAATTATAGTTATTATTATTGACACGAGGTAGTAGGCGATATTTCCGCACCTTGTTCAATAATTTAGTTAATGAACAATTTAATGTTGTATTAGTACAGTAAAGGCCAAAGTTCGACGATTTTCATAGTTTATAATATGCTAAATTGCTATTTCATAACACAAAAAATATTATTTTATAGTTTTTTTTTAAAAGAGTTTACGAACCACGAGATAAAACCGCAAAAGTATGTAGTTTTAATTATGCAGAACATCAGGTAAAGACGATCCAAACCGCAAAAATTATAATTTGCTTAATTACAATTGGTAGGGACGAATCAATAGCTAGATAATACTTCGTTTGAAGGGCAGGATAGACGTGTAGGTGAGCTATATAGGTAACTATATAATTGAGACTGCGACCTCATGTCCCAAAAGGGGCGGCAGTATTGTCGTTGCGATGTTAAGGGGCTTCAGTAACCACTAACACTAGGTTTACCGTGCTCACCGTTCTTAGTAACAGAAATAACAGCGTGGATGTCTTTCCCTTTGTCATTCGGTAGTTAGGTGTATCATCTATGACCGCACCTTCATTCTCAAATAGGTATGTAAAATTCTAATTTATCTGACTTTGTGGCAGGAACGCGAGGAGTGAAGTTGTGTGATTTGTTTTATTTTGTCTATTTAATGTTTCTTCATGTTTAAATGTGTAACAGCGGTGGTTTATTAACTGCTTAGTATCTGTGAAAGTGCACAAATGTGGAAAAATCAAACAAAGCCGCTCAACGTAACTTCTCGGAATCTTCCAAAAAGTCCACTGAAAAAATCTCAGTAAATGACCACCATTTTGCTGAGATTATATTTCATACCATATCACCTCATCTTATTTCATTTAATTTCACTTCATACCTATTATCATTTTTCATAGAAATAAAATTAAAAATTAAAATAAGGCTTGACCTAAAGGACTTAGTCCGAGTCATAAAATCCCTTATTTTTTTTTATCTCATTTATCTATGCCTTCATTCATAAACTTGTCAAAACTTCGTGCATGTTGTGAATTGCGGCAATACGCATAGTTTGAGGTTATAAATAATAACTTTGGTAATTGTTAATTAAAACATGTCGTTCCGCGGTAGAGGAGGCGGCGGTGGAGGACGTGGTGGATTTGGAGGCCGTGGTGGATATGGCGGCGGAGGAGGACGAGGCGGTGGCGGAGGGCGCGGTGGCCGTGGTGGATTTGGCGGAGGCCGCGGTCGAGGGGGTGGTGGTGGCGGAGGTCGTTACCAAGATGCTGGACCGCCCGAGGCTGTTATTCCGCTCGGACATTATGGTTGGACCGTTCAAGACGATCTAGTCTGCAAAGTAGACATTGAAGACGTGCCGTATTTCAACGCGCCTATATTCCTCGAAAACAAAGAACAAATCGGCAAAATTGACGAGATATTTGGCAATCTACGAGATTACTTTGTGTCAGTCAAATTAGGAGAAAATGTCAAAGCCAAGAGTTTCAAGGAAGGGCAGCAATTTTTCATTGATCCCGCGAAGTTGCTACCTTTGAAAAGATTTTTGCCACAACCGCCTGGGGCAAAGAGAGGCGCGGGAGGTGGTAGAGGAGGCCGAGGCGGTCGTGGTGGCAGAGGTGGAGGTGGATTTGGCGGCGGCGGCGGCGGCGGTGGATTTGGCAGAGGAGGCGGTGGTCGTGGAGGAGGCGGTGGCTTCGGTAGAGGTGGCGGTGGAGGCTTCGGTAGAGGCGGCGGCGGTGGTTTCGGAAGAGGCGGCGGAGGCAGGGGTGGTGGATTCAGAGGAGGCAGAAGATAGCCCATGGATCTGCAGCAGACCTACAGTGTCCAAAATTCTGTGTATGGATATTTGCCAGGTGTCTGGTATTTTTAAGAAGAAAACTTGAAAGTGTGCGTGAAAAGAAGTTGGATTCCAGATTTAATACATTTTATTACATTTATACATTAAATATATAATAATATGTATAATAAAAAACAACCAAAATATAAATTGTTTAATAACAAAACTGAACATATTTTGCAGATTTAAAGCTAAACTTGTTGCATACACAAACTATCTAGATGTAAGTTAAGTTTAATATAAAATAATATTTTAATCTGGTTTATATTTTCTTATTAAAAAACACACCTTGTGCTTATTCTTAATACTTTGATTTCAACAAAATAACGATCAGGTAACTGCTTGTTCAAGGCTCCATAATATTTGCACCAAATACAGTGGTACCTCGACATACAAGTTTAATTTGTTTCATAAGCTTGCTTGATGTCAAATAGCTCGTATCCGAAAGCAAAATATCGCTGGTTCGGCAGCTCGTATCTCAAAACACTCAAATATTATACAGTAGGCAGCGGCTTGGATACTGTTGTGATAACTTAAAATGTTATTAATATTCTTTGACTGTTATCTGAGCTACCAGATTTAAAAAATGCCAGGCCTGCAAAGGAATAGAAAACATGCTATATATATATTATTTTTTTCTATTGTTCATTTGGACACAGTATGAGCAGGATACTAATGCAAAGGTATTCTGTTGCTTGTGGCAAGTTTGTAAAGCACTTCGATCAAATCTACTTTGCTTGTACTGTAATGATGTTTTAATATTAGATATTATCCATTTTAATAAAATTATTACACAAACAACTTATAGTTGTTACAATTTCCTAAACAGATATAAATGCCATGGATATTTATGATAATAGGTTATGGTCATTGACCAATGTGAATTCTCTACTCTGGAAAGATAATTCTAAATGTATAACTGTTTACCCGTTTATAAGACCACAAGGCCTTATATTGATATGAAAATTATCTTATTTATTAATAATTGTTTATTTTATGATTTAATTATGAAATAAACAATTATTAATATAATATAATTGATATAATAAAATAATTTTTTAGTAAATAATAGGTTTTATTTACAATAAAGATGGAACACTTAAATTGCCCAAACTACTTGTAAAAGTACACTTCACTCCAACCAATTGAAACCAATCATACAAGATTTGTTTTAAATAAACTAATGAAATTTTGCCAATTTAGTTATGTAGTTTAATGACAATTCAAATAAATATTATGCTTAAATTTATAGCTCTCGCAAGTAACAATAATACATCTTTTCTAATTGCTTTAACTGTCACTTGTAATATTACCAAATAACATAACATCATTATCATTAACAATCTGTTTGATATGGCAAAATTTAACAATTTTTAAAATGTAACAAATGCAAAATGTGCAGAATTATTCTATTTTAAAATTTTTTATACTCTTAGTCATTCTAGGTTTTCTAGATCTGCTTTAGTTGGTGTGGGAACATAATCATAAGATAATGCCTTCCCTCTGTGATTGAAGATATAAAATGAGGGAAGATTGTTCTGTGTCTCCCATTTGATAGCATTTAATTCAGCAGCAGCTGGTATTTCGCGAAGATTACCCGCCACATTCAACACTCCCCACATGACAGCAAACAGACTGACCACAGCTTGGATGACAATCTAAAAAGGGTAAAACATGAAACACATTATAATTTTTTTCCTTCAATAAACTTTTTTTAATATATTATTATTATATATATAAAACTTTCCAAAAAGTAAGGTAAATTCTGAACTTACATCCAATGGTAACGTGGTAAACTCTTGTGACGTGATCCTCAAATATGATCGATCTAGAAGACAAATATAAGTTTATATTAGCACTATTTACCAAAAAAAACAATTATTTAACATTTAAATCACACTTACGTTGTGTAGCTGAGAAAGCTGTATGGAATAACGAAAGAAAACCAATGATCACAATAACTTTATGAAATGAAGCCATGTTATGTACACTCTATTAACAACTTAAAATGAATAAAATGCAACTTTTAATAAATTATTTACAAATACAGCAATACAATGCTGCATCAATGTTTCTAATTTATAAAATTGCTACACATTTTCAATTTTTCACAATCTTACAAGCCTTACAAAGTGCTTAGGTCTTAGTTGCACTCAAATTAAGCTTGTTGAAAAATATCGATACATCGAAATAGCGATATTATTTTTTCAATGTATCATGAAGTTAATAAGTACCTACAGCGATATTTTATACTTTTTATACTTCGATACATCGATGTATCGATATAAAATTCCAAGTATCGAAAAGGTATGAAAATCGATATTTTTTTCAGACCAACAAACGTTTATATGTTCCCGGGATATTTTTTTTTATGAAATTTCATGAAATTTGATGAAACTTCATGAAACTTCCTGAAATTGAAGTTCATAAAATGTTATGAAGTTTCATGAAATATCATAAAGTTTCATCAAATTTTATAAAATTTCATGAAAACTTTTCCTCTTCCTCTAATACCTAGAAAAGAGAATCCTACAAAATTCTGGTTTGATTGTCGCCTTTTTACCCCAGTCCTTTCCGACATTGTTCTAAAATATTTGATATCGCCTACGTCCTTGGTTCTCCAGAGAGAGTGGCATCTGCTGTAAATCTCACAATACCCAACAACAGAAGTCGGCTTACAGCCGAGCACATAAATTAAAGAGTTTTTCTTATGTCTGTATCAGATAAAAATTGGTTGGAGTAATCAATAATTAAAATTTCTTAATAGTTCTTGATTTATTAAAAATGATGTCTATTGATTAGCACGAATATTCTCTGTCAAATCATACCGATATATCGATATTTTTTAATAAAAATATATCGGTACTGATATTTTCAAAAAATATCGATACGATATATATCGATACTTTATTGCATTTCGGGCATCCCTAACTCAAATATTATGTGTTTCATCTATGGTTGCTTAGGTGTATAATCTGTGATTAATGTCAAGGTTTTTAGACCTGGTAACTAAGACTTTTAGGTGAAGTCTTATTTTAATTTTAAAGAAAGCTTATTTTTAAATGTAAATTATTTTATGAAATGAAATGAAGTTGATTAATATGAAACATAATAATATCATGAAATGAGATGAAATGAGATTCTTAGTGAAATGGTGATTATTTACTTAGAAACTTTTTCAGTGGAGCTTTTGGAGGATCCCGAGAAGTTAAGTTCAGCGGCTTTGTTTCATTTTCCCTAATTTATGGACTTTCACAGATACTAAACGGTTAGTAAATCACCGCTATTACACATTCAAACCTGAAGAAACACTAAATGGACAAAATAAAACAAATCACACAATTTCACTTCTCGCGTTCCCACCAAAAATTCTAAGGTGGTTCCCGGAATTCATAAACATCTCAACGTGAATGCCATCACTAATCTTACGATGTAATTGTATTGTACAACGGCTGCCTTTCATATCGAAATGCATGAGTGCTTAGACGCAAAAATAGGTCATATATTGCTTACACCTGTGGACTTTCTCAAGTGCGAAATCAATCGTTATTAACACTACCTATTTGTACTTTTAAACGACGTGATCTTTTCAGCGAATCTCATTGTAGCGAGTGTATTAACTATGGTATATCTATGGTCACAGCACTATAGTTGTTGGCAGTTAGCTTATGTTTATTTTGACCTAAGGGTCTTAGTTACCAGGTCATAAAATCCCTTTAAAAAAAAGTTAAGTTCATTTTAAATAACGCTCTACAGGGCAGGTTGTGAGTGTTTTGTCTATTTAAGTTATATGGATTTCATTCGATTTCAAGAAGTAAAGAAATAAAAAATAAATGAAATGTTAAGAAATCCGAAGCTCGAAGAATTCCAAATGGACACCAAGCCGCCCCGAAAGAGTTTTCAACACAAATTCAGTGATTTTCTGCATAATGATGAGACTGGTACTATTTTAGGTCGCACTCCTGAAAGCTGGTGTAAGTAAAAACTTATTCATTAACATTTAATGAAATTCGATTTTTAATATAAGAATTATCGCTTGTTTCATATACTGTGTTATTGTGTAGAAAAGACTTATAAGATCAGATATATTGTGTTACTATTTCATGTTGGGCGTGGCTGAAGAGTTTTAAATTAAATGACTTTTAACATAAAATCTATATTTTATGTTGTATAATACGAATAATTTTATCTAATTTCAAAACCTAGACTATGAAATCAGAAAAATAAAATAAATTTGGGGTAAGCTGCAGTGCCACTTTTGTTATTAACTTACTAGTAGTACATATTCTTTAACTTAATACAATAAAAAGCATTTATTTTTATTGCATGATTGCCACCATCTTCTCTGAGACACAAGATCGTAGTCTTTATTGTATTGCTGTTCTACCCGTAAAACTGAATCACAACTGGTAATAAGTTGATTTACTCAGTGGCCGACGTACTGAATTACAGTATACTACAAATGGAAATGAACCACGTAAAAATGTCGCCAAACCTAAGCATAGTAGCGAGCCCATAAAGAAATAGGCAGGTACATATATGGCATCCACCTGTGCAGGCTCTCGTGGATTCCTCAAGCCAGCCTCTTCATTCAAGATGGTAACATGTTTGTCTACAGGGCATAGTCTCTAAAATTATAGTGAAACAGGTCATCAAAAAAACACACAGTTCAACAAAACAAACAAAAAAATAGGTACCTTTATTAATTTACTATACAAAAAGAGTGGGTAGTTCTTTGCTCTTTGACTTTTTTATATGATATTATTATATTATTTTTTAATGCTAAGGTAGGTACTATGATGTATTGATGGCCCATCTGGTGTCAAGTGGTCACCAGATCCCATAGATGTCAACCACTTCAGTGCTGCTACCCTTCTTTAGGCACAAATTGTCTCACTTTTTTACAGGATAACGGCTGTCCTACCCTTCAAACCGAAACACATTACTGCTTAATGGGAGAAATAGGCAGGCTGGTAAGGTCATAAAATGCCCTACCAGCAAATTATAAATTATAAATTTTTATTTGACAGAAATAGGCTAGAAGGAAGGTGACCTCCAGTCACTAATTTAATTAATTAAAGATTATTATACTCTGATAGATTTGTGACTTAAGCCCACACAGTGAAATTAATCTTTAATCCTCTTTAGAAACCTTATTTGTTCAAACCAACTTCTTAGTAGTTTTTTGCTCAAAAATGTGTATATTATGATGTTATTGATTTCCCTTTTTTTTATTGCTTAGGTGGATGAACGAGCTCACGGCCCACCTGGTGTTAAGTGGTTAGTGGAGCGCATAGACATCCACAACGTAAATGCGCCACCAACCTTGAGATACAAGTTCTAAGGTCTCAAGTATAGTTACAACGGCTGCCCCACCCTTCAAACCGAAACGCATTACTGCTTCACGGCAGAAATAAGCAGGGTGGTGATACCCACCCGCGCGGACTCACAAGAGGTCCTACCACCAGTAATTACGCAAATTATAATTTTGCGGGTTTCATTTTTATTACACGATGTTATTCCTTCACCGTGGAAGTCAATCGTGAACATTTGTTGAGTACGTATTTCATTAGAAAAATTGGTACCCGCCTGCGGGATTCGAACACCGGTGCATGGCTTTAACACGAATGCACAATGATACTCTGGCAGCTGTTAAGTTTAGGTACATAATATTTAAGGTACCTCTCCAGTAGCTATTGTTTCAATACAATTGCCAATTTAATGCTCAAGTTTCAAGATAGGCAGTCAATTAAAACTGAACTAGTAACACAAAATCTGACAGCAAATTCTTTGCTGATGTATATAGTTGTATTATTTTTAATCTTAATTTTCAAACTAGAATTCATTGCTTTTAGTATCAGTATCTTTGATATGCCCTAGGTATTCGACTTTATGAGAAAGAGTCATCATCATTTGAGCTGTAGGAATGTATGTCTTATGTAATAAAATATAGTTTAGAGTGTTAGTTCAACCCCCCTACTCTGACCGGGTTCTGACCCCGGACGGAGATCGGACGTCGGGTGTAAGAGTGCAGGGGAGTCGTTTAGTGGGTGGGTCCTAAAATCCTTGAGCCCACGATCTGCTCTCAACACCTGCAGATCGTTGAGTCTCACATACCCCGCGCGCCCCCTAGGCGCGGGGACCTCGTATGTGGTTCAGACCCGGCCCGAAAAAAAAAAATGCGAGATTTTTTAAGTGCGATTGGCAATGAAAATACATTAAGTAAAATGCATTCAATAAACACAGCTCTTATAGTACTGAAATCATGGATATACGAATGGTAAACCGTCGACGTCGCCCAAAGCACGTCATTACGGATCCTCCTGATCCATTAACGGTGCTTTTAGGCACCACAAGCACCGGTTACCGTCTTCGTCGAACCCGTCGCTTGCGACGAAGGGCTCGACGAGCGAACTAACCCATAGACACAGCCCACTGAGTTTCCGCCGGATCTTCTCAGTGGGTCGCGTTTCCGATCCGGTGGTAGATTCTGCGAAGCACTGCTCTTGCTAGGGTCAGTGTTAGCAACTCTCCGGTTGAGCCCCGCAAGCTCACCTACAAACGTTAGGATGAAGCTGAAATAGCCTCTCAAGGCTATCAGCATAGGTAGGGATAAAAAAAAAGAAAATGGATATACATTTTTTCATATATATTAATATTAATAAAATAAAAAAATTATGAATAAAGTTATGTGTTGCCTATTGTTTTTGGGTATTAGAAAATGGACTAAAATAGACTGTCCAGTAGAAATTTCAAATTTTAAACTAGAAACTACACATGTGTTGTAATTGAAAACAATACAATTAATGTGTAATTTGAAAAAACATTATACTCTCCTCAATTTTAATGCCCTTAATTTTAGTGCCCTTCAAATAGTCATTTGAAAGGAACAAACAAACAAATAGTTAAACAAAGATTTAGTAGAAAATAGGCAAGACATTATCTCTATCTATGTGTAGGTTAAATAAACAGTATTAAATATATTAGAAGTACAATTAATATGCTATTTTCCACAGCTAAGATCTTGGTCTTCTATACAATATTCTATGCAGCACTCATAGCTCTGTTTGCAATCTGCATGGTGACATTCCTGCAACAGTTCATTAACCCCCGAGTACCTCGTCTCCAACAGGAGTACAGTGTGATTGGTACAAGTCCAGGCTTGGGCTTCCGACCCCTTCCCGCTGATGTAAGGAGTACACTAATATATTACAAGGGAACAGGATATGAAAGCTATAAATTTTGGGAAGACCAGCTAATTGATTTCTTGTCAGGTACGATCAATATTTTATTTTTAATTTTTATTTATTATCTGTAGAACCTAACAGCGAATTCTGTATGTCCAGATAATAGACTATAATACTAGATCTATAATAGAAGATGTAGATGTATATTAGAAGACTAGCTGTACCCGTCCGCTTCGCTGGGCATTTACAATTAACATTATAATTTCTCACCCCCACAAAGATTCTCATCATTAACGCCCCCGCTACTGGTGTAGGGAGTCCAACACTCATATAAATATTAACCTATCCATTAAGTACATGTATTTTCTACATGGATACCAAGTTTCAAGTCAATCAGATGCATGGTTCAGTAGTTATAATGGAACATCTGTAAAACCTTGCAAGTCGTCGTGGCCTAAAGGATAAGACGTCCGGTGCATTCGTATCGAGCGATGCACTGGTGTTCGAATCTCGCTGGCGGGTACCAATTTTTCTAATGAAATACGTACTCAACAAATGTTCACGATTGACTTCCACGGTGAAGGAATAACATCGTGCAATAAAAATCAAACCCGCAAAATTATAATTTGCGTAATTATTGGTGGTAGGACCTCTTGTGAGTCCGCACGGGTAGGTACCACCGCCCCGCCTATTTCTGCCGTGAAGCAGTAATGCGTTTCGGTTTGAAGGGTGGGGCAGCCGTTGTGACTATACTGAGACCTTAGAACTATATCTCAAGGTGTGTGGCGCATTTACGTTATAGATGTCTATGGGCTCCAGTAACCACTTAACACCAGGTGGGCTGTGAGCTCGTCCACACATCTAAGCAATAAAAAAAAAAAAAAATAAAAAATTCCAAACGATCGTTTCTATTGTTAATTTAATTTAATCACTCGATCTATCTTTAGTTTAAGTTATAATACCGCACTGAAAATGACTTTGTTACTATGAATGGAGTTAAGTAGTTAGTGGAGCCCACAGATACCAACAACGTAACTGCGGCCACCTACCTTGAGACGTG